GGGGGGGGGGGGGGGGGGTGTAAAATCACCTTTTCTGAAACCCTGAAATCATTCCATGCTCGGTATGGAAAAATCTAAAATACCTCAGAACTTAAAATAATTAAATGATTTATATTCAATTCAATATGCTAAACAAAGATGAAATCATGTGTGATATTATAATCATGAAATCCATTAAAGCACCAATTTAACCCGCTTGTCATTGAAGTACACTTTGATCCCTGGAAGTGTTATCAGTTCACGGACTGTACCACAGACTATACACAGATTGCTTATCTCCTTTCACTGGGTGGGCTACGTATGCCTAAGTTGACCCGGCAAAACATGCTACGCTTTTACTATAGGCCACAATTGTTGAACATAATACCCATTCAGGGGTTAAGTTTTACAACTTTTAAAGAAATACTCCAATTTTAAACATGAACCTAACATTTATGAATTCAGTCTTTTTTTGGAAGATTTTGTGTTTCGTATCCAAAGGATCCTTAAATATCCCAGAATACAGATGTTTACTGATTGGTCGTGTACAGCACTTGTTCACAATAGAACATGCTGTGGAAAATATCGCTGATTATCGATCTCTGTAACTCTCTTATCTCGGGACTGTACAATTCGTACAATTCTGGGTGATTTTGCGTACATAAGCTATTTATATTTATTTATTTATCTATGAGGACACCCCGTAGATAAAGTAAATAAAATCCGCATCGAAAAATATATATTTTTGATGAGAAAAAGGAATTATTGATGAAGAATGAAGATGAAGGAAAAGATTAATTACAACCCAACCAAACATGTCAGATATTGATCCTGTTAATATATTATCTGACATATACATAGTATATGCATAACCATTACTGTCATTAGTCACAGCAATTCAAACTGAAAGGTTATTCTCCATAAGAAATTGGTTCAAAACTGTTTGTGGAGATTCGCGCCATTTATTTCCGAAGTACCTGTACTTATTTCCGTGAGATGTTTAGAAAGATGAAAATTAGTATAGTTTTGGTGAATTATATTGACTCTTTGTGAATTATATTGCGGGGTGCTTTGGGGTCATGCATGGAACTGATGGTCACTGGGTGGTACTGTGGAGTACTGGGTGCATATTGAGGGAAGGACGGGATAATGGGGGGGGGGGGTATTGTGGGATACTGCAGTTACTGGGTGGTACTGTGGGGTACTGGGTTCATATTGAGGGAAGGACGGGTTGATGGGGGTGTTATGGGATACTGCAGTTACTGGGTGGTCCTCATGGGTACTGGAGATAATAGGGGGTATTGCTGGGTACCTCACAGTACCCCACAGTACCCAGCAATTACAAATTTGCGTGGTTGCCATCCCTCCCTCCATTAAGTGAACAGCTGGTTAGTATTAAACCAGATTTTTCGTGCATGAAAATTGTGCAAAACTAAGAAATTATACTAAGAAGTGCTTCTGACTGTACTTACATATTTTCATCAAAAATAAAAATTCTGTTTGGTTTGGCAATTTAGAAAAAAACGTGTCGGTTAAAGAAAGTTTAATGAAGTATATGCAATCACCCATTAATTTAATCAAAATTTAAACCTTTTAGAGTTTATGGGACGTTTTCAAAAAAAAAATGCTAAAAAAATATTTCCGACACCCCTAGGCTTAGTACGTCAATAAGATTCACCAAAACATACAGTCCTTTAATTATCATACAGGGAAATTTTCATCTTTCTGAACATCCCGGGGTAAGTTTTTACAGGTTCTTTAACCTTATTATTTTATTCATCTAAAATTGCCCCCTACTCTTTCTCCTAACTACAGATAAAAAAGCATACAGGATGTTCCACGAAACGAGGGAGGGAACCCCGGACGCCATGAGCCTCTGCTATGCAGACACGAGCTCCCCAGATTTGCTAGGCAGACTGAGCCTCCAATATGCAGACCGTGCCTCCGCTATTTTAAAATTTAAATTCTCGAGTTAATATAACAAAATACCTCTAGTCTTGGCATTTCCAAAATGTGGTCTACCTTTCTTGTGCTTTTAATATTACAGGAGATTTCGTTCAAATTTCGTTCAAATTTGGTTTTATTTAATAAAATTGAAATCTGAACGAAATTCTCCGGTAATATTTACAACACAAAAAAGGCAGACCACATTTTGGAAATACCAGGACTAGAAAAATATTGTGGTTATCTCAAGAATCATACATGTGAAAGTAGGTTGACGACTGAATGTCTCAAATAAATTCAAAGTTCAAAGACGACTTTCAAATCGTCTTGCTACTGTCATGTTTCTTGGGACACCCTGTATATGCCACACCCCTCCTGAACAAACAAAAAAGCTTGAGTAAAACACAAAAGTTGACTCATCCAAAGTGAAAAGTTGTATATTATTTTGACTTTTTTTTTTTACCTTTTAGGACTTATTTTGGCAGACAAAACGTGTCTTTAGAACTAATGATATGAATTGACCTTTGATTAAATATTTGTTTTTATTTCTACAAGTAGCATGTTAAATTTTTTTATTGCTTTTGAAATTTTTCATAAAAAGTACTGGAACACATGTAAAATTCAAGATTAAGGTAATATACTCCAAGGTTTAAATGATCAACTCCATGGTTTAGAGTGACAAATCCGTCATTATGTTTTTAAATACAACTTCTCCAAATCTTTAAATATTCTTTTAAATGGATGAACAAAGATATTTCAAATTTATTTCTTCATTTTTTAAAGAAAATCCAAAAAATAACTTCATATTGAACAAATAAAATAAAATAACGTATATATTCTTTGGTATAATGCATGGTATAATGCATAAATAAACATAGGTTAACTATAGTTTAACCTTTAGTTCAACAAATTAAAATAAATATTTCCTATTTGGTTGAGATTAATAAACAGTAGGTTTAAAACATTTCCAAGAATATCTTGGTAGAGCAAAGTCCTCACTCCTCATATTGAATTATATTTCCCCTTTAAGCCTAAAAATATAAAATGTGTTTAATATAAGGGTGTAAACATTTTTCAAAATTCATTCTATTTTTCAAGAATACCGAAGCTGTGACTGAAAATATGCTTTTTAAAAATGGTTGAAACTAAAAAAAAAAATTTTTCCCACATCTTTTAGAATTGTAAATACTTGAAAATCAACATAATCTAATTTAGTTTCAGTCACAGATAAGGATTCGGGATTATATTACCAATAAGCTTTTGGAAAAGTTTAACGGAGTGTTAAGGAATTTGTCCTGGAATACGCCTCTCAATCAATATGTGTATAAAGATTTTAGTATAAAATTGATGGATAAAACAAGGTCAAGAGAAAATTAAAAAATTTTACCTGCAATTAAAGGCATTCTTGTCGATCATATCCGGGGCATGTAAACAGAACACTGTCGGAACATACAGAATGTACACATCTTAGCATAGTTTTTACCAGTCTAGATGTGTGTTTGGTCTTCCATTTCTCTTTTCTTATCCCTAAAATCTTCATAAATTATGTTTTTTTCAGATGAACGTTTCAATGTACATTACACAATACGATGAGTCATACTACGACAACAAGTCAATAGAATGGATATATCTCAAAAACATTTAGAAAAAGGAAACAATTTTTTTTATTTAATTCATGTTTATCTAAAACCTTCCCAGGCCAAAAACAAAATTTCTTGCGTGTATGTGAAAAATGAGTACAGGGATCCTTATTTTTAAAATTCTTTTTAAGACGCGAATCACTTCTGATTTATTTCTATAAACTTTTAACAGGTTTCTGTGCCGTGTTAAAATAAAAGGAAAGTTTTTGTTCCCTTACGTCGTAGCCGAGTATTATTAATTTTTACTTAAAAAAAACAATATATTATTCCTATAAAGATTTATTCCCAGCTAAAAAGTTTTTTTTTTATGTTTTTAAGCATAAAACGTCAATAGTTTGGGCCATAATATGAGCTGAGAAGAAAAAGAGCCTCAAATAAGGGCCTAAACTTTTATGTACAGTATTAAAATAAACACAAAATTGGCGTTTAGGGCGCACCCTCCACTTGCAAAAATGTAGGCGTTTAAATGTTACTTTTCAAGCGGTCAATTTTTTCGTAATTGTAAAGCTCAAAAGTAAAAGTTTTCGGTTTTTTTCGTAAACATTAATAGATTTTTGAAACTTTATAAAAACCGACATTTTTTCCAAGCATGAGGTCGAATAAGGCTTTACGACACAAATAAGGAAATATAGCTAGGTTTCACGATATGACCTATGCCAGATTACATTTCCTTCAATAAGAAAGAATTGTTGATATTTTTTTTGACATGCTTAAAATCAAAACAGTTTAAAACTGATGATAATTTCTTTAAAAAGCTCTAAATTAGAATAGATTTGTTTATACCTTGGTCCTAGAATTCTATTACTCTCCAGTATGTTTTCCAGACTAGTCTCCAAGTGTGGGAATTCATCGGAGAAATCTGTATTTGGTATAATGTAGTTGTGTGTTGAGATCGGAGAGACGGAGTTGAAATCTTGATCGTTCACGTCCTGGTATTGGGAAGATATGTCTGCACTTAGTTGAACTACGGCACGACAGGATAGATTGGTTCTTTTTATTCCAGCAGAGACTTTCTTGTCATAGTTCGATTCAATGCTTTCAATTCTTTCTAGGTGGGGAAAAAATTCGGCGGTAGGATCAACTAATCGACAATCGTACTCAGGAGACGAAAAGAACTGCTCTTCATTCTCAGGGTTGTCTGAGAACACAGAACTGTGGTGGTTTCCTTCCCTCTCCGTGGTTTCAACAAACATGGCAATGTTCTCCATAATTTCTGGTTCCAAGGGACAACCTTCTCTCCTGCTAAGAGAACCAGTATAAGAGCGTTTGTCGCATGTAAAGTCTTTGCTTCTGTAATCTTCGAAATCTAAATTAAAATCCTGCGTTGACATGCTTACATTTGATTTGTGTTCCTGCTTTATTTCACAATTGTTCATTAGATTGCCAACAATTTCATTAAATTCATCAAGATTGGAACTTTCTCCCTCACATATTTCTTCTCCCATTATCTTATCAAGTTGTGAGAACTCCATTCCCCTGGATCGCTCTAGGGATTCGGAAAACGATTCTGCCAATTGATCAGGACTAAAATTCATGTGGTTCTCAGAGGAGAGAAGATTTATGTCAAGTTTATTAAATGATGAATCCTCCGCGATGAGGTTGATGTTATCATTAGGTTCTCTATCAGACATTAGGAACTGATTGCAGTTATCTATCAAGAAATCGTCATGTTCTCCACCCATTTCTATGGACTGGATTGCGGCTAGAGTCTCCGCGTTCTCATTGAGAATAAACTTGTGATTTGAGAGAACGAAATCCTGATCCCTGCTCAATAAATCAGGTATTCTAGATTGATCCAAACTAACATCTAATTCATGCTCTCCCTCGTCTGTCTCCGTCTCTGAGTCTAAACGAGGTTGGATGGTTCCTGTGACCTGACATTGATTTGTCGGCATAAATACAAAAGAATCTAAGGGTTGTAGGGACCAGTCAGTCTGACAACCTGTGCTGGAAACGGAAACCTTTGGCGGATTTAAACTGGATTTCCTTGTCTCAAGGGTAACAGGGAAATGTCGAACGTTACCTGAAATCATTAAAAAAATTAAACCAAGCATCTCATGTTTGGTGGAGGTAATACTTTATTCATTCAAAGTTAAAATACAACATTTGAAAGTCATATAATTTCATGCTTGCAAAACATTAAAAGAAAATTATTTTAAAATGTTTCTCTCACCTTTAACATTAGGCTGCATGGTTTCTAAGATATCAGGTTGATCAGTGATTGGGTTGGCTAAATCTCTACTATCTAGATGGACAGGAGACCTTGACAAAGAGGTTATAATCCCAGTTTCAAGACTTGGTTTCAGAGCTGAGAATACAGCTGGAATAGGTGTAGGAGAAGGTTCATCCTCAACCGTATCAATGTGGAGAGGAAGAGAAGGAGAGGTTGGAGAAGAACGTGTAGAAGGCAAAGGCGGACAAGTAGATGGACGAACAGGAAGTGTTTGAGGAGAAGTGGAGACCACTGGAGAAGATACAGGAACTGTGTTCCTCTTTACAACGAGTTGTGACGGAGATGATATTTTTGGTTGTTTTTTGTCTAATAAAAGCTTCGGGAGTAATGATACTGAGGGTTGTGAATTAATAATGGATTTGGAGTATATACGGGTAGAAGACTTTACTAGGGAAGAACTTGGGTTTGTTCGACCAGGTTTCCGATTAATTAAAGTAATATTCACTCCAGGTCGAACTGAGATCTTATTATTCATTATTGGAGGTGGAGGGTTTGCAGACCCCTGGTTTGGAGTAGGGTTGAGAGTTGTATCATCTTCTCTGGAGTCAGTCCTACATAAAATTCTTCTGGTTTCATTAGGCTTTGGGATTGATTTAATAACAGAGCAATACACAAGATGCTCTTTCTTAGAACCTACATTTTTCATGTTGGACTGGATAGGTTCAGACTTTGATTGATTTATTTTCAGATTAATCTGAGCTTGAAGATCCTGGAGAGATGTTCCAGTGAGCCCACCGCTAGCATTCATCTCACCAGCAATACCATAGGGGACAATCTCGCTTTTTGGAATCAAATACCTTTATAAATACAGATGGTTGTAGAGTTTAATCGCTTAAAGGGACTGTAAGCGTAATTTTAAAATGTAAATACTACTAGAAGGATTTACAAGGGTGCCCTTGAAACCTTAATCTGATAAGTAATTTGAAAGATATTGTCGTTTTCTAGGTTTATAATAGTGTTTAATTCTGATAATTCATAAATATTTTCATGCAATAAAAATTCGCAAGTTATTTTTAAAGAGAAACCAAAATTATCAGTTTTAAAAATTATAAGCATTGATATCTAATGAATACTTGATCAGACAATAGTTTTAAGGGTACCCTTGTGAATTGAACTTTGATAAGCAGGGTCATCTTAACTTTGATATGCAGGGTCATCTTAACTTTGATATCCAGGGTCATCTTAACTTTGATATACAGGGTCATCTTAACTTCAGGTACATCTTAACTTTGAAATACAGGGTCATCTTAATTTTGATATCCAGGGTCATCTTAACTTTGAAATACAGGGTCATCTTAACTTTGATATGCAGGGTCATCTTAACTTTGATATCCAGGGTACAGGGTCATCTTAACTTTGATATCCAGGGTCATCTTAACTTTGATATACAGGGTCATCTTAACTTTGACTAACTTAACTTTTGTGGAATAAGCATTAAGGATCAAAGATAATGCATCTAACGAGGGGCATGCCCGATTCACAGCGGCAACATTGGTCAATAATATGGAAGATAAAGTAACTGGCTTTTCTGGCTTACAGGGTATCATTCTAAAGAAATATGCAAGCCATTTTGTAGAGTTAACAAATGAAAATAAGAACTTTCAAAAACAAAAACATGGATATCTAATTCATTTTGGAAAGACGAGGCTTTTAAGGGCAGCATTGGGTATCGTACGTGCCCCCCTATCAATAAGGGTTCATTGAAATTACGTTTTTAGTTCTTTTAGTCGCACTTCTGTATTATAAGAGAGGAAATCAAACCTGGAAAAAAGGTTGTTTACAAGGATGGAGATTCGACCAAAAGGGCTAAATATTTATATTGTAAATAAGATGTATTATTGGTTCCTACCTCTTCACTAAAATATCTGACTAATCCCTTACCCCCGACTTTATAAGATAAAAGTGTACTACCTTGTCGTATATGATCCTTGTGAGAGACTATGGGAGCAGTACAAGTGCGGATAATTTTCTCCGAAATAAACAAATTTGCCAATATTTGCCATTCCAGGATACAGTTTCTTTCTATCCTCCTAATCAATAGAAATTCTCAGTTAATTGTGCCAGGTTATAATAGTATGATGTTCAAATGTTTAGGATAAAATAAGAATGCTTGCGTTATATATCATAAAGTTGTAAAAAACGAACTTTTCAGTAGAAATAAAACCATGGAAATCATTGCTCATTTGCATGCAGATTAAATTGAGAATGCCATTCCTGAGAGTTACTCTTGGAATCAGAATCTTCTGGACCTTTTGAAGAACTTGCTTCTGATTCTTCCGGGTCCTTTCTTCTCCAGCTTTCAAGCTTCATTATATTACGCAGATGCTGATCAGCCAAGAATGCTTCGTACTCAGGGTTCTCAGATTCAGTAATTCTAATAGTTGGATCTGAGTACGAGTTTAGGATTGAAGGTGGCCCTACTAAACCCTGTGGAAGGATTTTAGGAGAACTAATCATATTCTTAAATTGCACAGATTGGGAAGATACAGATGCCTCCGTGCATAATGACTTAGAACTGGTGGGTTCTTCGTGACAGGTTCGGTGAGTTCCAGTGGAACCTTCAAAACGAATCCGTTTTGAACCAATAGATTCTTCAGAATGGATCGTTTTCAAACCAAAAGCTTTATCTGGATGGATTGGTTTGGAATCAAGGGAATCTTCTGAATGGATCGGCTTCGGGCGAAAAGATTCATCCGGATGGATTGGTTTGGAACCTATAGATTCATCAGGAGGGATCTCCTTGGAACCTATAGATTCATCAGGATGGATCACCTTGGAGCCAATGGAATCTTCTGGATGGATCATTTTAAAACCAATAGATTCTTCAGGATGGATCACCTTGGAACCAATAGATTCTTCTAGATGGATCTTCTTCGAACCAATAGATATTTCTGGATGGAACACGTTGGAACTAATAGAATCTCCAGAACGGTTCAGCTTGGATCCAAATGACTCTTCTGGGTGGATCACCTTAGAACCAATAGAATCTTCTGGATGGATCGTTTTAGAGTCAGCAGAATTGTTTGTATTTATTGGCTTGGAAACAATGGAATCTTCTGGATGGATCGAGTTGGGACTAATAGAATCTTTTGGATAGATCGTTTTAGTGTCAGTAGAACTTATTGAATGAATGGGCTTGAAACCAATGGAGTCTTCTTGATTTAACAGGTTGGAACCAATAGATTCTCCAGGATGAACGGGGTTGGAACCAATAGATTCTCCAGGATGAACGGGGTTGGAACCAACAGATTCTCCAGGATGAATGGGGTTGGAACAAATAGATTCTCCAGGATGAATGGGGTTGGAACCAATAAATTCTTCCGGATGAATGGGATTGGAACCATTAGATTCTCCAGGATGAATGGGGTTGGAACCAATAGATTCTTCCGGATGAATGGGATTGGAAACAATAGATTCTCCAGGATGAATGGGGTTGGAACCAATAGAACTTTCAAGATGCATCAGGTTGGAACCAGTAGAACTTTCAGAATCTATGGGGTTGGGTTTGTCGTTACAAACAGTTCTCAGACTTCCACTGGTGTCGTTACATTTGTAACGACACCAGTGGAAGTCTGAGAACTGTTTGTAACGACACCAGTGGAAGTCCGAGAGCTAGTTGTAACGACACTAGTGGAAGTCTGAGAACTGTTTGTAACGACACCAGTGGAAGTCTGTGAGGTTGTAGAAAAGGCACCAGTGCTGTTTGGTAATACACCAGAATCTTGGATCAAAACTGAATCTGGATCCTTAGAATGGGAACTGCTCATATCCTCATTAACACTTATCTACGCGACACAAAAATTCTTTAAACACAGGCTAATTACAAGATTATTTTAAGAAAAGAAATGTGTTTTAGGCCACAAAATCAGCCACTACCTGAAGTCTTACACCTGCCCCACAAAATGAAAATTTAGACAAACCCCTTCATTAGGTCCAAATAATCTTTGATAAATTGACTCAAAACTGGAAAGAATTGTTCATCCTCGAAAATGTTTAATGTGTTAAAACGTATAAATTTTAAATTTATGTTTCCGTTGATTTTCAAGGTTTCACAGTTGTATGTTGCAAGGGGGGGGGACTATATTCTAAGTGATTTTGATATCTGGCTTGAGGTTGCTTAAACAAAATGTGCCCATTTCTCAAAAAAAAAATCAAGTAAACGGTTTGAAAAGCTAACTAATTCTTCTAGAAAAAAACTGGCGAGTGTGCTGAATGTTAAAGATTAACAGAAATGAAAATGTTAATTTTATTCAACAAAATAACTAAACAATAACTTTAAACCCGTTATTGGTAAAATTTTTAGGGATTACTGTGGTGAAGTCACTATTTTAAAGAATAAAAATGTTTAAATTCTTTAATGAAGAAAGAATTTTATCCTTGTTGCTGGAGTGCCTTGTTTTAAGTTCCAACGAAGGTTCCAATTTATCCTCCTCCAGTTGAACAGAAACAATGGATACTTCAGTCTCAGGATCATTTCCGTCATCCATCCTAGAACGCTTTTGCTCCGGCTCACAGAATTCGGAACATTTGGAAATTCTTTTAACGTCACTTAAGTTACATCCTCGTCCAAGCTTAGAAGTACACCTGGAGCTTAGCATGTCAGACTCATTAATCACAGGTTTCTTTATACCCGGGGGCTTTTCCTAAATAATTGCTAGATCAACAGATTAAAAAACCTTACTTAACAGTTCATCGTTCCTTGTTTTTATTTTACCTAAGAAAAGTGAGCAGTAAATTAAGTTGGGAACTATTGAACGTTAACAAAACCAAGAACTCGGATATAATTTTACTTGTCTAAAACTAGATTTATCAAGTTACTAGTAGTTAATTAGACCTAGATCTAATATAATGCCTATGCCTACCTACTTCTTGGTACCTTACCTAATAAAAATGTATTTATTAACTAGTTACTGTCGTGGGATTTAAAATAGCTGCAGTGTCTTAAGGTTTTTAATAAGGCTAATCAACTAGATACTGTCTAAGAGAAATATCTATTGACTAACTGCAGTATCTAGAGATATATCCAGTAACTAGCTGCAGTATCTAGAGATATATCCATTAACTAGCTACAGTATCTAGAGATATATCCATTAACTAGCTACAGTATCTAGAGATATATCCAGTAACTAGCTGCAGTATCTAGAGATATATCCAGTAACTAGCTGCAGTATCTAGAGATATATCCATTAACTAGCTACAGTATCTAGAGATATATCCATTAATTAGCTGCAGTATCTAGAGATATATCCAGTAACTAACTGCAGGATCTAGAGATATATCCATTAACTAGCTACAGTTTCTAGAGATATATCCAGTAGCTAGCTGTAGTATATAGAGATATATCCAGTAACTAGCTGCAGTATCTAGAGATATATCCATAACTAGCTCCAGTATCTAGAGATATATCCAGTAACTAGCTGCAGTATCTAGAGATATATCCATTAACTAGCTGCAGTATCTAGAGATATATCCATTAACTAGCTCCAGTATCTAGAGATATATCCAGTAACTAGCTGCAGTATCTAGAGATATATCCATTAACTAGCTACAGTATCTAGAGATATATCCAGTAACTAACTGCAGTATCTAAAGATATATCCAGTAATTAGCTGCAGTATTTAGAGATATATCCATTAACTAGCTACAGTATCTAGAGATATATCCAGTATCTAGCTGCAGTATCTAGATATATACAGTAACTAGCTGTAGTATCTAGAGATATATCCAGTAACTAGCTGCAGTATCTAGAGATAAATCCAGTAATTAGCTGCAGTATCTAGAGATATATCCATTAACTAGCTACAGTTTCTATCTAGCTGTAGTGTCTAGAGATATATCCAGTAACTAGCTGCAGTATCTATAGATATATCCAGTAATTAGCTGCAGTATCTAGAGATATATCCAGTAACTAGCTGCAATATCTAGAGATATGTCCAGTAACTAGAGATATATTCAGTAAATAGCTGCAGTATCTAGAGAATATCCAGTAACTAGCTGCAGTATCTCGAGATATATCTAGAAACTAGCTGCAGTATCCAGAGATACATCTAGAAATTAGTTGCAGTATCTAGAGATATATCCAGTAACTAGCTGCAGTATCTAGAGATAAATCTAGAAATTAATTGCAGTATCTAGAAACTAGCTGTAGTATCTAGAGATATATATCTGGAAACTAGCTGCGTATCTAGTATTTAATGAAACTAATCAACTAGTTACTGTCTGAAGCTAAATCCAAGAACTCCAGTAACTTGTCAACACCTAGATTAATGGTATAAATCTTTGGCTGGGAAAAGCCTCTTTGTCCCTCTTCAAAACAAAATATGAATAGAAAGATCTAATATAAGAATATAATTATTGCATTTATAATTTAAAGGTTTAGCCACAACAAACAAAACTAAAATGAAGATTTGAAGATTCTTAAATTTCCTATTGGAGATTTTTACAAAAACACAAAAATGATAAAATAGTAGAAAGATAATGAATCTATCTGAACAGTCCGAATTTATGGTTTCTTTCTTTTTCAGAATAGGTTAAACTAATTAATATTTAATTCTGAATGGATCATCAATTTTTTAGATCTGATTTCTGTCAAGGTTGGAACCGTTTTACGAATATCAAAAACTCGCATGAAAGACGACAAAAACTATAATTCGAAAGGGTTTAAAGAAAACTTCTCTTCATTTGGGTTAAAAAATAGGCAGTTAGTTGCCTCAGGAAGTTACGTGCACTTACATCGTTGAATTACAAGAAGAGAGAGATTAGTTTATATTTTATGGTTATAGGTTAGGTTAAGAAACTTTCTGGGACAAGCGCTCCGGCTAGAACAGGCTAAGAGGCCGAGCGCCGCGGAGGACAGACTCTTTCTGTCTTAAAATTTAACACGGCATGCGCAACTAACTTCCTTGAAAACTGAGAACGGTAGAAAAAGATAACTCTTTTCAATAATTGATCCCCACACATAACTCCAATTTTCTAATAATCCCGGTATGGACTGAGCCCCAATCCCTTTTCCGCAAAACTTTAAATCAGGGGAAATTAGTTCCAAAACTAATACTTGGCCCATTTCTAACACTTAGTGTTAGAAATAGGCCAAATCTGCAAAGTTATCTTCATCAAGCCGAGTTAAACAGAACTACACCATACATGGCTAAAAGTATTTATTGATAAGGTGTGAGAATTAATTTTTCGATGATTCACGTTTTCATTTTCGAACATATCCCTATTTTGAAACAATTACCGGATTTTAGCATATGTCGCGTTTTTTAAGCATATCCTGGTTTTGAGAAAACTACTAGAATTCATATCAATGTCATTTTCAAGTATTTACGTAATTACGCAATAAAACAAGATTTTTGATAAGGTAAAAGAAAAACATTACGGCATTAAGATATCAAAATATTAATTTTATTTTGTTCTTATGCAATGTTATAGATTTAACTAGAAATGCGGGAAATTGATTATTTAAAATGCAAGAAACTAAATCAACTTTATTCTCTTATTTAACAAATAAAGTGTGCAATCTTAGGTTCTAAATATAATTCAGAAGTTAATTTAGTTTTCAAAAGATATTTTTTACTTTCAGTGATTTATTTTGTAAGTTATGAAAATGAGGTTTGTTTTGAATTGCGGATTATTCACAAAAACGGGAAAGTGGGTTTTGTCTCGAAACATGAAATGTTTCAAATTCAGGATATGTTTGAAAATGGAAAACCTGACATTTTCTTGAAAACGGTTAAGAGATTCAATATAAAAACACTTGTGATGCTGAAAAAAATGTTGGTTATAGTATTTACTATAAACTTTTACTTTCAATATGGGCCGGGATCCTAAAACCCAAATCTTTCGATTTGTGCACATTTCTAGGAACAATGTCCCTTGTAAATGTAATACAACAAATCTCAGATATTATGGAGCTGTTTTTATTAGCCCATATATTTTGTAAACAAACTAATTTAGCCTGTCGATTACAGGTTACAATATTCTTCGTGGTTAACTCTGTACCTGGAGCACTTCCAAGTTACTGTCTCCCTTACAACGACGAGGACGGGGCCCTCCCCCAGAAATACTCATTGTAAAATCTATAAATATGAAAACATTTACATATAGCATAATACATATAATTTCATAATTAATAACTGTCAAGAACTAGTTGATAGGCCTGTTGCTCCTGTATCAACGGTTTCCTAAGTTGTATCTTGTGACACATAAACATCATTTGAAATTTTTATTTTAAGTAACGATTAACTATTTGTTCAACACGAAACAGTGTTTAAAGTCCGCTGTAAGTATGCATTGAAAAAAAGCAAGTGGGATTAGCGAAGTACATATTTGCGGCATTGGTACATAATCAAACCAGGGATAAACAATTTTCATTTTTTACTGGATTAAAAACTATAAGTTTTTACATAAAAAATTTATAATTAAATAAATACTTTTAAATTCATAATTTAAAATAATTCGAAACGATTTAAACAACATTTAAAGTCCACTTCATAAATAATATTTTACAAATGTTTTCCCAAATAATATAGGTATCTTCATAGAATAATCTAAACGTCAGTAGATTTGAAATGAAAATCGTCCATGGTGCAGTATATATGCCCCTCCTGGAGCAGATAGTCCAGAGCCGGAGACAACCTACTCCGGGGATATCCTGAACTCTGTGCCAGAGCATCCAAGCTCATCCCCATCTCAGTGTAGCAAGATCTATATTATAATAAGTATTGTTTTCCTGTAAATTACAGAGATAACGACTCCTAAGAATATATAAAACGTTCCAATTCTATAGCATGGCTTCTAGAATAATCAAATTGTAATGAGAACCAGAAAACAATGGAATAGGAAGACGACAAAACAGCAATTCTTGAGAATGGATTGTATTACATCCGTCCTACGATACTTCAGCCTACCCGCACGTGGTTTTTCGGCAGCGGTCCGATGACTGCAGTATGTCGGATACACATTTAATTTTAAAAAAAGTTAGTGTATCCGACCTACTGTATAGGTCGTTTGCAAATCTTAACATCCTACCTACAAAATGTGTTCATCAGACCTCTAAAAGTTGTGCATCCGACCTACAAAAAGTGTGCATCCGACCTACAAACTTGTGGGGAACGGAAACAGCGAGATCCTTATGGTAGTCAACTACATACTGACAAGGTCGCAAGATCTGCAGTTCCTGAGTATAGGTCGCAATAACAAAATAGAATGTACATCCGACCTACAGATGTCGTAGGTCCGAAGTATCTTAGGACGGAAGCATTGTAGGACGGAAATGCCTTAGGACCGAAGTAACATTACCTGAGAATGTTTGATGTTGTTACAAAGCAATTAGTTCTAGTAACTTATTAAGTCACTTATTAAATAAAATATAATTGTGTTTACATTGCTCAATTTTTGTGTCTCATGTTCAATGAAAGATTTAAAGTCATACATTGAGTTAAAAGAAGTTTGCAATTAATGCATGAACATTCTTTGATTAATGAATTTTAAATTTTTGAGGAGTTCTCCTGTTTTACCTCAGGATTTTAAGAATGATCTTAGCATCCGGTATTCCAGAGAACTCGTCCTGGGTTCGGTAGGATTGATAATCTCCAGCAGGAATCATTCTCTGTGTTCCCAATCCTGTATTGGACCGGGGGGCTGAGTAGGGATTATGCTGAGAAGGATTCATTCCTTTCCTAGGGAAATCCGAGTAAACCTCTCCTGTGTAATGAGATTGAGCGATAGCAACACGTCTCTCCTGTACCCGATGCATCTTGAGAGGAATGAGAACAAGTTCTAGAAGATGAGAATCAACCTCACCTAAACTTGACATAGTCCAGATCCGTAGAATAAGGATTGATTTCTCCTCCCGTCCTGGTTTCAACATTCCAACAATACCAACATGATCTCCAGGTTTGATATTGCTCAACTCATCCTCTACAACTTATTTTGTAAACAAAATAGTTAAACTAGAATTGTTTGGAATTCAATAATCAAGATTGAAAGAAAATAATGATTTAAAAATTTGTGAAACAAACACTGAAGAACATGGAGCAACCCAATAGAAAATTGAACAATTGATTTGGGAGGAAACATGAACATATGCCAGGGAGTAGAACATGAAGAATAGGGAGGAACATGAACATATGCCAGGGAGTAAAACATGAAGGATAGGGGGGAAACCTGAACAATGTCAGGGAGTAGAACATTAAGTATAGGGGGGAAAGCTGAACAATGTCAGGTAGTAGAACATGAAGGAAAGGGGGGAAAGCTGAACAATGTCAGGTAGTAGAACATGAAGGATATGGGGGAAACCTGAACAATGTCATGGAGTAGAACAGGATATGGGGGAAACATGAACAATGTCAGGGAGTAGAACATGAAGGATAGGGGGGAAACCTGAACAATGCCAGGGATTAGAACATGAAGGATAGGGGGGGAACCTGAACAATGTCAGGGAGTAGAGCATGAAGTATAGGGGGAAACATGAATTATGTCAGGGAGTAGAACATGAAGGATAGGGAGGAAACATGAACAATGCCAGGGATTAGAACATAAAGGATAGGGGGGAAACATGAACAATGTCAGGGAGTAGAACATGAAGAATATGGAGGAAACATGAACAATGTCAGGGAGTAGAACATGAAGGATATGGGGGAAACATGAATTATGTCAGGGAGTAGAACACGAAGGATAGGGGGGAAACATGAACAATGTCAGGGAGTAGAACATGAAGGAAAGGGGGGAAACCTGAACAATGTCAGGGAGTAGAACATGAAGGATAGGGGGGAAACATGAACAATGTCAGGGAGTAGAACATGAAGGATAGAGGGGGAACCTGAAAAATGTCAGGGAGTATAACATGAAGGATAGGGGGGAAACATGAACAATGTCAGAGAGTAGAACATGAAGGATAGAGGGGGAACCTGAAAAATGTCTGGGAGTATGAAAAAAATTCACGTGACAGATTACTAAACAATTGATTGCATTTATTTGATCAAAAACAATAAGTTTCCTTGTGATTCTGTATATTTCAAAGCCTCAATACTAGCAGTTCTATCTTCAATTCTGTAGCTTATTCTTGTAGCAGCTTCATCAATACTAACTACTCAGCACTGTATTTAATTTGCCGTTTGTATTAATGTAGAGTATGTTGACTACATTTACAAGGTTAGCATAAAATAATTTTATAAAACTATCCGAAAACATGTTCTACCCTGGAACAGTTTTGCAAGAAGAATATATTTCAAGTTTGATCTGGAAAATTGAATGAATTGCTCACCTATCAAAAAGTACACGTGATGAAATATTTTGTTTTGGAATAAAATGAAACCAGCAATTTTACCACTGAAACTGTGATAAATACTTTCTGTCAAAACATGTAACCTTCACGTTTTTGACCGTAAAATCCCGAATTTCAAGGATTTTGACAACATTTTTCGAATAATATGACACAGTTTTATTGATAAAATAACATTAATGATTAATTCATCTATACACAGATATTAGTTTTGAACTAAGTAATCGTAAGTTTCAGTTTTTTTCCTTGAGTTGGCTTGATTGCGCTCCTAATTCCCAAACTAGGTAATAACCCTAGTAATACATTTCCAAAAATGTACTGGCACAGAATTTCTTCTGGAATGTATTGTCGGCTTAAATCTTCCAACCCTCGGACATCATCTTGTCTTTGGGTCGTTAAGAAGATTGACCCATCAATTTACTTCTGCGAAACCCTTATACTCATTAATTAAAAAAAACTCTTTTTCCAAACAGGCCTGTAAATCCTTATAATTAACAATCTTCAGTTTATTTACCTAGAATTACCAGTTTAAGATAGGCGAAGGATTCATTCATTAAACATTTTATTTCACATTAGAAGTTCTTTAAATGTTCATTATAAAGTTTGCAGTTTGATAAAATTCAACTCACTGAATAGAAGTTGCAAACTTTGAGCGCAAAGTCGACCTTTAAAATAATCCATTTGGGTGGTTACGTCTTGAGAATAAAGTTTTAAAAAATTATTAAATAACGACGACAAAAAATGTAACAAAAATTCTATAGTTAACCAATTAGTTGATTAGGAACAGATTTAGAAAAATAAATTGACTCTTATTAACGAAAATAAGTAATCTTATTTGTTTATTTAATTTAAGAAATTCATTATAATGATTAAAAAGAAATAATTGATTCTAACATTAATTTACTGACAAATTTTTATTGAGAAACATGTTTCCAAACATCTAATTAGTTTACTGTCGAATTTATTTACATTTTCTGTCGTCGTTATTCAATGATTTAAAAAAATCAATTTTCAAAACGTAACCACCAAAAAGGATGATTTGAACGTCGACTTTGCGCCCAAACTCAGTAATTATACATCTTTAAAACGTTTTATATGTCTCAAATGAATCCTAAAAATTTCCTCCACTTTTCTAAACTTGGAATACTTAAATTGTCTGATATACACAAACATAATGCTTCTACTTTTATGTATGAATATATAAAAGAAAAACTTCCTTGTCTTTTAATGAAATGTTTGCTCCATTTGTAGAACCTAATAGGACACAAATTTTTAAATTGGAATTACTAAGAAACAAATATCTTAAACCTTTTCCAAAAATATTTCTTACGAGAATTCGAAGTTGTGTTCCAATCGATCTAATGAATATTAAATGTTCATTTTCAGTACTTAATTTCAAAACGAATAAGAAAATTTATCTGGCTTCTAGATATAAGGAATTTAAATGTAAAAAACAGGAACTGGTACTCATGTAATTTGTAAATCTTGTAAACCACTCTGTAACATATTATCGCCAAAAATTGGATTTTTTAGTGCTGGGGTTTCTCCTTTCCTTCCATTTAAAAAAAAAAATGTACCTATACAACCGAAACAACCAGAAATGGTTAGGCTGTACTCCTAGCTAAAGATTTGAATTTCCGTGCCGAGTCAACCTTTCCGGTCCCAGTCTGTATTGTATCGCCCGGACATTGGGTAAATAAAGTAGACACTCAATAGGACTAGCCGGTGCAATAAGGTTGACACGGCCAGACTTTAGGTTGAATTTACTTTTACTAAAGGGTCAGAGGTGCGTGCAGAAGGGGGGTTAAAAAGAGGGGTGTAAAAACCAGGGTTTAAAAAAAACCAGCCCAGTGAATTTTATAGGGTTTTTTTGGCTTTTAAATTTGAAATTAGTTAAAACTTACTAAAATTCATACTAATTCATAATAATAAGACTATTTAAGCAATAGGTGAACTTTATAGTTCAGAAAAATAATAATGTTGTGATAAAAGGCGATAATCATATATAAATACTCAAATACAATAATATCACTTCCCTTATTCAAGGGTTGAATACTGCAATTTTTTTATATTATAGTTCTATAAGTTTCAGACGAATTTAATTTTCTCACTTGGATACATAATTCTGATTGGGAGTGGGGCTGCTCAGATTAATCGGAGGATATTCAATATGTATCTGCTCAAGAAGCATACCTAAAAACTTCAATGACAAAGGAATTTTAAACCCTTGTTCTATCGCAACAAATTTTGACAGCTCTGATGTAGTACTGTGTATCTTATTGGGGTCATTGGGGTTTTCAATATCTTTGATCCTTGTTATTCAACTGCAGATCATTGAATGCTTCAGTTTTATACAATTGGATTTGTCTGATGTCAAACTTATAGAAACCGTCATGAAGTCCAAAATTACAAGGTTTGAATAATTAAATATTTTTTTTTAAATAACTCAATATTCGAACAATATTCATTGTTAAGATCATTGGTTTAAGTCTTAGGAAATGAATAAATATTCAAAAACCCAATAAAACCCGAAAAAAGCCCACTTACAGGGGGGTTTTTAAAGTGTTTTTTTGAGCTGGTTTTTTTCATGCCAACCCTGGTTAAAAATCAGCGGCGCTTGGCACCAATACCTGTCCAACAACCTTGACCATCCCCACATCCTGTCCTCCAAATGTTAGAGGACCGTCCTCCTCCGAGTGTTGAACCAGATCTAGGATCTGCATTGGAACTACATTCTGGTTCTTAGATCTCCGTACAGGAGGGTTCTGTGAACCCTGCTCCTGGGAGGAGGTAACCGTGTATCCGGCACTCACGTAGCTACTGTTAGTAAACATAGTAATATATCCCTACAAGATACAGGTTAGAGCACAGTGTAGATTATATTTAAGTAAAACAGAACTTCATATTAATAAATTTAGCATTGTTAAGATGAATCACAATATGATTATCATTTATCACATGAGAATTAATTTTTATTTATCTTAAAAACTTTAACGAATTGTTTCGCCTCCTCTTCTGAGTGAATGACGGGGTGTTTCTGAAAGAATTTCTCTGTGACTGATTTGACGCTAACCTTCTCTGCAGATCTGCCTAGCTTTAGAACACGATGGGTCAACTCCCGCGCCAATATCTTAAAAACCGGTTTGGAATCAATCATGCCGGATTTCTTAAAAGGAACCAACGTCTGAATGAACTCATCAGCAATCTTCAATTTTAGTTTCTTCATTTCTTTTTCATTCAAAGTTTTAGAATTGCGCTTTGCTGGAGAGGGTTTGTGGCCAACGTTTGGAGTTGGAGAAATGGAACCAACCTCGGTCTTTAGCTTAGACAAACTTTTCTTTTCTTTTAAACTTTGAACGTAAGCTATCTGATCCATTCCTTCCTTCATCTCTCTGCTCAGTTTATCAATCTTCTCTTGAATCTTGTTAACAGTCTCGTTCTCACTAGTTTCTTTATATTCCGTATCAAAAACGGGGTTTTCTCTTCCAGGGGATTCAAATTTTTCATTCATGTGATAATTCTTCATACGTTTACTCGTTGACGGTTGTGATTCAGGACTTTTTACTAATTCCTCTTTCTCTGGTTCATTATCATCGTTTAGATCATCTTCCTCATTGATCTCTCGATCCTCAAACTCTTCTATTTCATCATCTTCATCTTCAAGATCTATCATTAAATCAAATGTTGGACTTGGTGACTTCTTTTCTCCATTTCTCTCCTCCTTTCCAGGGGTAGAAACCGGAGTAAAATAATCGTGCAAACTTTTCTGAGTATTTTCTTCTCTCTTAATTCTGAATCCTGAACCCCTGGGTTTAACCGGAGTTTCAATCTTCTTCTCCGTCCCAACCTGTTTGGCTAAATCTAGTAAACTCTTCTTATCAACAACCTCGGGCTTGTAGTTGACAAGGATCTCGGAGATATCCAGCTTTTTAGAATCAGATTTGATGGATGTTATGAGGGTTGCCATTCGTTTCCTATACATGGTGACAACCTTGTTTGCGGTGAATATCTGGTATTCTGCCTGTATAGCAGCCTGCAGGATATCATGGTTCTGCAGTTCTATATTACTAAAACCTTTGCTTGCTCTGTAGTTTTCAGCTAGAGAAGATTCCACTAAACTCATATAATCCTCTCTTGTCTTCACATCTAAACCAGCAATCTTATTTGTTGTAAACTCGGCTGCTTTTACCTAAATAAGATAGAATATTAAAATTAATCAACATTTTAATTAAATCATGAGATTGTTTTACCATCACCATATACAACAATTATTTTGCGTTGATAATGGACAATTGGCTTATTACCGTTCTGAAAACCTCGGTTTAAAACATATGAAACAAGAAAATAATATAAATACATTTTTTTGACGGAAATTCATTAAAGCGTCAAAGCCCTAGTTTGTTACAGAGGGGGGGAGGAAATTCTAACAAGTTTTTAATACTGTAATATTCTCCAACTCACCTTAGCATACATAGTTGCAATATCTTCTTCTTTATTCACCTCATCCTTGTCACTAGCCTTCCGTAGTTTAAATTGTTTCTTGATTACAGAACGTAGTTCCTTCTTGGCTCTCTCCTCTCTTCCTTCAGTATCATCTTCTCCATCATCTCCTCCATACCCTTCCGCCAGGCGTTTCTGTCCAACCCGTCCTTCTCCGTAGAGAGATGAGGAGTCTCCTAGTTGAATAGGTCCAGAGATAAACCCTTTCTTAAACATAGCACTGTTCAGGAAGGATTCAACGGCTTGTTGCACCTCTTTTGGGTTCTTGCACACGTCGCACTTGTCGACACATTGAGGCAGGGAGTCGCCAAAGTATCGACTGAAAACAGCATGTCGACAGTTTACTGTCTCGCAGTATTTCACCATAAGCTCGAAGCTCTTCATACCGGCCTCCATCTTCTTTTTCCTTGACTCTGTTTTGGCGGTCCCTATCTCCTTCTTGATCAAGAATGCCGTAGTATCCCTCTCCCGAGCACTGTAGTAGATCCTAACAAATATTCTTACAGTCTAACCCAGAATTTCGGAGGAGTCGAAACAAATTATAACATGTCGTCTTGACAATTTTTCCATGAGTTTTATACAATAATTACCTATATCTCATTAATTGTAAAAATAAACAAATAGCCAAGGAATATGCGGGAACAGTGTTATTAATAACTAAATATTTGGTATGAGTAGGGTAAAGGAACGACATTTCTTTAAACGTTTCCATAGTTCTGGGTTGAACTGTACAATAAAAAGTAAGAATAATAATCAGGATGTAAAGAGAATAACTCTAAAAAGGAGAACTCTCATGTAAAAGAGGAATTGGAAAACTATGATATAAAAAAGGAATAGAAGAACTATGATATAAAAACTATGATATAAAAAAGTAATATGAGAACTATGAGATAAAAGAGGATTAGAAGAACAATGATATAAAAGAGGAATAGAAAAACTATGATATAAAGGAGGAATAAGTTAACTGTTATACAAAAGAGAAATAAGAGAACTTTGATACAAAATAGGATTAGAAGAACTATGAAATAAAGGAGGAATACGAGAACTATGATATAAAAAAGAAGTAGGAGAACTATGATATAAAAGAGAAATAAGAGAACTTTGATATAAAGGAGGAATATGAGAACTATGATATAAAAGAGGAATACGAGAACTATGATGTAAAAAAGAAATAGGAGAACTATGATATAAAATAGGATTAGAAGAACAATGATATAAAAGAGGAATAGGAGAACTATGATATTAAAAAGGAATAGAAGAACTATGATATAAAAGAGGAATAGGAGATCTATGATATAAAAAAGGAATATGAGAACTATATGATAAAAAAGAGGAATAGGATAACAATAATATAAAAGAGGAAAAATGTAACTAAAAGATAAAAGAGGAATAGGAGATAAAAGGGGAAAAGGAGAATTATGAGATAAAATAGGAATAGGAGAACTATGATATAAAAGAGGAATGGGGAAGCAATGATATAAAAGGGGAATAGGAGATAAAAGGAGAGTAGAAGAACTAAGAGATAAAAGAGGAATAGGAGAACTATGATATAAAAGAGAAATAGGAGAACTACGAGATAAAAGAGGAATAGGAGAACTTTGATATAAAATAGGATTAGAAGAACAATGATATAAAAGAGGAATAGAACTTTGATATAAAATAGGATTAACTATGATATAAAAGAGGAATAGGAGAACTATGATATAAAAGAGGAATAGAAGATCTATGATATAAAAGAGGAATAGATGAACTAGTATGTAATAGAGGAATAGGAGAACTAGGGCTTTAATAGAAATAATAAAACAAAGATATATAAGTAGTGTGTAGGATAACATTTAAACATAACGTTTAAACATCTCTCATTAGTTAACAGTTAATATTTGTATTTTAAGAGTAAAAAGTATTTTTTGACATGTTTTGGTTGATATTTTTCCCCTTTAATTCAGATCAAAAGCACTGTAAATAAGATTAAAGAAAGGAGCAGGATAATATTAAAAATAGAAAAACTAATGCACAAAATAATCTAACTAAAGAAACTAACAGAACTTGTGAGAAATAAAAACAGTATTAGGAAAACAAGAACTAGGATCAAAAAGTTTAACTACTACTCCTACCTAGCATTGGCAGGTTTTCCATCCCTACCCGCCCTTCCACTCTCCTGGTAATAGGATGCTACAGCCTGTGGCATACTCCAGTGAACAACAAACCTTGAGATAAAATAATTCCAGAACTTCAAACAGGAACTGAATGCTTCATGATAAATGACAAACATAGTAATAATTCACCAGGAGTTTTCAACGAATTCCAGAGAATTGAAACAGAAGATTTTACACAAAATTAGCTTGGAAAGATTATATTCTAAAAAATTTATTTTATTTTACTTTTCTATTCTTTTAAATTTGGATAATTTAAAGGGAAAAAAATTAAGGTCATAAATTATTTACGACATAAAATAAAAAATATAAAAGTGAAATAAGAAAATCCACCTGACGGTTGCTTTGTCTACTCCCATCCCGAAAGATATTGTTGCGGTGATAACAGGAACCTTCCCATCCATCCAGTCCTCTTGAACCTGGCTCCGGTCTCCAGACTAAACAAGTTCATCATCAGTGCTAAGAACGCGGATTAAGCTCCAAGTGCTAACAATATTAAAAATGAGCAATTTTCATTCCTTTATAAAAAGCTGTTTTTTTTTTGGTATGCAACAATTTGCATTTAATCCCGCCCCTTTTAATCGATTTCAGACTAAATATACAAATATATAAATATTTTACAAAGGTATATCATTTACTCTCAGACAAATTAGAATCAATGGGAATTTAAACCCCCGAGGGATTCAATGATAAATTCAATGAATGATACATTTCCAATTTTTTACGAACAATCTAATAGCCTATTTTGCAGATCGTTTTGATATTTGATAAATATATCTGTTATCCCAAAACATTCCCATTCCCATTCCTCATCCACGTCTTAAACAAAACTTTCGGGGAAATTAACGTTTTTTTTTTGGTAGGGAAAACTTTTGAAAATAATTTAAAGAAACGAATCAATGAACCATAAATGTAAATAAAAATACTAAATAAGTTCCGTACGGTCGTCGTTTGTGGGTAACCTTGTATCCAAGTATAATGGGTACCTTTAGACCAGCGTGGTAAGCTTTACACGGTATTCCACGTTTAGATAGTTGATCAGCCAGGACCTCTGTTCCATCCCGTGTTCTTAATTCATTTATACATCAGCCATGGAATTCCAGTTACTTGTTTAATTATTATATTATCAAGATTACAATTGTCTATATAATTTTCTAATTTTCCTAGGAAAATAATTAAATTTTCCGAAAACGAAGATTAAAGAAAATTATAGGTTTAAGGGTTTATATATCTACCTACAATATATAATCCCTACTCCACCCCCTGGGTTTATATATCTACCTGCAGTATATATCCCTACACCCCTCCCGCCCCCGGTTTATATATCTACCTGCAGTATATAATCCCTACTCCACCCCCTGGGTTTCGATCCTTCTCCCAGCCCTGTCCTAAACACTTGTTCACAAACACCTTCAAATCCTCAAACTCATTCTAGGAATAAATATTAAAAAAACATAATTTTAACATTTTGGCTTTTGAAACTTGATAAGGTATCGTTGTATAGTTCATCTCAATATTTGATGATATCAGTTATCAAACAAATAACTTTTTTTTGTCAAGGAACTAGGTGTCACTAACTAAATTTTCTATTCCCAATATCTTTGCAACCGAATTTCCTAGATCTTTTATTTTTCAAACTATGAATTCTGTTAGTTCAAATAATCTAATTTTAAAATTAAAGTTTAAAAGTTTACACCAGGTTCCAAAGATACGAGGTTGAGAAAATTTGAGTTTTTGGCAAATTCTCATCTCCTTTCAAAAATGGCATTAGTTGGTGTAAAACTTTAACTTACATCTAATGAATCTTTGAACCGGATATCGTAGAATAAATTCATCCGAAAGCAAGGGATCTTAAACTTCTTTACTCCTTTTCTCATCTTCAGGATGGATATGATATCCTCAACCACCTAGAACAGTTTCATTAACATCTAAATATAGTGAAAAGTTTGACTGGTTATCAACATTACGTAGATTAGTTACTTTCCCAATGACATTTTCCCGAGTGGTAACTTCCCAAGGGTATTTTCCCAAGTGGCAACTTAAAAATTGCGCAACTTCCCAACCCTGTCCTAGCCGCAGCGCGCGGTCTCTTATTGCAACTTACAGCGCCTAAGAAGGCCTTTGGGAAGTGGCCACTTGGGAAATTGTCACTTGGGAAGGCGCCTATGGGAAAATACCTAACACTATTACGAACACACTCTCACACACATAAAACATGCTTACTTTTTATAAATGAACGTTTTGTACTGTGAAACCCATTGAAAGAAGACATGTTAGCAATCTTCTGTGTATTTGATGTTAGTAAACAGCAAATAGTTTCACCGGCAGCTTCAAAATTAACTTGTGTATTTGCTGCAAAGTTAGTATGTTTCATGTTCATTGCACATTGCACAGTTCAAAATCGTATTTTGAGTCGTCTTTCCATTCCACAGCAAAATCATTAAAAAAAAAAGCAAACTTGGCTAAAATCCAGTTCTTTAATTTCAGTAACATCCCGATACTGGTTTAGAATCTTTCACCTAGCTATATATAAATTCTGCTTCGCACGGATTGCATTGCTAACTTTAGTGTAACTACCGATGGTTCCCATTGGGAAGCGAGTAATAAAAACAGATTCTATTTAAGATGAAAAAGTTTATATAAAATACTTTAATTTACGCATTTATTTACCTTTGCAGATCGTCTTGGTACATTATAAAAATTCACATTGAAATTATTTTAATCTTTACGGATATGCCACCACGTAAACATTAAGATGAAAAGGATACCCTGTATTCCTGACATACTACTCGTATCATATGAATGACAATGCTTCTTTATTAATTACCTTATCAGATGCAGTGGCAGTAAGAGCTACCCAGCTGGCCTTTCCGGTCATCTTACGCAGCTGACCCAGTTTCAGATAATCAGGTCTAGATTGAAACCCCGGTTAAAAATTTCAATTTTTTTCTTTAAGAAGGGTTTAAGAGTTACCTGAAATCGTGACCCCACTGAGAAACACAATGCGCCTCGTCGACAACAAAATGTGCGAGTTTATCAAATTTGACAAGTCTTTCCAGCAGGGAACGGAAGGTGTTGGTAGCACATTGCTCAGGAGTTACATACAACAGTTTCGTTCTTGGTTTCTAAAAGTAGGTTCAGTAAATTTTAACAATTTAAAGAGACTAAGCGTAATTTTTAATGACTCTCCATGCAAAGATGACAAAGACCGATTTACAACGGACCCTTAAAAGCTTTGTCTGATCAAGTATAAATAAAATATCAATGTTGATGTTTATTTTCATTTGTGGCAAAAGTGACTTGCGCATTTCTTGCTGCATGTAACGATGGAGAAATTCACAGAAAAAAAAACACTTTGAGTCAGAAGAACGACGTTATCTTCAACATTTTTGATCAGATCAAGGTTTAAATGGTTCCGTTGTAAATCGGACATTGATGTTTTTGTATGAATGAAGGGTAACTTTCCTGTCCATTTAAAAAACAAAATAATTTTAAAATGTTGTAAAAACACAGGAAAACCCACTTAAATATTTAATTGCAAATATCAGCAAATCAATAAAAAGTTTTTTTGCTCTGTTTTTTTACCTCTCTAGATAATGTAACATATTTTCTTCATGAATAATAAATATTAAAATCGACAATTTCCTGTCAAAATTTGAGATCCAAAAAATTTTTTTTTTTAATATTTAAAATTATTTTAAAAATCTTAACTGGTCAATTTTTATATTTAAAAACCTTTTAGTGACAAACTGAATAATTTATATGCACAGTGGTCAGAAATAAAATACAAACATATTCAACTTTTCTTCAAAGGTTTTAGAATATTTGCACGCTGTATTATCGCAGGATTTTTTTACTCCAGACTGAGACCGTTGAAGTTGAAGAAAATACAAATTCTGGGAATTATGGTTGAGTGTGCGGGCAGGGCTGTAGCTATGGTTTCAAGTGACGGAACCCTCACAGAATCTGCAACACTTTTTAACATAGAAAAACGACATCATTCCCATCGGTGCTCAGATAAAAATATAAAGGGTACCGTTGTAAATCGTGCATGCAACTCATGAATCACTTAAAATCACGTTGAAACTCCTTTTCATGTTCGCATGAAAAATTATTCGCCCCTCCCTGAATCTGTCAGGGGGTGGCGAATGTCCCCCCGCCCCCCCTGTATCCGCCCCTGTGAATGCTTTTGAAAAATATTAGTTTTGTTAAGAAGGGAAAAAACATATCTGATTGAATTCATTAAACGCCGCGCCTGAGGAGCCTGAGATGTAACAAGGTAAAAATCCAAAGTATGTTCTCACCTTGCAGTTCAAATCATCAAGAACTCTTCTCCTATCCTTCTCTCCCATCTTAGAGTTAATAGACTCTGCAACAATCTTCAGTTTCTGCAGGTGTTCTATCTGATCCTTGATCAACGCTATCAGCGGCGATACGACGATGGTCACCTTGCTCTCCGCCATAACGGCGGGTAGCTGGTAGACCAGAGATTTACCGCTTCCTGAAATACGATGTTGTTTTAGAAAATACTTTAGTAAAATCAAAAATGATAGACGGTGTAAATACAGTGGTCAGCATATACATAAATACAGTATATCGGTTACTAAAATGCAGAGCTTAGGATCCGGATCCAGATCCGCTGGATCCGCAATATTTTGGCTCTCTGGATTAATTTTTAAAAATGTGCAAAACAGCATAATTTTTCATAAATAAATATCATATTTTGAATTTTTTGGAAAGAATTAAATAATATTCTCAGGGTGTTAGGTTTCTATCGCTCAAATCTTTACTCCCGACATTCACGGTACACCCCCACCCCCTTTAACAACTGGAGAGGGGGGGGGGAAGTCTCCCTACCCTCCACATCACAAGTTAAGTTGTAAGGATGTGTAAGGACGTGTAGGATGAGGAGATTGGCGGGGGGGGGGGGGGGGGCACATATGCTAAGGTTTAAGGATGCTATTCTGTTACCAGTATTCAGTTCTGTTCAGTATAAATTCAGTCTCTATACACAGTACAGCCTACAAGCACTGGATAGTGGACGCTACTGAACATGGCTAAATTCAAGAATAAAAAGGAGGACAATGCAATATTAAAACATTTTTTGGTAGAAGGAGATTTCTGGATATGTCAGGTTAAGGTGGATGACGATCAAACATGTGGTGTTAAATTAAGCAGTGGAGGCTTAGGAACCAGTAAAAATCAAGGTGATATATCATAAGTTTGCATACTTTTTAGTTTGTATCATTTCGACATCAGTCCTATTACATATTCAGTCATTATGAATATTTTTTACCCAAAAAAACGTTCTTGCTCCCCCCCACCAACGGCCTTTGACCATTCAAACATAATTAAGCTTTCTTACTTTTTTGTTATAGGGACAAGAACGGGAAACCTGAAAAGACATCTTCAGAGACGACATATTGAGATTTATGAGGTTTTAAGAACTGAGGAGAGCAAAGCTTCTGAATCATTAACCAAGGAAGATATCAATATTTATAAAGTAGTAATCTCTTCTTTTTTTGCTTGGATGTCCGATCATAACTCAGGAACCCCTAGACAGACTTGCCTTAAAATTTTAATTGGGGAACTCGAAAAGAACCAAGGAAATGCTTTTACTGGGAAAACTCTAGGCAAAGCTGGGTCCACCAAGAGTAAAAATAAATATTTCATTACATTTACAAAATTTTATCCAAAATGTCGTAATAAAGTTACTGCTAATCAAGTTTAAATTCTGAGTAGATTTTTGATAAAAACTTGAAATTTTCTTAAATATATCTTTCTAGTCTGTATCGCGATATCAGAAAAAAATTAACACATTTTTTGTTTCGGACAAGATTGCAGTTACTATGACAGCCGAACAGTTCAGAATGGGTATAGTGTCCATGGTGGTAAAGAATGGCATAGCTTTCAAGTTTTTTGAGTCTGACGGATTTAAAATTATCAACGGAGAAATGGCAACAAAGCTGAAGGTAATTCTTTCTTTCTTACGTTTTCATACTAATTAAATTGAATTTGAATAAAAGAGTATCAAGACAATTTTCACAATTTCATCTGATGATCTGATACTTTTTCGTCTTTTTCTTAAAAGATTATTTAAATTAAAACTTGAAGTTAAAATAGTCTGATTAATAATCTTAGACTAAAAAATTAAATCAACATAAATCTAATTGCTAGGTATCCCTGGATAAACAGCATATACGTAATTACGTCCTGAATGCTGGAAATGAGATGAAGGAGAAGATTAAGAAAGAGCTCAAGAATAGATTTCTCTACCTCAAATTTGACTGTGCAACCAGGCTACGCGTAAACTATTTAGGTTTGAACGTTCGGTTTGTTGATGATCAAGGTCTTGGTGTCACCAGAACTCTAGCTCTAGTAGATAATGAGGGCAGACACACCAGCGGTGAATTGAAGAAGATTGTAAATGGTGTGCTCCAAGATTATGACATACCCCTGGCTAACATTATCTGCTGTGTCACGGCTAATGCCACCAACATGGTGTCCATGATGAAAGAAGACCTTCAGCATGCTGAAGAAGGTAAGAGTGAAAATGACGAAAAAGATGACAATGAGACTATGGCTGGAACACTAGATCTCGAGAGTTCGGTTCCTATTAATTGTGAGCACATGCGTTGTGCAGTCCATATACTACAGCTCGCTATTCATGATGGACTGAAGAAAACTGCTTCAGGAGTTATTGCCAAGCTAAGACATGTCGCAAAAGAAGCGTTGTCTCCCAAGATAAACCAACAGCTTCGTCGTCGTAGGGCTAAAAAAGTTGATTTGCTGAATCAGGAAACACGATGGGGATCCACCTATGCAATGATTGATCGCCTGATTGAACTCAGGAGTTTTATTGAGGAGATGGCTGATATGGGTAATGAGAATTTAAATCTCTCAAGTTTTGAGTGGGAACATGCGATCTCCCTCAGGGACCTATTAATGAAGGCCCACTTGATCACAAAATCCCTTCAATTTGAAAATCTCACGCCAGGATATTTCTATAGAAAGTGGAGTGGACTTAAGCTGTTCTATCAAGATCATGGGTCCTCTTTAGCAGATGATTTTCTTCACTCTATGCAGAAGAGGGAAGAAGAGCTCCTAGGTAATGGTTTACTACTTGCCGCTGTGCTAAGCGATGTTACTAACATGGACCTTCTTCCCCCTGATCACGAGATTAAAGGAAAGGAGACCCTGATCAACCTTGTCCTGAGGATTAAGGGGTTGGAAGATGAAAAAAAGGAGGCCACTGTTCCAGATCTTGAGGTATCAGATTCAGATTCAGATGAAGAGTTTAGGGCCGTGAGAAAAAAGCTCAAACTTAATAAGGGGACTGAGGGGCTATCTGTTTTTGATCTTACTGGGAAAGAAGACAATATTAATCTAACTCCACCACCTACAGTAACCAGGTAGATATTGACTAACAATACATAATGAAATTTCTTTGTTAACACAAAATTTTATGTTTGACTGTTGATTTAAATCTGAAAGATCAACAGAAAAATAGATTTATTGATTAATATCTCCTGATTATAAATCCTAGGTCATCTTCAAGTTCGAACAGTCACATTACTGCGGAGAATCAGCCAAGTCAAATGCAGTTCATAAGAACCAGTGTCTTAAAGGGACTAGAAACTCTTAAAGAATCAAGAGAAGAGTTAAAAAAGCTTTCTGATCCAATCTCCCAGTACCCAGATGTGCTGAAGGATGCTGCAAGACTTCTTTGTACAATGCCCTCTACACAGGTTTCCGTGGAGAGACTGTTCTCAGGACTGAAGATATTCAAATCAGGCCTGAGGAGCTGCCTGAAGGCAGATATTCTGAACGCCCTCCTCCTTCTCAAAGCTAATATGAAATAGATTTTGTTTTTTTAATACAATAAAAAGAAAAAAATCATCATCATTTAGTGCAAAATAGTAGAAAATAGGAATAAAAAAATGTTTAAAATTTTTTTTTGGTATGAAAAAATATTTGAACTAAAATAAAAAGATTTTCTGATTTATGACCTGGATCCAGATCCGGATCCATTATTTGAAAGGTGGATCCAGGATCCGGATCAACATCAAAATGTGACGGATCCTAAGCACTACTAAAATGATTGTCGGTGTAAATACAGTAGTCAGCATATACATGAATACAGTATCGCTTACTAAAATGGTAATATGATACAATTTCAGAACCTTATAATTCATTAGTATATACAGTGCAGCGTATACTCGTTATTATTTTGCATTTCAGTACCTGGAATATACGTCAGCCTCTGTATTATATCGGCATTTTAGTAAACGTTTATGTATTGATATATATATGCTGACTACGGTATTTGAGGGATTAAACGAATAAGTATTGATTTTTATCATAACATAATCTGTAATCTCCTTTAATATCATTTAGATAGGGTCTTTGAAGACACCACAACATTAACATAAACATGTTACAACTAGTTGGTTGATTAAGGGGTATTTAAAAACAGTGGAATAATTGCCTTCTTTCTTTTTAGCTTTATTTTAAGAAAAGTCACTTGGGGCTTGGATAATGAAACTGAGCTGGGAACTTTAGAATGGTGGATATCAGGATTAATGCTTAATCCTCTTTTTGCTGATCTCGAGACTAACATAATCTCGAGATTATGTTAGATCAAATAGATTAAATATTTAGATCAACAAATTGGATTCTAAGAACGCCGGAAGTGTCGGTTTTCTTGACTAAAAGGGCCCTCACTTAATTTCTCACCCATTTATTTATTATTACATTAGTTAAAATTGGTTACAAAAGAATCTCAAACTTATTATTGAATATTTTTCTTCACCGATTAATTTACAAAATGGCCGACAACAAATTCTTGATTTGCGGATTTCTCACATGGGATAGAATTTATTTACAGGGCTGTCATTGGTCAATACAATTTACGAACTATATTTCTGCACTCTCGTTGGAGAAAATAATGTACGGATATCCAAAAAGAGAGAAAAAGAGTGGATTAAGGACTTAAATTAAACAGTGGATATTCGGATTAAGTAGTTGGAATTAAAGGTTATCCATTCTAAAGTTCCCAGCTCTAATTTATTTATATAAATGTGTCCTGAGCTGGGAACTTTTGATTTCTGGATATCGGGATTAATGCTTAATCCACTCTTTTTCTTTATCTCCAGATTAAATAATGCTTGTTCTCCTCTTGTTATTAATCTCCAGCTTAATTAACTGATCGGGATTAAGGATATCCCATTCAAAAGTTTTCAGCTCTGAATATTTCCAACATTTTATAATCTAAATAAAGCACGAAGACGGCAATCGTTCAATTGTTTACTGAATACTAGTTTTACACCAGCAATAATGTATTCAAATATTTAAACGATATTTTTATTAATCTTAGATGACACTTGTTGAAGAATCGCAAAAATTACTTCCAGATTCCCTTTTGTTTGGGGCAGGGGTTGTATTTAAATTTACAACGATATTAATTATAATAGTCAACACAAATCCACTAATCCATTAAGTAAAGATTTAAAATTTTTGAAGTGAAACTAGTTAACCAAGTTAAAATTAACAATCTTGAAGGGAGTGACCGGCTTTGTAAGGTAGTTGAACTGAGTATTGCAGTATTGTGGAAAACTTCTTCCTGGTTCATTTGAGACATATTAAACTTTTTAAAGATCTGTAAATCCTGAGCTTGAGCGCAAATTCGACGTTCAAAACTATTATTTTGGGGTGGATACGTTTTCAGAATCAGTTTTTTTTTTATTTATTAAAAAACGGCAACGAAAAATAAAGTAAAAATTAAACAGTAATCTAATTAGATGGTTAGGAACATATTTCTCAAAAGAAATTTGTCAATAATTCAGTGCTAAAATCCATTATTTCGTGTTCATTACTATATTGAATTTCTTATCTTCTTTGAATTTATTCGCCGATTTCTTTAATTTCTTCAAATGTCGTCTTTTCAAAAATAATTCTAGAAAATCTGCGAAAATCTTTGTGAATAATAAGAAACCAGAATAATGAGAAAATAGAAACTAAAAATTGAGCAAGATTACTTATTTTCGATGATAAGATTAATTTATATTTTCTCATCATGTTCCTATACATGACGTCTGTAGTTTATTGTAGAACTTTTTTACATCTTATGTCGTCGTTATAATTAATAATTTAAAAAAACTAATTCTGAAAACGTATCCACCCCCAAAGTAGGAGTTTTGAACGTCGAATTTGCGCTCAAACTCATGATAAATTGATCTTTAAAAAGTTTAATATGTCTCGAATGAATCCTAAAGAAGTTTTCCACAACACTGCATACTCAGTTCAACTACCTTACATAGCCGGTCACTCCCTTATAAGATTATTAAAATAAGGTGAATAATGAAAAAGCGCGCGTATTTTAAGAAAAAATGATCAAAAATAAAAGGGCAACACTTTGGGTAAACTATAGTAAAGTCTATTGTTAGAAAAATACCAATTATAACTATTAATTACTACTTAACCGGGAGATTAAGGGAGGATAATTAAATTGAGGGGAAAAGGGGTTCAAAACCTCACCTCGCTACGCTCGTGAGGTTTAGAACCCCAAAAAGGTCTTGGAGGCCCTCGGCTAAGTGGTTTTCCCCTCAATTTAATTATCCTCATGAAAACTCCCGGTTAAGTAGTAATTTATCGTTTAATCTCCTGTTCAACGAAATAACCAACCGTGGGGGATAAAATAATAATGAAATCAATAAAACTATCAATTATGATTTTAATTCTCTTATTTCTTACTAATGCATATGGATGAAGATTAAGAGATTGATAAAGATTGATTAAGAGAGTGATAAATGTAAATATAAAATTAAATTAGAGAACTATTTATTTGATAAATCTGTATGGATCACAGAGGGAGGATGAGTAATTATCCTCCCTGTAAAGAGGGAGGATAAGTAATTATCCTCCCTGTAAAGAGGGAGGATAAGTAATTATCCTCCCTGTAAATAGGAGTTAAAAAAGGAGGGAATTTAAGGTTGGTTATTTCGTTGAACAGGAGATTAAAATCCTAGAAGGTTTACTTCATCAGATTAAATATGAACCTGTTGGCATTGAAACATATGCATCCTGTTTTGATTCAGCTACACAATGAACAGCTTCCTTCTGCTCCTTACTACGGAAATCAGGGTGCTTGAAGAACAGGTTCAGCTGCTCCAGCAGATGGCTGAAATATTTAAATTATATAACGGTTAGAATTAATTCCAACGTTTTCTTTTCACCAGGTATGTTATAAATAAGTGCATAGATGGATAATTCAAATACTAAGGCATGTTTCCACTCACATAAAGACTCTGTTTTTAGTTTAATAAGTTAAATATTTTAATTCAGTAGTATTCATGTGATAAATTGTGTTTTCTTAAGTAGTAAAAGAACTGGACTTGTAAAATAGTTTCTTAAATTGGGTTCCCAGCAGTGTTTCGGATCCGGATCCGGTCGGATCCGTATCATTTGGTCGGATCCGGATCCGTATCAGGAAACGTTGATATGGATCCGGGTAGCGCCAAAAATTAACCAAAACCATGGTATAAATAAATCAAAATTTCTATATTTTTTAAATTTTTTTTTGTTACATTTCGCCCGGTTTCGGAATATATAATAAATATAGTTTATAAATTATAACCTTGCATAACATTTAATAGGGAAAATCCGATTCACAGAATCAAAAGTTACCTCGGATCCGGATCCGGATCCGGATCCATCATCACGGATGCGGATCCGGATCCGCGGATCCGGATCCAAATGATATGGATCCGAAACACTGGTTCCCAGGATGAGTGAAGAGAAATTAGCCAATTAAAAACTTTGCAAATATCTTGGAAATGTGCAATTAAGGCCTGTTCTATCACTAACTCCTTAATTTAGGCGATTAAAACTCTCCCCATTTATTCATTAATCAAACCTTTCTGAACACCTGTGAACACAGTCTGGTATAAAAAAGCAAAGCCACGAAATATATCAAATCACAACTAGTAGTCAGTCCTAATTCTAAGTGATTCTTCATTTTAACGGTACCCTTGACATCTTTATATGGTCAATGCTGTAGAAGATATAATTTTCTTGCCTTGAAGTGTTTAATTCTAAAGATTTCTTTAAGCGAAAAGTGTATAATTCACTTCTGCAGAAAACCCACATTGAAATTACGTTTAAAGCCACATCACTTCCTTATTTTCTTAAAAACTAGTAATTAATAAGAACACTATTCAATGCGGATCCTAATCCCGAATCTTTGGATTAGAAAATGTGGAATTTTTATCTTTTTTTTTTATTTTTATCTTTGCCGGATTTGATTACCAAATAGAAAGTTGTGAACATAGAAACCTTAGAAAATCTTTTTTTTTAGCCAAAATTATATAGTTGTTCGTCCTACCCCGTGTGTAATAGACAAGGACAATAACAAATTTAACCAGAATACTAATTACTTAAACATCTACAAATCTAAATTTCAAGAACATTATAGAAATAAGAAATCACCTATCCGATATTTTCACCATCTTTGTGAGTTCATGTTAACTCATTTCATTTCTGAAATAAAAAATAGAATATGTAAATTTAAATATTTATCTACCATATTAAATAATACATGTAAATTTAAATATTTATTTAACTCAGAGAGACAAGATGGCGCGTTGCAACGCCTTTTCTTTTTTCTTCTTCTTCTTGTTCTTCTCCCGAACCCTGAGAGTAGCATCTGCAAAAAGTTCGACCTCCTCCCTCTCCTTCAACCTGGAGGCTAAGAAGCGTAGACCAGCTAGGTTGGTTCCGGTCATCTCTCTTATTCTGGAGATTTCAACTCCCATCACCTCACCCAGCTTTATCACCGTATTCTCAAACGACTTTAAAATAAAATAATAAATTTTTAAAAAATCTTAAAAGTGGAGGGTGAGTTTGACCAATTTGAATACATTTGGGAATCCTGTCTTCATTTTTTGAGGAATCTGAATGAAATTTTTTAATGTTTAAAAAAAAAATTTCACCAAAAAGTTTGATTTAAATACCAGCGAAGTGCTTAAACACCTACCTTTAATCAAAAATCTTATTACTAACAGAATGAAGGTTTTTCAGATCACTTTTCCTCCTTTATAATTTTAACATATTTTCCCACTTGGTTAACATTTATCGATTTTCTGGATTCATCAATTAATTTTGCATCAAAAATTAAAAAATCTTTTGCACACAGGCCTCAATTGTAAAGAATTTTTGTAAAACAAAACAAAATTATCCATGTTTTACAAAAATACTATCCAATTGAGGCCTGTTTGCAAAAGATTTTTTTTAATTTTTGCTGAAAATGATTTCATAAATATAGAAAATGTGAAAAATATTAACAAAGTGGGAAAATATGATAAAATAGGGGGAAAAGTGATCTGAAAAACCCTTAACTTTGTTCTGATGTTATTAATGAGATTATTGACAGGTCGGTGTTTAAAACACCTAGCTAATATTTGAATCAGAAAAACATTAAAAAGAACGTGGAAAGATGGGGGAAAAATATTTGTTTCCAATTTTTTTAAAAATTAATTAAAAGAAAACACATGATGCCCATATGCAAAATTTCATTCAGATTCCTCAAAAATTGATGCCAGGATTCCAAAGTGTATTCAAATTGGTAAAACTCACCCTCCCCATTTGAGAAGAGTAAAATTGCAATTTTGTTTTAATCTTTTGTCCATACGTTTAAATCGACAAATTGCGAAAAGTCAACAAAAATGATTTTTTGTTGTTATAGATTTGTGAATACCTAAATAAAAAATTACCTTGTTTGCCAAAATTGGTCCATGATGTATCTCAAGTAAAAAGAGAAGACACCTGGAGACCGTCTCAACCTCCATTTTATTGCTGAGGAGCTCCAACATAATATCCATGAGGTTCTTCACGATATCCAGGGGCAGGACGAGTAGGGTCTCCTCCAGCTGAGAGGATTTTATCCTGCACACTGTACCGCACATGAAGTCCAGGGCGGACTCCGCGTTGTGCGCCAACATCAAGGGAGGAAGCTGGTTGGGTTCATCCGAGTTTTTACAATCCTGGTAAAGTTCCATTGCCTCCATTAAACGCTCTGCACCTCGTTCAGTCTCAGCAGTTCTTCGGCTTGGTAAACTAGTTTCTTTACCCTGAAGATATTTGTAATTTTAATTTATTATGCACGGTTCTGAACATTATTATTTTTTTTTTTTGGGGGGGGGAAGGGGAATGTAAAAAACGGTTAAAAATATTTTTGTATTATTCTTTTAATTTTATTTTTACAAAAACATAAAACTTAAAAATAGGAGAACGAAACGCCATAGAATTTCACAATTTCTCATTACGCCTAAAAGGTTTCACATAGTCAGTACATCATGGCTAAGAATTATATTTTTTATCTGATATATACTGCAAAACTATTTAATCTTATTTGAATATAGAGAATAGGTTTAGAAGATCATATAATTAAGTTTGTAAAATAATCGCTGGAAAATCAGAGCAGAATTTTTCTATTCGATACCGTTTGATGAACAATTTCAAAATTCATAAATTAACCATGCAGCAGAGCCGTTTAACATTAAATTCTTTATTTTTATATTTAATGATTTGAGCAGGACTTCCACATTGAAATTACGTTTAAAGCCACATCACTCCAGTTTGGTCTTCAGCAGCTTCCTCACGCTCAGTCTCACGTTCATCGTCCAGGACAAGGATCTCGTTCGTCTTCTCCCACAAACGGACAGATCTGTCCTTTCCGGACGATGCAATCCATTTCCCGTTTGGACTGACAGCAAGGGACCAAATTTCTCCAATATGTCCTGGGTGTTCAAGTTTAAATCTAAGACAAGAGAAAGTTTAAGGTGGCACCACCCCCCTCTCCCAAAAAAATGATTCTTAAGGAAATAAAAACGCGAAATATTGACAAGGTGAAGTTTGAAATCCCAAATTCAGCAGTATTGTATTTTTTAATTATCTAATAAAAATTTCCAAATTCCTTCAAAGATAAAAAAAATGGATAACCATGACACTGTCAAAAAGGCAAATAAAACTCAAACATTCCTTTGAGAGTGAGGATACGTTGAAAATTATCTGCGTCCCATTGTTTCACTTCTCCGTCCTTTCCACAGGTAAACACCATGTGTGTGTTTGGGATAAACCTCAGCCCTGTTATTGTATCGTCGTGTGCAAACAAGGATTTATGACAGTCTCCGAAATCTAAACCCCATATTTTCATATTTCTGTCTGCACTTCCGGTAACTATAAGCGTGGAATCCGTGGATATATCCATAGCTACGACGGGCAGCTTGTGCCCGTACAAGGAGAGGAAGAACTTGAGAGAATCCACGAAAAACACCTTGACGGTTGAATCCAGGAGTCCTACAGCTATAAATCGTCCATCCTTGCTCAAGCTCACGCAGGTAACTCCCTCGTCGACCTGAAGTGTGCGCTTGTGCACTAAACTTAGGATTTTGTTTCCTTCCTTTCCGGAGATCAATTCGTAATCCCAGAACTTAACCGTCTTATCCGAGCTACCAGAGATAACACTCTTAGTATCCGGAGATGATACCAGGCTCCAAACCTCACCGGAGTGCGCAGAAATCTCCTCCGTCATTTCTCCGGATCCGATGTCGAAAATCTGAATTTTCCCGGATTTTGTTCCAATCATGGCGTGTCGGTCACCCGGGGCAAACAGGGAGGAAAGACCATACGAACATGGAATAGTTCTCACGCAGGATAAACTTGAACGGTTCCAAACCTTAACATTTTGTTATTCATTAATTCAAATTGAAAAAAGTTCAAGTAAATCAATAAATAGTGCAATTCGAAAGAATTTTGGTTACAGAGTTTAATGGGCGATGGATACTTTTCAAAAAGCTTCTGCCTAAGGATGACTTTCAAATAAACTTATTTTCAAAAAGAGAACTTTATCCCAAGATATCAATTGAGACTGAAAGAGCAAAAGATTATTGTTGGGATAAGGAAGTTTAACATGTTCTGTCTTTTCCTGCGGTTACGAAATTTTAAAAGTTTTCTTTAGAAATGTATGCAATTTTTTTCATCTAAATTAATCCAGTGCTTCGCAGCATCCGTTTAATTTTGATGCGGATCCGGAACCTGGATCCTCACTGGAAAAAATGGATCCGGATCCAGGTCATTTCTTTAAGATTTACAAATCAGATTTTTAAAAAATTTATTGTTTTATTTTTTTCGCTTATTTTTTATGCTGAAACTTAAACCATTCAGAAATCAGGTTTTGTAATCTTTCTTATTTCAATAGTTCAGATTCGGGTTTTGAGATTAAAAGTTTTTGTGTGTGCTGTTTTAGGTTGATGTTTTGCTCCTTGGATCCGGATCCAGGAAGCCAAAATTTCGGGGATCCAACGGATCCGGATCCTAAGCATTGAATTAATCCAATAATTTAATAATTGATTAAGTTTCCGGTTTACCTTGACCCCTTCCGAGCTTGCTGTGAGAAGAGCTGTGTTATCACTACTGAATGCAAGTGTTCTAACATCTGATCTATGACCCGGAGTTTCAACCTTCATCAGGGATTCTCCCTCGGCCTCGAGACTCGTCTCGAAATCTACAACCTCGAGCTGGTTGTTCGCCAGCACCATGAGAACTCTGCACTTCTTCTTGTAACATTGTAGATCTATGGATTTAATCTTACCGGATACTTTTATAGGTTTAATCCTTCGAAACTGTTCCTGTATGCTGGGTTTTATACTAGATATATCAACCTCAGCTCCGGTTCTTTTCCGTTCTTTCTTCGCTTTCTTAGCAAGCCTTTTCTGAATCTCTTCTTCGTTACAAATGAGGAAAAGTTCGAGACTGTTGTCTGTACCATGAGAAGCTAGGATTCTGTTCGACAGATCAGTTCCAAGATGTTGTAATCTCCCGTCCCCGCTTCTCAGGATACTTCCTATTCTTGTTATGCGGAGCACACTGTTATCATCCTCGGGTTCCTCTTCCTTTTCATCTTCTCCTTCCTCCATCAACTCTTTTCTTACTTTCTTATCTTGAGGTTCCTTCGTCACAAACCTGCTCTTAATCCCTCCCTCCCCATCCTCCTCCTCCCCTGCAGGTTCCTGGAACTCTAGTGTCCAGATCTTCAGTTCTGCATCTGATCCTCCGGTAACTAGTATCTTGTCCTCCTGGAGCAGAACAAGATCCCAGATCTCGGTCACGTGACCAGTCAAAGTTTTAAAACAATGCTGGGTTGTCAGATCCCAGAACTTGACAAACGTATCCTGGAAAAAAGTCTTTCAGTTCTAGTTTAGATGTTAAATCAGTCAGAAAAATTTTAATTTTATTTGTAAAAGATAATAAAAATAACATTTGAGTATTAATCAAGGGATTCGATTTTAATATTTCCTCACGCTTACCCTTGAAGCTGAGATTATAACGTTCTGATTTTTCAAGAACTTGACTGCTGTCACGGGACCCTGAGAAAATACAAGGTTAAGAAATAGAATAAGATATGTTTCAAGTCGGGAATTAAAAATCCTTTTCAAGAAAATAAATAAAAATAATTTCAACAAATAGACAAATAAATTTGATTAGCAGATTAACGTCCTACATTTTAAAACTTTTTTACAGGAATTCCTTGCCACAAACTCTGATTTTATGGTCCCTTTATATTTGCAACCCATTGTCGTAGACCTTAAAAGCTTCAAACTATGAATTCTGTTAGGTCAAATAATTTTAGTTTGAAATTTTAGTTAATGGCAGACGCATTTTCTTTAGTATTTATGGTGTATAAATACAGAGTCCACGCCCCCCCCCCCCTCAGGAAACGATTCAAAAGACAACGAGTTGGGAGAATATAAATATAATATTTAACCTTGTTTCAGATACGTCCCCCTGGAGGATATTAAAAGCTACATCATGAAATGAAACCTTTCTTGATTCAGTATTATAAAGAACTAACCTTATGCCCATGAAGTCTATATAAACCAGATTCTGATACAATATCCCAGACAATAATGTTGGTATCACGAGAACCAGACACCAACCTCAACCCAGCCTAGATTATATACAGTTAAATAAACCAGATTCTGATACCAGATACCAGACTTGGTATCCTCAACCCTGCCTAGATTATATACAGTTAAATAAACCAGATTCTGATACCAGATACCAGACTATGATGTTGGTATCACGAGAACCAGATACCATCCTCAACCCAGCCTAGAATATATTTAGTGAAATAAACCAGATTCTGATACAATATACCAGACGGTACTATTTGTATCACGAGAACCAGATACCAACCTGAACCCAGCCAAGAATATATGTAGTTAAATAAACCAGATTCTGATACAATATAATATTACGAGAACCAGATACCAACCTGAACCCAACCTAGAATATATTTTAACATAATAGGACATCAACCTTTTTATTCAACCTAGAATACAATTGTTAGATTAAGTATTGGGTTACAAACCACACTGCGGACTAAAATTTATATTCGGTTAGAGACAACACAACAACCAACCTGGTTCTACAAAAAGAAGAAAACATTACTGAACTTCTTATTTAAACAATCTTCATGTTATGGCCCTTAATAAAGATAATAATCAGTCTAACTTTAAGATGGGCATAAACGATTCACAATGGTAACCTTTCAGAATTAGGTTGAAGACGTTGGAATTCTTCGAGCTTGGAAAATGTTTATTTATGACAATTCCCTCCAATGTATCTGAAGCAAAAATCCACAAAACCCAAATATGTAATTTGTAATTAACAGAGAAAAATTTGAATATTATTGATATATCGTATTCGTAACACTATATGGGTCACTTAAAGCCAGACAAAACTCAACCTAGTCGTAACAAAAGTTGTAATAGTTTGTAAAAAAAACGTAATACGCCTATGTGGAGAGGAAGGAAAGTCATGGACAAAACATTCTATTCAGTAATCTCATTATTAGATGATAACCCTGTATATAATAACTGTTTTTAATTACGTTTAATTATACACAATCCAGTTTAGTATTGCTAAACCTAACAATAAAACCAAGATGCTACTCCGGTAAAATATTCGTGTTCTTAAATCCGTTCAGCAGCCCAGAATCTTACTCGTGCTAGAATACTTGGGGAATAACTTTTTAAATCTTTTTAAATCTTTTTCAGGTTTTAGAATTTTTAGGCGGTTCCAATAATATCTGAGAAATTGTATAACACAAAATAATGTAAAGATTTAAACAATTTTAAACCTGCGAAAAGGTACAGACAACAAAATTAACCCTTATATTTTCATACGGGGAAACTTTTCCATAATTTTATAAAAACAAACTTTATAGATAATATATTTGGAATGTTTTAAAACCTTCAAATATTTGAGTTAAGTCCGAAAATCTTAAAAAGGTTAGAAATCGAACCAAACTATTTCTCTACCCTAGGTAGTATCCAATTCCATCAATACTTCTCCGGGACAGCGTAACTATAGTGAGACTAGTAATACAACTGTAAATCGAGGACATGTATTTCTCCAAGGTATATATTTTGTTTAAAAATCGCCCTTCCTACCAGTTTAACATGAATAAGAAACTTTAAAATCCAATCGACAATTGACTAAACCAAACCTAACATTGAAATCAAGACCGTAAACATACACTTGTACATAAAAAGAAACCTATCATCACCTTGTCAAAATTTAAAGATGTGACTGCAGTTTTATGTCCAGAAAATGTAACTTCGCTCTCTCCTGTTCCAGTGTCAAATAATTTTATAATTCCGTCCGCATACCCTACACTTAGTAAACTGCCGGTAACATTTACAGCCAGGCAGGTCACTTCATGCTTAGCTCCAGGTAGAGTTCTTAATCTTTCCTTCTTCTTTACATCCCAGATAACAACATCCTGGGCAGCAGCTACAGCTGCCAGCTCACCCTTCTTATCTAGGTAAACTGCTCCACCCCGACCAGACCCAATAATATTAAACACACCCTTCGGTACATATCTCAGATATTGTTTTGTTAAAACCATTTTTACATCTGAAAAAATTCAGCAAATAAATTTTCGGGATTGAATTTCTTCAAAATTTATTTATTTTTCAAGTTACAGAGAGTTCCAGGGAAATGTATATCTACTGGAAGTATGTGCTGGGACGGTTGGCCTGCACCATAGCTCCACCCTGCTTCTGAACCCTACGGGGCAGAGGGAACTTGATCTTGGAGTCGTGGGTCTGAGTTACCAGGGGACGACGGCACTTGCCGGCAGCGACAGGTTCACATCTGATGATCTGGATGGCGTGAGCACGGGCCCTGAACAAGAAACATAGTAAGTAAGAGGTCTAGAAAGAAAAGAGAATTCTGTAATTGATGCAAATATTGAGCAACAGCCCCACCCCCCCACACTATCAACATTTATTTCGGGGATTCATCTAGGATTTATTAGGGAGAACACTGTACACCCAAAAAAAATGCAGTTACATTTAAAGGCACAAATGTGCCACAAATATTATAACCATTAAGTCGACCACAAATAGCAAATTACTACAAAAATGTGCCACAAATATTATGACCATTAAGTCGACCACAAATAGCAAATTACTCCATAAAATCTACCACAAATAGCATTCCATAAAACCTGCGAAAAAAGTCTTCCACCATCCACCCCTGCACTGGTTAAATTTGAGAGAAAGGTTTACCATAAAAATGAATTTTTTTTTACCTATGCCTGGCTCCCATATCACGGTAGCACTGGGTGATGGCTCCGTTGACGGTCAGGTCACGGTACTCCCTACACAAAAATATCAAAATTAAATATTAATCAATAAATTCATTGGAAATAAAAAACTTGCATCTCAAAAATCCCATCCAGGTTTTTCGGAGAGAGTTCTGTTCCTACCTGTACATGTTGTGGGTTCCGGATCTGGAATCATAACGGAGCCAGATTCCGAAGTTCTTGATCTTCAGAGGGTTCTTTTCCCTGATCTCCTCAACGGAGACGATCTCTCCAGTAGTCTTCTTGAACTTACGGAGCTGACGGAGGAAATACCAAAACCTTAACAATGATATATAAGATTCTATTTCCAAATTCTGACAACAGAGGTATTTATTGCAAAAAGTTCTCATGACGAGTTGCAAGAAATAATTTGAACTGGAAACCGTTATTGTTTCATAAAGCTAGCAAACGACAAACTACAAAAGCTAAGTAAATTCTTGATGCAAATAATTTATTATTAACTATGAACAGAAAGGAAGGTTCAGGGTCGTACGTGATTTCTCTTGTGATATATTTGGCGGATAAATGAGGTATCGATAACAGACTAGGATCAAAAGAAATTTAACCATGTCCCGTCTTTTAAGTTAAAATGTAGTTAATTTTAAGTTTATCAATAAATTCCATGAGAATAATATTCTTTGTTTTCAACTTCTCACCTAGACCTAGCAACGACAGGGTCGGTGGCGAAGATCCTCATCCTGTAGAGAGGAGTGACGGGTTCAACTTCTGTGGGGAGCTTGCGCCCGATCACAGTGTACTCCTTCAAGGTTCCCTTCGCCTTCATTTTCTCTGAAATATACATATTTTGAAGGAATACTTTAGGCGACTTGTAAAATGAGTATCATAAACAATTCACAATGAAATATTTTGAACATTTGTACTGAGGAATTCCTGAAATAAGCCGCAAATAGTTAACAAAGAAAACTTGTGAATCGTCTAGGGCATTCTCGGTTTATCATTCACGTAGACATAGATAATTCCGTAATATTCAGGTACTGGTAATTAGATTCCACTGGTATGCATACTGCTGTTTAACCACTGTAGAACCTCAGTGGGACACATTGGATACTTCTCAATAGATCTCTTGAGAACAGTCTGAGGGAGATGAAACGTATTGAGAACGTACTCCAACTGTTGTCCCCGGGTCCTGTCTCCAGATCTAGGAAGGATAAACTCCAGAGAGAGAAGATTCTCCCAACATTTAAATAGAACACTCCTCTCAGCAGGAAGAGTTGAAAACTTTCTGTTTTTAAACTTAATGAATTCATGATAAATCATCTCAAAGTTAAAAGGTTCGTTGTCGTATATATCACAAATGTGTTTCACAGCAATTAGAATACAGATTTCTACTATCGATAAATCTTTAATCGTCAGTTCAATAGGATCACTATCTATGGTGGAGCAGTTATCATGGTTTGCATTCTTAAATGTTTCCAAGCTTAGCTCAGTCTCCCCTTTGCTTACGAGATCTACCAAGCTGAGGTAGAGCAGACGCTTCATGTGAGATATGGATTTATCATTAGAGAAAACCTGCTCTTCGAAGAATCGTTTCACTTCTTTCTTCTGGAGACTGGATTCAACCATACTGTTCCATGCAGAGGTTTCACTGGATCCATCCAACCTTAACATCTCCGAGAGAACCTTGTAGTACTGATCAAACTCCAAGAAATGCATAAGATTGAGGTGTCTGTGAGAGAATCTAGACTTGACTCGTTTCTCCATGAGTTCCGTAACGTCTATCTGACAGGAGACTCCTATAACGCAGATGGGAACAGCTCTACTCTGTGCAGTATCAAATAGATTGTAGAGTAGGGTTTGGTTCCGATGAGCGCAGAATAAATCGAATTCTTCCAAGACAAAAATAATTGGTTTACTAGTTTTATCTCCGGTCTTGAGACTAGACAGAAGGAAGGAGAGATGATCGGAGAAGGATCCAAAGACCCTGTCCCCAACCACGTTTTCAAGATGAAGCTGTCGAGTGATTTCTTTCAAGGATACTTTATCATCAGTCTGGAGAAACCCATTGAGCTGAACCACAACCACGTTCTCAGACCAGCTCTTGGATTCAGCAGCAACAGACATTACTTTCCGAACTGAAATAATGAAAAACTAAATTTGATGCCTAAATAGTAAGAGACCACAGACACCCCCATTTAAAAAAGAAGTATGCAATTTAAACAATGTATTAAAGAGTCGCAGAAAATATCTAAGAACTATTTGCAAATTTGTAAAAAACAAAAATCAGATTCACTTACTAAGAGCAGTTTTCCCAACACCATGAGGACCCAGAACCAGGATAGAGTTACCCTCTCCCTTATCAACCGTTCTGACGACTAGATCCAGTAGAAAGGACAAGTTCTCCTCCTGGCCGACGAAATAGTCGTCCCGGGGCCCGGCCAGGCGTTTACTCAAGTGGGAGAAAACATTCTCAACATCGATCTCTAGTTTTCGTTTCACCATTATTCTGAAAGGTTTTTTATAAAATGGAATTATAATTTGAAAACTATAACTTCATACAAGAAAATGAAGCACTTCAATATATGACTGAAAATTTTATGACTAGTTTATATTAACTAAATGAAATTGTATTTTTGCAAAAGAGCAATACATGCATCATACTTTTGAACTAAAATTTGCCAAGGTGTTAATACTTCCTTGTTCAAGATTGCTTTGCGGATAACAGAATTGACAATTTTATCCGGGGTTAAAGGGTTAACATTATATTTATGATCAAGCTCATTCTCTACTCCATGTACACTCCCATACTCAGAGGATTCGAGTTGAGCAAACTTGAGAAATCTTCTTCGTTGTCTCCAGGTCAACTTCTTGGGAACTTTGATCATAGTTTGTAAAACATGATCGCCGGAGCAGCCGTAGGAATGAACCCCAGCTTGATTTACTACTAGAGTAGTATGACTAGAAGTTCCAACGTTTATACTCAAGTCGCAGGATCTTGTTAAACCTTCATATTGAACAGTGCCGCCTAGGATTGATATAGCAGGAGAAAGACGGATATAACTTAGAAGATCTAAACCTTCTCTCGTGAAGAATGGACTGTCTTTAACACTCGCAGTTACATATAGAACACGTTCACGTTCAACATCTTCGTCTGGTATATCTAGTACCTTGTTATCTATCTCAACCCGCATAACTTGTCCATGCTCCGTCCCTGGCGGAATATAAACGTAATACGGTCGGACATATAATATTCTTCCAAGACCTTCACATTCAATACATTTGAACTTATAAAATATTTTCTCACCAAGACAATATGAACATTCTTTACGCCCTACAATATGACCGGTTTTAATAGTTTCTTCTCCGGTTCCCTCACAGTATGGACAAACGTTTCCAGTGTAACCGAGTTCGGAGCGAGATCCCATGCACTTGTTGCAAGTACCCGCAACTCGTACGTTTAAAAGCACATTGGTTCCAGTGATCGATTCTTCAAAAGATATGTTCGCAATATACTCTCGACTAACATCAGTTCCAGCATAGTTGACATGAAAATCCTGTCGAGCCATTTCCTCCGTCTCTCCCTTCCATTCTCCGGTACTGAATATAGTAGAGTACATCTGCTCCGGGGTGTATGTACTATCAGAAGACTGTCTACCTGGACCCTGAGATCTTCCTCCGTATCTCTCGGAGCTTGATCCCGTCTCGTCATAATCTCTTTTCTTCTTTTCATCACTCAGTACGTCATAGGCTTCGGCAACGAGTTCAAACATTTGTTTAGCATCGACGGTTTTATTGGTATCTGGATGAAACTTTCGTGCCATCTTGAAATAAGCAAGTTTAATTTCTTTAAGCTCGGCGTATTTATCAATTCCCAACACGTCATAATAATCAATTTGACGGTTATAAAAAGTTCTTACAGTCTGCAACACCAAGAAGTTAGGTCTTAAAGTGCGGGACAAATATCTAGATCTAATCATCATACTTAATCACAAGATCCGTCCTTCCAACCGTCTCTCCACCTCTCAAAGATCCTGGAACAGTCAAACTGTGGTTTTCCTAGTTTCAAATTCACCTTATTATGCAATCTACACATCCATTGGGAGAACTCCTCGGAGGAGGTTACGACAGGAGGCTCTTCCTTCAGATCCAACCTCAGATCCTCCGCACAATCTGAACAGGGATACAGACGCGAGACTATATTGAGAAGTTGACGTGCGTCCTCCTGCTGGGACGGATCCGGAGTGGCAGGGAAGTAAGCAGCTACAGAATGAAGAAAGTTCCAGGTAGCAGATCCTAGCTCCGACCTATCCGGAGGACAGACGTTACTCTTAAAATCAATTAAAGCCTGATCTGGGTTTGGCCAAGATACGTTCGGCAAATTCTTTGAATCCGATCCAGACGACTCAGATTGCTTTTTACTACCAGCCAATTTCTTAGTTAGCTCAGGTTGCTCAGCGAATTTCTGAACAGATTCCTGGACTTCAGCAGATTTTTTACTTGGTCCAACTTTCATCCATTGGCTAAAATCAGAACAAGCTCTGCACGGCTTTTCCGATTTAGGATTGTAAGGATCGGTCATTTTCTCTTTGTAATGGATTTAATACGGTGTCGCCGAAAACGCAAAATTAGTTCCATCTTAAATGTCTAAAAAGAGTATACGTAACACATCTTTTGAATCTTAAATGACTGAAAAAATTAAATAAAATTCACCAAGGAAACATAATCTACATGTTTACATGTCACTAAAAAAAACTTCAAATAATTTGCACTGTTTCTGCTCGTAAATCCCAGCCAATATACACAGAACGTGACAATGCGTCCCACATGGTGAAAACTTTTGTATGTGCGCAAACGCGGCATTTCGGCTGATAAGAGGACGACCACAAATCTTTGTATGTTATTGGTTGATTACTTTTCTCATTAAATTAAAAAGCAAGGAGTATCTGGTTTTTATTAAATTTCAGATAACAAATAAGCTTGCATGCGCTACTACGGGTAAGGCACAGCATTTCTCACGTTTCCATTATACTGTAAAAGTAGTTCTCTTTATCATGCACGTTAGTCCTTCCTTTCCTGCGTGGATCATTTCTTCATGATTAATTCTTTTTCTTCTCATCTTACACCTACTTTCTTCTATGATAATCATCCTGGCCCTGCTCATAATTTCTTAATATCCTTCTCATCCTAAACATAAATTCTTCACATCGTGTTGGAAACTTTTCCTCAGAATACTTTAGATCTTGCATGCATTTTATTTTTAGCGTCTTATCCAGCACATTCTTCATACTAATCTTCATGCGTACATAAATACAATTTATTGTTATCAGAAAAAAATTAAATCGAAATAAAATCATAAAATTAATTTGTTGATTCCAGACTAGCAACACCTTTCATATTTAATTTGATAAATTATGAATACAAATTTTTACATTTAAAAGTTCATTACATGTTTTCTAGGCTAAATCTAAAGCTGAATCTATCTGAGGTTCTTGAATTAAACCCTGTTTCTCCATGTTCTCGGCGGATAGGTTTGGAAGATCGGTTTCTGTATATTTACTGATTGTCTCCTCTGAGTAGACTGCAGAGAGATGGGTTTCATATTCAACAACAGGTTTGTGAGAGAACTTAGCTCCCCACACAATATCTTCAGGTGTATAGGAGGTCCTAGGAAAAATATAATTTCATCAAAACAAATATATTTGATGAAACTTTAATTGAAAGATTATATTTGTTTAATTGCTTAAAATAAGGGAAAACAAGTCAGATAAACAAAAATAATATCTTTTCAACAATGTCAAAAAATGTCTAATCTTTGCTACCTGATTATGTAAACCTTTGATATTTCAAACTTCAAATATTTGATCTTACAGAATTCATGGTTTGATTATCTAGGTCTAATGTCTAATCTTTCCTACCTGATTATGTAAACCTTTGATATTTCAAACTTCAAATATTTGATCTTACAGAATTCATGGTTTGATTATCTAGGTCTAATGTCTAATCTTTGCTACCTGATTGTGTAAACCTTTGATATTTCAAACTTCAAATATTTGATCTTACAGAATTTCATTGTTTGATTATCTAGGTCTACGACAGTTGGTTGGAAAAGTATTAGGATTAGAAAATAATCAGAGTTTGTGCGAAGACTCAATTCCTTTAATGCACTCATCTCAATAATTTAGGATTTAAAGGGTTTCCTGTTTTCAGTATAATCTGGGAAACCCTTTAATCTGCAGAGATGAAAATTTTTCGTCCTGTCTCAAAAGAAGAAAAAAAGAACACTTTTTTTACGGAGCCACACGTTAATCATATGAAGTTTATGTTAAATATAATTATATAAACATGGATATTTAGGTATCTGAACCTGATCTGGATAAATGCTCCGTTATCACTTGAGTTCCCCGTCAACCAGACAACTATCTCGAACTCCGCCTTCTCCAACCCGTCCTTGTTCAGTCGGTACAACGGACTGAACACGTCAATCCTACAATATTTTTTACTAGTTTTTTATCTTCAAACCTCAGATGGGATTACGATTTGTTCTATAAAAATGATATTGCCAACCAAAAAAAACGTCAACGTTTAAGAGTGACTGATTCACAAAAAGGTATTCTTCAAATCTTAATTTGATTAACAACAAGGAGGATATCGTCGTTTTTCTAAATTGAAGACAGAAAATTCTAAAACTTTGTTTTTCTAGTCACTTTTACTGGAAACCATAATTTACAATTTTTCAATTTTTAAATAGAAAACTATTGATATCTCTAATTCCATATCATAGATGCAAAAACAAAGGTTAAGAAAAGAGTACTGATGTGAATCTGACATGCAACAAATTAACGGTCACTTAAAAAAACGGAGACTGTCCCCTTTCAACAAAAAAATAAACGAATTACTTATTAGAATTATAAATGTATAATTCAATTTTGTACAAAATATACATTTATAAATGTTACTTATGAACGAGTATGGTCGGCCAGAGTAGAGGAATCCTAGCGTTAGTTCCATCCATCTGGAATCCGAACTGGAAGGAGGTTGGTTGCTCGTTCAATACTTCTCCTTCCTTGTAATATCAAACCATGTTAGAAATAAGAAATTGAACTAGGTTCGTAAGTAGAGGAGTTTTATGTCGTCTTTATGTGCTCATCCTTTGTTTTCAACTTCTTCGATCGTAATTCATTAAATCCTATTTTAGGACCAAATATTATAAGGTTTGATACCAATTCAAAAAGGTGGCAAAATAAACTAAATAATTGGTTGAATGTACCCCTTTAAATGACCAATCCTTTAGCCTTAATCAAATATTTACGTTTAAATTGTGCGAAAAGAAACATGTATGTTTTGACTTTTATATTCAAAGATTTTAAAACTTTTTTATTTTTAATAACAAACTGAAAAAAAATCATTGGTTTTTATAATAAACTCTTCACTTCAATTACAATGAAAATATTCATTTTCTGGAATTATTTTTTGGTATTTATCTCATTTGTTGTACAGTTTTTGGGCTTAGATTTTCTCTCTATCTTAAATCTTCTCGCTATTTATAATTATATTTTATTAGAATATATTCTAAGCCTTCTTGATACGTAAAATTGTCTGTATAAAAACTATACAGCACTGCGAACCAAAATAACAGTATTAAAAAAACGTTATTATTTATTTTGTATTTTAGATTCGAATTTTGTTATTTGTATACGATAGATTAAGATATTAAAAAGTTTAAAATGATTGTAAATTAAAGAAAATATCAAGACCACTGCATATTGATAAAACAATCCTGGGTTTCTACAGCAGAGAAAAACAAAGCTTCAATCTCTGCATCCCTGAGTTTGGTCTCCTGAACATCTGCAACCCTGATCGCCAGGTAGAGACTTTTCCCACGAAGCATGATCAACGCCTTCTTACTGAAGAACACGCCCCAGTGTTTAGAACTAGTCTGAGTAAACTTGTTAAGAAGCAGTCCTGTCATTATACTACTGAGAACCATACCAAACAAACTGTGCACTGTAACAACCATAGAAGCAACCAAACATTTATCTGTTACAGCTCGGGTTCCATAACCTTAAGTAAAGATATTCTATGCTTTTTGTTTTAACCAGTGCTGATTGTAAAGTTGATTATCAACTTTTGTTAGCTTATGTACATTCCAACTATTACTAGTCTATGACTTAATTATATATATACTATTTACCAGTCTATATCTCGACCATTTACCAGTCTAAATCTCTACTAAGAACTTGTTTATAACTCAAATATTTACTAGTCTATATCTCAACTATTTACAAGTCATATATTAGATATTTACTCGTCTAAATCTCAACTGTTTACTGTTATATATTTCAACTATTTACTAGTCACTATCTCAACTGTTTACTGTTATATATTTCAACTATTTACTAATCGATATCTCAACTGTTTACTGTTACATATTTCAACTATTTACTAGTCGATATCTCAACTGTTAACTTTTATATATTTCAACAATTTACTCGTCAATATCTCAACTGATTACTGGTATATATTTCAACTATTTACTTTTCTATATCTCAACTTTTTACTGGTCTATATCTCAACTATTGAAAAGCCTAAAACTCAACTTTTTACTGTTATATATCTGAACTATCTATTAGTCTATATCTTAAATATTAACTAGTTTATATCCAACTATTTACTAGCCTATATCTCAACTGTATACTAGTCTATATACTATTACTAGTCTATATCTTAACTATTTACTAGCCTATATCTCAACTATTTACTAGCCTATATCTCAACTGTATACTAGACTATACACTATTACTAGTCTATATCTTAACTATTAACTAGTCTATATCTCGACTATTTACTAGCCTATATATCATCTGTATACTAGTCTATATACTATTACTAGTCTAGATCTCAACTATTTAATAGCGTATTTCTCAACTATTTACTAGCCTATATCTCAACTGTTTACTAGTCTATATCTCAACTGTAATCTCAACTATTCTGTTTCCTACCAATAGTCTGCTGTGTCTCTATACTGAAGAGAAGAGCCTCTGCGAATGTTTTAACGTTATCCAGGCAGAGTGATTTCTCCTTCCCCTCGACCCTGTCCGTATTATCCAGGGTGTAGTAGAGCACGGCGAAGATGAACCATGAGACCAGGAACACGATGATGTAGAGGAGTACTATGGTCACCCAGTTGTAGGTCATGGCGTTGTCAAAATTGAACGGGTTCCACCAAGTCAGGGTCCGTGTTTCAGTGTCTACAGTGCATGATAAATAAACTAAGGCTTATGAGTAAACGAATTAGAAAGTTAGAAACCGTAATTTGTTAAGCTTGATTGGGATCAGTTTTTGCCTAGTAAGTTTTAACATTTCTAGGTACTTATTAATGCCTTCTTTTAAAACAATGCAAAAAAAACGGACATTGATCATGCACATTTCCTATTTCTCCATTTTTTAAAATCAGCCGTTTCCGCTTTTTCGGAGCACCATAAAAGCTGCGGGAGGACATAGTGGAGATTTGGTGGTTTCTTTTGATTTTCGTCCTAGAATTTTAATCAAGAGTGAACCAGTCTTCAAATTCCAAATTTAACATTTTTGGACATATCTATAAGTAATTGTTCTTACATTACAATATATACATAAAATGTAATAATATTAGGATTAGATGACAATGTCACTGGTTCGAATATAATATGAATGCGATTATGCGTAAAGCGTAAGAGAAACATTCTATATAGAACTCATAGCAGAGACGACTGATTTAAGTTAAAAAAATTGCGATTTATTAAATTAATAAATATGCTGAATACTCGATACATATATTCAGTAAAAATAATGGTATCTAATTTTAAAATGATACGATAAAGTTTATATTAAGACAATTATAAATAAAATATAATTCAATAATTAAAAAATCAATATTATCAATATTACTTGAATGTATTATTGTTCGAGAAGCTATATTTAAATGTGACAGAAAAGGTTTACAGGGTATTGGGATTAAATTAATTTTAACAGTTTACAGTGTTAAGCTATTATATAGGGTAATAATTTTACAGTGTTAAATTATTATCTCGGGTAATAATAATAAATTATTATAACGAGGTAATGAAAATACAGTCCATGTTAAATTATGAAAAATAGATAGCAATTGACTTAATTAAAGCTTGCAAGTTTTATGTTGTGCATTGCGATGTATTATGTATTAAGTGTTGGTAGATATTTAAACTTATTGAGCATTGTTATTTAACATTTTGGATATAGAAATAATAGAAGCTAAGATAATTGATCAAATAAAATTGTTGTTAACATTAAAATATTCATTATTGAGAAAATAACATTGTTTTAGGAAAAGTTATGATTTTTTTTTACATTATTGAGAAAATAACACTGTTAATCAAAAATGATGATGAAGTTCATTTTTATTTGTGAAAAATATTATTTAACTTTGTTGTGAAAATTATATTTCTATTCTACTTTGTGAAAATAAAATTATTACTATTTTGTTGTTAAAATACAATTGAAGAGTTTTTACACTACCGTAGTGAAAATAATATCGTTATTTACATTTTTGAGTAAATTACATGATTGTTTTAACTTAATTCAGAAAATTAAATTGTAACTTCCATTAATATGTATTAATATATTAACGTGAACTATTTGAATGTCCGTGAAATAAAACATTGTTATTACTATTGATAGGAATAAGATATTTATATTATCAGGGATTAATATTGTTTTTTAACATTATTGAGAAGATAACAGTGTTCAGAAAATAACATCGAACAACTGTAATACTTAAATAAATAACGTGCATAATAGAATATATTAAAAACTCTTATTCTATTCTATTATTATAAGCAAGCATATGATCAGAGCTGAACACTTTAGAATGAGATATCCTTAATCCCGATTACTTAATCTGAATATCCAAAGGAGACACTTTTGATTTTCTTCTTAAACCGTTCTTTCTTGGAAATAGTAGAGAAAAATCAAAAACCGGTTTTTTTTATTTAAAGAGCCCCTCCCGTTTCTGTATATAATCTTAACTGGCGTGCAAAATTTCGAAATTTATCGGTTTCATATACTCGATCCACCATTCTAAAGTTTTCAGCTCTGGTTATAAAAAAGATTTAATAGGACGGCTTGTGATTTTACTTTCTTATTTTCTACGTACAGTGTTAAAAGTACATAAACGAATATGTTTGTGTAAATTTAAATCTGTTAATGCATTTTGAAAAATTATTTGTTGAACCATTGAAAACATTATATTTCTAGAATTTTAATCCAGTATAAAATATTTTTAATTTAAATTGAATGCATTTGAACAACACGTAAAATTAAAACAAATTAAAATTTATTTGGTTTAAAAAACAAAAATACTTCATTCACCGGACTAAGTACTTGAGTGATGTGTCTAGGGTTTCAAAGTTTTTTTCGGATAATTAAATTTAATTTTTAAAATTTATTTGGTTTAAAAAACAAAAATACTTCATTCACCGGACTAAGTACTTGAGTGATGTGTCTAGGGTTTCAAAGTTTTTTTCGGATAAACTAAATTCTTTAAGTGTCTTACAGAATCTTATTAGAATGCCAAACCTTAAAACCATGTCTAGCCTAACTACTAATGATTGTATCCCTTACAAGCGAAACAGTACTTAATAAGCCGTGCTTAAATTACGGAATTTAGGAGTTTACGGAATGATTGTAGATACGGAAAAATTGTTCAATAATCTTTTTCAGCATATGAAACCTACTTTGTTTGGTAGATTAATTGTAGTTTGGCTAATACAGATTCCTTTCTTAATTATCATAAATTTCGCATTCCTAATCGATCAAAGATAGGTTCTGTTAGGCAAAAACGTCAATGAACTTATTCGGAAAAGTTGGAAACCCTACTTGTGACAGACTCATAATGCCCTGAGGATTAGGATTAGAAGATTAAGATTATGAAACTATGAGTATTTAATCCCAGTGAGTGGACGGAGGTTAGTATCTCTAGATCCAGGTCTAGACTCAGAGCATGAATCCACACTGTCATCAGCTGTGTCCTCAGGTATAGCGAGAGCTAAAACAAATTAGATATTAAATATGAATTAAGTTAAGTTTAGAAGGATACCTTATTCAAGGCAAAATTGAATGAATAGCGGAGGTAGTTAAACTATGTAGACTAAGTTGAACGACTTTTCTTCAGGTTGAAGCGTAGTTATACTTCTTTTCGCTATTCATTTATTGTAAGACTTAACAAGTTATTCAGTTTAAATCCAATTTAAGCTTTTTGATTATCTTTTATCTTGAGAATGCATACATATTACATATCATACAAATCGTAGATAAAGCTACCTAGAAAATGTGATCCTGGAAACTGTGATAACTGGTGTAGCCTTACACTTCTCTCTATACATAAGATCAGATCAGATCAGATCAGATCAGATCAGATCAGATCAGATCAGATCAGATCAGATCAGATCAGATCAGATCAGACCAGACCAATCTTTATTTCAAAGATTCATTCACTGAACCAAGAATTTCAACAATCCAGAAACCAAATTTAAAGAATTTGAGCTACGTCGCTGAACTACCTACTGTTGATTCAAAGTTAAAGATTAAGAAATGATTTGAACCGACGGTGGACAGGGGTCCATATAATGCCATTTCTGATCCCAAATGGGATCGGGGTTGAAAGTACACTTTATATGTCATTGTGAACTTTGACAAGTTTTCGTGTACGTGTACTACACTTCAGAAATGTGCACTGCATTTGGGGTGTTAAAAGATGTAAATATTAGTATTTAATGTAAGAGATAAATTATGATATACAGATAAATAAACACTCCCTTGTAGTAAACATTCTGCAGTTTGGAATTTTTTCTACAACTTGACATTATACTTCCAATTGTTGACAATAACAACATAGTTTATTTCTGCCCCTAATATCAATCAATCAACACTTGGGATTGATCAGATGGAATTATATGGACCCCTGGCCGGTGGACATTTCAGGCAGGAAATGACCTTGCTCAAATTCTTTAAATTCGGTCTCAGTCCAGATGTTATTTTGAAACTACAATATTTAAAGTTGCAGTTTTTAAGGTTTAGTATTTGGGACAGATCTCATATATTTAAAAAATATTTAAATAGTAAATTAGAAATTAAAAAGAAAGCTAAATATTCTGGCCAAATGTTACGGTTTTTTGTGACAGGAAGTATGTTATCATTAGTTGTGTTTTTAATTACAACAAAATTTGTGACAAGATAATATTCAAAAAACGTGAACAGTCAACAATCTTGAAGTTCGCCGAATGTAAAGAAGTATATATCTCAAGTACTCCCACCTATTTCCGTTTTATTATTGGAGTTTCCGCGTTCTCTTCTAAACCCTTGGTTCTGCGCTGTCCTTTTCTCCGGGATGTTCTGTGATCCCTGAACCTTGATCTGTTCTCCGAACTTGTTAAAGTTTGTCCAAAAAACTGATCGTTTATTAAATATATCCGCACACACGACCAGGGTTACACAGGCAAATATAACTCCAACACCAGCTCCTAAAAAGTACAAATTAATAATTTATTTAAGAAGAAAACTAATTAATAATAATAGTATTAAAAATTCAACCATTATTCCGAGGATATCAAGGCCCACTCCCAATAAAAGTGTTAAACTTAAGGATGGACATTTTTTGTACCAGATGATAAATGAAAAAATCAACATGACAAGGACTATCCAACTGCACATGGACTAGTCCAACTCGGTACAAGTCCATTATTAATCAATAATGAATATACCTGTTAGAACATCTAACGGATGATGAAAATAATCACTAATACGAGTGAGGGAAATCCAAAAAGCAAGCATTATTAAACCAAACTGAGCAAATGGTCGAACCACTTTCAAAAACCTAAATTAAAATATTTTAGCTTTTACTTTGGACAAGGGACCGAATTTACTGAACTGGTACCCGCCCCCTACTCCTGACCCACCTGTATACTCCTTTGATCACCATATTATTAGATTTAGGAAAGTTTGCCAGCCTAGACTGAAGATAGACCACGACGAAGGTTGCGCAGAAGAATGAGAATGAAGAGTGTCCTGAGAGGAAGGATAACCTGGCCTCGTGAAGATGTTTCTTGGTATAGTTCCCACCGTTCTCCTCTAAACCTAACCATGCAAATATTTAACCAGGGGTCAGATTTATTGACTGGTTAGAACTTAGAAGAAGTTGAACCGCTTCTGACAACGTGAAACTATTTCTCTTCAGCTTGAACCGACGAAACAGTAGAAATGATTAAACTTTGTTTGTATTTTCAGGATTAATAGTAAATTAGTCTAAAATTAAACAGTCGTTCATTAATAATCATGAGAACTTTATTCCAGAAATAATCTTCTGGCAATTGTTTAAGTCCTCGGGAAGATATTTTATCAGATTTATTTGGATAAATGAAATTATATAATTCAGTATTCAGACAATAAAAAAGTTAACCTCGACATATGATATTTTCATCTTCAACAACAAACTTTTCATAATTCATCTCACTTCCATCCTAAATACAAATATTGATTTAAAAAAAGAGAAAAATAAAAACTAGCTCACTCAAATAAAAATGAAATATTGCTCCCCTGTTTTAATCCTGGGTAAAAAAAAATCTTCTAATATTTAACATTTTACAAACTCACTCCTATCTTAAATACTCATTCTGGGAAAGATGCCTAAATCTATTTTTAAAATTAAAACTTAATCACCCTCAGAATCCCCCCTCCCCACCTTCTCATTATTATAATGATTTTCTACCTGACATAGTTGACTAGTAAACTCCGGGTTACAAACTGTAAGGAAATGGGGGCGGAGCCGACCAATGGTATATTTTGCTATCTCAGTAAAAAGCAAACAGCTGATTGCTCCCAGAGAAAAATATCCAAAATGTCGATACAATTCCACAGCAATCCAAGGGGTTCTACTTCTTGCAATCGGCTTATCTCTAAAAAATATGTTTCAGTCCCTATAATTTATTCATCAAAAAATATAAGACTAAAAAATAAAATACAGCAAAGAAGAAAAGCAAAAAATTCAGTATTATTATTTACAAAAGCCGCGAAATCTACGAGAATTTATTGATGTACGAAGACATGGCCGATAGGCCAAATTTATCTTCAAATCAAATCAGCTGAAAATTGAAATAGATATAAAAATGTGTTAATAACACGAGTTTAAGTATTTTAAGGATGTATTTCCAATTGAATTTGTCAATCATCTACAAAACTGGATAAATTATCGAGAATGTTGATTCAATGAGAAGGAAGAGAATGGTCGCAAATGTCGGAAACGCAATTTAATTATCCTACTAATCCAGTTAAAATCGGTGTTAATATGTGTATACTGTATATAATAACATTAGTTTAAGTATTTAAGGATTTAAATAAACTAACCTTCCTTTCTCCGCCAGGGATCTTAAAGTTTCAACCAGAACAATCGAGAATATGGATATAGCAGCCCAGATAACAATACAGAGGCTTATTGGAACCTGCTGCTGCATATATGGATGTTTAAGGTTCTGATCATCACAATAGAAACCCCGGTGGAAAGGTTCAAAGTTTGCGGTCAACACGTAGATGTAAGCCATAGGTAGGAGTAGAAGCAACAAGCAAATAAACTGGAGGAAGGCTTTGGGTAGAACATCTTTGCATGTTGGAGGGTTGTAAACAGGAGAATATAAAACCATTTTGTTAGTTTCTACTTGATTCATTTCAAGTATTATAATCACAATTCTGTCTTTGGATAACACTGTATGAATGAAGGTGTTGAAGCCATATTTATTTGGGCCAAGATTAGAAGCACTGGTAAAAACCTTGATTTAGAGTAGGATCTTCTACATTTATCTCTGAAACCACACAGACTCAGTCAGGTATATTCTAATAGTTGTGACAAATATTAGGATGAATTTATTGAAATTAATATATATATATTGTAATCAACTTTACACAGTTGTACATACAACTGATTTTTTTTACTTAAAAGTACTTGACTAAGATAAAAGTTCTAGAAAAAATGCAAGATTTGACTACTGTGAATAAATAAAATATTGTCTAGATAAACTATTTATACAAAATGTGTACTTTTTTTAATGATCAAACATGGTATAAACTGGAAAGGCACCGATAGAGGAAGATTTTAAACATTTAAGGAACTTTTTACTCTGCTCATACTCTAATTTTATAATCCTTAGATCTTTGTAATCCAATATTGAAGACCTTTGATAATTAAAACACTATAAATTCTTCTAGATCAAATAGACAAATGTTTACCCCATCAGGTTGCAAAGAAATGAGAACAAGAAATTTAGATTTTGGGCATAGCAATCAGTATCAACAAATCTTTTGATAAAAATTTAAACGTTGTAATGTAACTGGTTCTTATGGATATAAAAAGATAGACTCTTGAGATTATTTACAAAGAGTACAAAAATAAATAAAAATGATAGAATATCAGAATGGCAAATGGCACTTATAAAGATTCCCAGAATCATTAATTACAGTCATGTTGGTCTCTGGATTCCAGAGAAATCAGATCGTTACAGGAATTAGAGAAGGATTAAACCTACAACTTGTCCCAGAATCAGGGATATATATTTTTTATTAATTATTTACCCCTTTTAAACAGCATATACCCCCTTCTGTTTTTATGGGTCTATTCGCTGAGGTGAAGAAAATAATAATAATAATATATACCCCCGCCCAGAATGACAGAAACTTGGAAGACACGGAATAATAAAAATAAGAATTTAATGGATTTTATTAATTATTCCATTATATTAGGCCTTGGGCTTGATAAAAAATATCATAATAGAAAATTTAAAAAAAATCGAAGTTTCATGATCAAACAGAACTGATTGTAGCTTTAAATTTACAAAACATATAATATATATATAATAAATAGATTCAATCTAATAATAATAAATATACCCACTCTAACTATTTATCCGAGGGAAAATAAGTAGAATATAAATAGTATTTAGGACTAGATAAAAGCTTATTTCATAAATTAAATCTCAACAAAAAAGTTGAAGTGTGCGTAAGGCTATAAGAAATGTTCTAAGCGACGTCAAAGAATGATAAATTTGAACTATAAACCCAACTCTAACCAAAACATAACAAAATTATATAATGCTGAGATACTAATTAAGAATATCAGACAGAGAGCTAATCGATACATTTTTCCGTTTACACATTTTCCATTTTGACAGGATTTGTTTGTGTCGTATACTCTGCAGTATGAATGTCAGGAATAAAAAAAAATGAAAACTGAAAATGACTAAATATATGATAAAGCCAGATATAAGTATATAATTAGATATCTCCCAAAACGGAAAGGATAGTATAAAGAGGGCCCGGATAATTTTGGAAAAAAAGCTTGTTTGGCACAGGTCAAATGTCAGGACTACACAATAAAATATATAAAAATTTAATATATCATGGATATATACGTAAATGATACGATACCAACTAGATCAGAAAGAATAAATATAAAAAGGGCCCGGATATTTTTGGATAAAAAAGCCTGTTAGGTACAAGCCGAATATTAAAGCCAATGAGACTAGCAGGGATTGTATTGCTCTGTAAGGATTGCTTGTTTACTCTACTTGTTCTGTTACATGAAGGGTTTCCCTGGCCATAGTTCCTCCATGATGTGTGACTCTATGACGAGCAAGATCCTTCCTCGTAACCATCCCAACCAACTCCTCCTCGTCGTTGACAACCAGGAGATGTCTTAAACCCAGAGCACGGAACCGACGGAACATCTAGGAAATAAAGCAAGGTTGGGTTTTTAATTCAAGGATCTCCAACCTTTATTATTTTTGTTCATTTTAAAATTATGTATTCCGGAAAACGTGAACACAGAACTTTATTGAGGATGCAGAAGTAGCTTTATGTTGCTTCAAACTGTCATTTATTTACTATAACCATCAAATCAAACTAAAAATTAAAAACGACGAAATAATAAAACAAGCGTTAAGAAATATTAACTTCCAAAATACGCGACATTTTCAATAAATTGACATTTATTTGGAGTTACTTTCCTCGGCTTGGTTTATTTAAATGAGCTATAATAATGTGTTTTTTTTAACCGGTTTAATATATTTTGGACACAATTTAAAAATATTGAACAGACCTGAGGTAGTGGGGTTGCATGAAGAACCGTTGACGGAGTTCTATTCATGATAGGACGGAGATCCATATAGTAATCTCTCTCCTCCATTGATACATGGATCTGTGATATATCCGGGTAACGAGGATACGCCGCACGGAAGAGTCCCATGCTTAACTTTCCTTCCCACTCGCTATACATCCAATCTATTATTTCCTTTGTATGTAGCAAAGGATGCTTTATTCTGTTTTATTTATTCATCTTTTAAACAATAAATAGCTATTTTTACAAAGAACAATTCAAGTAATTTGTTATACAAATAAGTAATTTTTGTGTGGCAAATTTTTGAGGAGTGAAGATAAACAGTCCTATTAATTTCTTGTTATTAAAGATGAATTCTAGCTAACAAGGGATTTGAAAACCGAAACATTTTAAACTATATGATATTGAAGTTAAACTAAAACCTGAATATTTTGTGTTGAAGCATAACGATGAGTTCTGATCTAAGAATAAGGCCTCGAAGCTTGCCGAAGGTTCTATTATTGTAAGTTGAGTGCATCGGATAATCTACTACAGGGAACCCGTTGTGTGTAACTCTCTACAAATAAATAAAATTAACAGTAATCATCTTAAAGTCATCGTAGTCCCAGACCTCGTAGACCCGGACCTACTGCTCTCCTCCGAGAACCCAGACCTCCTACCTACCTTCAAGAACCCTGACCTCCTACCTACCTTGGAGAACCCTGACCTCCTACCTACCTTGAAAGTCAGTCCTCCTACCTACCTTGGAGAACCAGGACCGCTCCTAACGACCTTGGAGAACCAGGACCGCTCCTACCTACCTTGGAGAACCAGGACCGCTCCTAACTACCTTGGAGAACCAGGACCGCTCCTACCTACCTTGGAGAACCAGGACCGCTCCTAACTACCTTGGAGAAACAAGACCTACCTTAGAGACCAGACCTTTTTTCTAACTTAAGACCTCCTACCTACCTTATAGATAGCCCACCTCCTCGATGTACCTTGGACCTCTTCTACCTACCTTGGAGAACCCAACCCTGACCCTACCTACCTAGGTGGACCCAAACCTCCTGTTACATTGCAGAACCAAGACCGTCTACCTACCTTGAAGAACCCGGACCTCCAACCTACTTTTTAAAAAATTAGACCTCTTACCTACCTTGGAAAACCCAGATCTCCCCTACCTTAAAGAACCAAGACCTCCCCTAAACTCCCGGCACTACCTTAGAGAACCCAGTGCTCCCCTTCCTACCTTAAAGAGAACCCAGACCGCCTTCCTATCTAAGGAAACCCAGACCTCATACCTACATTGAGAATCCAGACATCCTACCTAACTTAGAGAACCCAGACCTCCAACCTACCTTGGAGAACCCAGAGCTCCCCAACCTACCTTAGAGAACCCAGACTTCCCCTGCCTACCTTAGAGAACCCCGAACCTCCCTACCTACCTTGAAAACTCAGACCTCCCCTACCTACCTTGAAGAACCCAGAGTTCCCATACCTAACTTGAGAATCCAAAGCTCCCCAACCTACCTCACAGAGCCTAGAGCTCCCCTACCTACCTTGAGAATATCGACAACTTCTCCAACTCTTTGAATAGGACTGAGTGTAACTACAGGATACGCCATCACCTAGGATTTTATTTCAAATCAGATTGAACGAGATAACAGATCAGTTTTAAAGAAACTGAACACGGATAATTTCAAGATCAATATTTTTAAAACAGCACTACGGACAAATCTACTTCAGACCTCAACTTTTCTACATTTTGAAATTATATAAATAAAAAAAATACCTCGCTAGCATAGGTAGTTGCAGAGAGTGGTGGCGGTTCCCAGCTGAGTAGAGGAACACCAGCTAGCTGGATGTGAATATCGTAAATACCTATAAAAAGAAATAAACGACGACTTTACTAATTTACACTGTTTTTTCTTTCAATTCTAATGGGAGTCGGTACTAATATAAAGTACTAATGCAAAGAGGAAGGGTTAAAAAATAATAAGAATCAAACAATTTGTAGATAAAAGATGTCGTTTACAGCATCAAACAAAAACTAAGATGTTAAATTTTTTGACTTTAAGATTTTCAGATATTAGCGCTGAAAATTAAATTTTGATGCAGTCTCATTCCAGGTATGGGTTAGACCAATCTGACTTCTCCCAATCTGAACAAGTTCTTTACCTTCATTAAAATAATCCCCGACCCACTTAGCAACCATGAGAACAACCATGATCGGGAACCCGTAAGTCAGGTTTCCTGTTGCCTCAATCAGGATGACAGTCAGTGATATCGTCATCCTGACAACCCCTCCCAGCATTGCAGCTGCGCCGAGCAGAGCATACTTTCCATAATCTGCTAGGAAATACTGGGGAAACATGTACTGTAGTCCAGCTCCTAAATATCTAACAATTAACATGGTCCAGCCCATAAATATTTTACTTATATAACTCCTACATATTTTGTTTTAAAACATTTCACCCCCTCTTCAAAAATAATTTTTTCCCGTTTCCATAATTTCTCTCAGAAGTAAAATAAATATTTCTCCCCCCCCCCCCTCATCTTCAAAAATAATATTACATCCTTAATTAATTAAAATACCTATAAAACGTCCCCAAGCTGCTCCAGTAAGAAGAGTAGGGATGAAGACTCCAGCAGAAATACTCAACCCATAGGTCCAGCAGTTCAGAAAATAGTAAACCACAGCAAATATTGCCAGGGTTGATATTTTATGGGAACCAGCTGGATCATGAAACATGGATCGGACAGACTGCTCGGGGGTTTGGAACCTACATTTTATATTTTAGATATTGTTTAATATGACGTTTATTTTCTCCCTTATTTTCTCCCTATGTCAAGAAAACAAAGATTAAAGAACGGGTTAGAGTATGTTTTTTTGTAGTTGTAGCAATGGGTTCTTATCAATCCGTCTACTCTTTGAAAATTGATATGTACGTTATTACAAATTATATTGTACGTGATTGAAAATTGATTTGTACTTAAATAAAAATTGAATTGTACATAAATGAAACTTGAATTGTACGTGATTGAAAACTAAACTCACCAGATCGCTCCGATCACGTGATACTCTCCATCGTTACAATACATCTGGATTGGGTTGATCGTAGGATCTTTTCCCAGGGGTTTACAGTCAGAGATCATATAGATCATGATGAATCCGGCAGTGGCGGTGATTGCAGCGACGATCATTGCCTCGATCATCTTCACCCAAGGTTTTTTCACATACCTAAAGAAAAGCTTAAAATAAATTGCTATATTATTTCTCATATTTTAAATAATTGTTTGACACATAAGCTTCTAATAAAAGAAAATTCATTTTATAACTTTATTTACTGATAACAAATGTTTTAAAAATGTAACGTTTAACTAACCTCATCCTAAAAACAGTAATCCTGTAGTTGATATGATTGAAGAGTGCTCCCAACAATCCACCAACTACGCCCATAACAAGGAAAAGCGGCAACTCCCACACTTCGTACCTAGCGTTCTCAAACTGTCCGAAATTGAGAAGTCCACCGTTACTCAGTTGGCCTGCGTAGCCCCGATATATGGATATAACCATGTTAAGGGTAAAATAGCTGGTCATAGAACCAAAGAATATTCTCCAGGTAAGCGCCTGGTTCCAGAAAGATGCTCCCTCCTCCAAGCTGAAGAGAACACCACCGACCGGAGCCCCGAACGCTGCGGCTACGCCCGCTGCAGCCCCTCCGGAAACAAAATCTCTCTTTTCATGATCTTCTCGGAAAAACGGAAGTGTTTTTGTGTCGACTTTGAATGAGGTTGATTTCCCCTGAGAGATTCCGGCCTAGACAGGAATTTTGATAATTTGACTAAAATATATCAAATAAACTTTAAATAAATTTGGCTTGTCTGTCTGTTTGTCTGTCTGTCTGTCTGTTTTTTGTTTGTATCCAATAAACGTTAAACCGACTGAAAAGATCGGGCCCAAATTTTTTATAATCATCACGTGACCACAGGGAAGGTTTTTTAATGATAAAAAAAATGTGTTTTAAAGGTTTTTAATTTTGTAAAAAAATTTAAATTCTTTAAAATCTGCGAATTTTTTTTTTAAAATCCGCAAAATTTTTTTCTTCTTTGTTTTAAAATGTGAACAAAAAGAACATGTTCACAATTTAAATAGAAGCTGGGCGCGAAGCGCCCTAAAAGCCTAGTAAAATAAATAAAAATAAGGCGAGGAAAAACTGTTTATCGAAAGGTATGTAATACATAAAGAAATTGAAGATCACTAAAACCGGTTTCAGTTTTTAAAACCAAACAAAAATAATCATTTCTTTATTTTTCTCCTCCCATGAACTATTATTAGATCAGAGCTGAAAACTTTAGAATGGTGGATATCAGGATTAAGGCTTAAACCACTCTTTTCAAATAAAATTTCTTAATATCCAGTTTAAATATTGCTTGTTCTCCACATGAATTTAAACTCCAGAGAAGTTAACCGATCGGATATCTGGATATTTCATTCTAAAGTTTTCAGCTCTGTATGCTCAATTTAATGAGCATGTATGTTGCACAATTTAAATGAAGTTAATCTTTAAAAAAAATTTGGTCTGAAAATTTGTTGAAAACTTAAACCTACCGCAATAACAGCTCCGCTGTGGATCATAGGACCTTCTTTTCCCACGGCTAGTCCGCCCAGGACAGAGAGGGTTACCCCGACAGCTTTGCAGATCAGTGTCTTGATCCTAACAATCCTCGGAACCTGAAAACAGCTCAGGGTTCAGATAAGCCCATTGAAAAGTTAAAGTTTCATTGAGGATTAAAATGGACTAAAAGGTAAAAGTATGAAATCTTTAACCAGGATATTGACTTAAAAAGATCAATCCTTAAGTTTTGTTAGTAAAATAAAAAATAATATTTTATCTTTAAATGAAAGGAAAATTTACCTTAACTCCGTTGAGGTAACATTTAACCTGAGGTATCCCACTACCCCCAGCTACTGGTTCTATATAGGAGACTAGAAAACTACCCATACACACAGGGATTACATTCAACATAACCCACACTAAATACGGGATCCACAGCACGTTCTCTAAATATAAAACAGGGATGAAAATATAGAGTAACAAGCATGATTGGTTCCTAAGAAGTTCCTCTGTAAGTATAATAAACATTAAACGAGTATGTTTGTTGAAAAACTTCAAAAATTGTTAACAATGGTTGCCAAATCTTCTTCCCATTATAATTTGATCAAAAACTATTTCAGACTTTTTACAATGGCAGAAATCAGAAATAGATAAACTTTTATTTAAACATGGATATTGTTTTGTCTGCAAATAAACACGGATTTTGCTCCAAATGAAAATCTACGCCACAATACTTTAGAACTAATTCCATGAAAGAAATATATCAAGTTTATACCTGCGACCCCTTTATCTGTGAGCTGTCTGAGCAACCCAAACTTGAGTTTACATAGTTCCTCCACCGTAATATCTATACTGCAAGCTACAAAAGCGGTGAGAACTCCTACAAAGAACATGACAACCCAGCGGAGAACATCCTTAAATAAAAAAGGTTTCATTTCGACAAAATTCAAAAATCATCATGTTTCCTGTCTACCTTTTTCATGACAAACTTGTATCCTTTGCTCCTCATCTCATCCAGGAATATACTGTTAAAGTTCGTGTCGTAGTCCAAGCTCTCATACTGCTGAGATATTGTGTCCAGAGCTCCGGTATTTATCAGATCAGAATTGTGTTCATGAGCAACTAGATTTACTATTTCCTTCTCTGCCTCAACCTCATCCTCCTCTTCACCTTCCTCGTCCCAATCCACATCCATATTTAGTTCCTCATCCTCCATTGTGCTGTGAAGCGGTTCCTCGTCTGATGCTCCGCTCCCCTGTCGACGGCGACAGGAAGCCATTCTTCCTGAAAAAATTGCGGGATTTGTTCATGGTTTCTTACATGATTGAATTATTGTTTTAACAGGAAAAACATGGTTCAAAACTTTGAGAAATGATATTTCTTGGTTTCAGAAAAGTTATCCTTAATTGTCTTCTGAACCATTCCCAGTTCATCCTTAGAGAGAGCAGTGAGCCCAAATCCCTTCAGTTCTTCTCTTCCTTCCTTCTCCCGGAGATCATTCACTCCATCCTACAAACATTCAAAACAATCAAATTAAGGAATTTAGTGTTATCATTGGGCGTATATACACGGAGTCACAAGATAAGTTAAAATAACTCACCCTCCGTTTGTATCAGACAGAAGCTAATACCTTGAGTTTTGATCTGAGAAGGTTGACTGTGATATCAAGTTCCTTCTGATCCTTCTCCAGCATGGATCGAGCAGTATGGTTCGGTATCTTCAGGAACGTGTTTCCAGCAGCAATCCATCCTTTACTATTATCTCCTTAAACAATATTCATCTTAAGATATTGGGAGTAATCTTAGTCAAATCTTTGAATAAATACTATTACTAAAAGTAAATATCTACTAGGACTCAGTTCTATAGGTGGATGGGATCCGATCAAACTGTGCATGTCGATCAACACTGCTATGGTCGGCAGCTCCCGGCTTATCATGGCTCACTGCTGGCTCATAAAAAAAACTAAAAATTCCAAAAACTTCAGTCATCATAATTCTTTTCCAGATTATTTTTTACTTTCCTAACATATAATCCTAGGTTTCAGGAGATACCGTCTGACCCCCCCCCCCCACACCACCACCCTTTCAAATAAAATCAAGTGGAGATCTGAAAGGGAACCCTAATCCTTTTATAAAAACAGCAACTTATGTGACTATCCAGCTGGGATTGTGGATGTCTATCTACACCAGGGAGCTGAGCGGGGTTTCGGAATTTTCAAATTAAATCAGACCTTTTAACTTATTATTCATGGGCACGCAACACTCGTCAGAACTAAGCGCTACCACAAAAAATGCTAACGCAAAAAAAACAATAAGAAAAGGCTATTTCATTACAATATTGTAATTACAAACTAGAAGTTTAAAATTAGTTTGATCATTATACCCCCATCTTAAAAACAATCTTTTAAGTATTTTTATCACCGAGTTTAAAATTTCAGGGAAAATGCTCTTTTTATTAATAGGAATTAGCAGTAAAAAGAATAGAATTATTTTATCAAACATCAAACCTTTGTAATGTTCTCTTGCATGTTTCTCAAGACCTCTAATTGCTTCTCTGTTTGAATTTCTTCTCCGATCCAGGTCTATAATCTCCTGACGGGTTGCTAGAACCTTCTCTCCAGCTCTCTCTATATCCTCCAACAACCTGGTGAAACCACTCTTAATACTCATAATAGGGCATATACTCCCAAACAATAGACATAATAACCCCCATTAAATATCAAAATCATTTTTTACCGAGCTGAAAAGGATGTTAGCTATTTTTTAGAAAATCATGTTTCATTTAAAATCATTTAAGACGGAATTAGTTCTTAGTTTTATCTATGTTCACAGTGCTGTTTCAAGTGCGGAAGGTAATGTTTAATAATATAACTCCCACGAAGACGTTAAAACTAAAATCCGCGAAGCCTTTCTAAGTGAATTCGCCAATTTTCTCAGTTTTTTTCTGTTAGTTCAGAGCTGAAAACTTTAGAATGAAATATCCAGATATCCCGTCGGATAATGAATCAGAGCTGAAAACTTTAGAATGGGATATCCTTAATCCCGATCTGTTAATTAATCTGGAGATTAAGTTCATGAGGAGAACAAGCAATATCTAATCTGGAGATTAAGAAAAAGAGTGGATTAAGCATTAATCCTGATATCCACCTTTCTAAAGTTTTCAGCTCTGGATTAATATTTTTTGAAACTGAAACAAATATTACCATCAGTGATTAGCCCCTAGAATTTTAGAACTGAAGGGGAGGGGAGGGGAGAGGAGCTCCAGAAATCCTATGCTTATTTCTAGGAGGACTATTCAGTTTTTAGTAAAAATAAAAATATTTTGTGATTAGAAACCAGGTGTTTTTTCCGACTTCAAACACCTTAAAAAAGCACTTTTATTTTTTTTTTCAACAAAAGTAACAGCCCCCCACCCCCCTGACCAATACAAAATATTATTTTGGCCCCCCCCCCTGGCAAAAGTGCTAGTTGCACCCCTATCTGAATACTTTTCGGCACTTTTGTAGTCTAATTAGAAATTACTAATATATAATTTGTGGAAGAAAAGGGTTTCCTAACAAGCTTATTATCCATTGTAAAGATACAAACTCCTATCCCAACATTATTCTCTGCAATACAGAAGTCAATGTATATTATATATATAGTAAACACGCCTGATAACATTGTGGGAACAAATTTCATATCAGGGAATTAAAATTAACTAAAGATAACAATATATAAAATGAGCAGAGGACAGGTCAGACAGGTTTATTGTGTTGCTGCTGAATCCTCAGTTTCCATAGAACTATCCTCATCACGGACCAAAAATAAATTTTTTCCCTAAAAAAAACAATTTCTGATTCGGTTTCAGGGATTTAATTCTATTTTATGTATTTGATGAATGTTGTCTAACATTCTTTTTTGATCATAAATGGAGCCGCTTATCATAATTTCCAGTGAGGCCTCCATTTAAAGATAGGCATGCCCATTCACAACGGTACCCTTAAAGTTAAAACCTTATTCTGATCAATAATGTGGAAGATAATTCGGTTATTCTAGCTGGAAAACAGTTTAATTCTGTTAATTTATCGTTGTCTCTGGAGCAAGAAGTCGCCACCATCGTGAGAACCCACATAAAAAATATTTAGTTTTAAAAATTGAAAAGATGCATTTCTAGTTCATACTTGATTAGGCGTCGCTTATAGGAGTACCGCTTTGAATCTAACATCCCACTCTAGCAATGATGGATCACTTGAAATAACGTTTACAGTCCCTTTAATAACTTTTTTGTAGAGTTTCTTCTCAGACCAGTTAAAAATCTCACCTTGATGTAAAAATTTATTGCGGAGGGATCATTCTCATCCTCGTTTACAAGGACAGCAACTGTACTCTTCCAGTAGGAGAAAGGGATGAGAGAACTCTTCTCTAGAGTTGTGCAATCCTTATCCTTGTGTAGATAGTGTTCCTGCCAGAATACAAGCAGGCTTCGCAGGTTCTTCAACAGAGGGTTTCCAAACTCAACCAGAGAGTTGAGCATCCTTGGTAATCTATCATCTCGTCTTGCCAGCATCAGTATAACCTAGATCAATCAATCAATCAATCAATCAATGGTGATTGATCTTAAAGCTACCCCAGATATTACACTACATTATCAACATAATTCACAGAGAAAAAAAATGATATCCAGAAAGAAGCAGGAAAAAAAGAGAAAAACGCAGAAAAGTGGAAATTCTAGGGATAAGTAGGAAAGCAGGAATAAGAGAGAGAGAGAGAAGTAATCAAGCTGGATTATGAGGGAGAAGTAATCAAGCTGGATTAAGAGGGAGAAGTAATCAAGCTGGATTAAGAGGGAGAAGTAATCAAGCTGGATTAAGAGGGAGAAGTAATCAAGCTGGATTAAGAGGGAGAAGTAGGAAAGCAGAAATAAGAGAGAGAAGTAGGAAAGCAGAAATAACAAGAAGAAGCAGGATAGCAGGAATAACAAGAAGAAGCAGGATAGCAGGAATTTAGGAGAAAAGTCTGAAAACAGAAATAACAAGGAGAAGGAGGAATAAAAAAGAGAATTAGATAATCAGGAATAGACTGCAGCATTGTAACAGCAGGAATAAGAAGGTGAAGCAAGAAACAAGGAATAAAAGGCAGAAACGGGGGAGGGATGGTAGGATGATTTTGAAAAACAGTATAGGAAGGACTTATCAAATAACTATGATTTAAGAGCAAGGTTGGCAGGAATGGTTTTTCTATAAATCGTAAAATTTAACCTCAAGAAGTACCATTAAGTAAAAATGACCTTACACAAAGAAAGAAGGATACGGGTAAAAAAAGAAATTATGCATAGAAAAGGATGGACTTGATAGAAAATGAATATAAAGACAAGATTTAAAGATAGAAAACAAGATAAGATTATAGAAAACTGTTACCAAGCTAGTGTTGAGACAGGAAACGTTCTCCTGAGTTAGATCTGTAACCTTTAGTATTGAAACTAGATGAAGAACAAACTTCACATGTTTATCAAAATCCCTGTAGTGTTTCATCAACCGAGATTGCTTAACAAACTCGGCAGTTTCTCCGCCCGCCGTTATAAAATGTCCCGCCGCGAGCACCATTGCTCGGATAAACATGTTTGAATCGATCAGATTGTTGTTCACCATAATCATCGCTTTCTTTAGCTTGGTTTCAGTGTTCAAGATAGAATCCATCTGCCTACAGGCATCGTAGCTAAACTTAACCATCTCACCAAGCAGATCAAATGAACTCTGGATGGTTTCCTTGTGTCTGAAAAATAAATAACTCAAAGATCTATTCCAAACCAAACTTGTTAAAAATTAAATATTAACCTTGAATCAGTTTGAATGAGAGAAGCAGTGATGTGTTGAAGTAGACCTCTCCTGAGAAGGAATATCTGATCCTGGTGTGAGGTTCCCCCTCTCAGGTAGGATTCTACAGCTCGGCTCAACCAGAACCTTTGAGTAGAACAACTCGGCTCCTTCTTTAATACTTCAACAATCTTAAATAAAATAACATCATATGAAAAATCTTTGAAAAAAATTCTTTCCAGCCGTTCTGTTCAGTTGGAAATGAATTTTTGATTGGAGCGAACAAATTGATAAAATATCAAAGAACCAACCTTAGTGAGAAGGCCTGCAGATCCTCTACACATTAGATTAGGGTTGGGAGGAGGAAAAACAGGATCAGCAACAACCATTCCTCCGTCACACTCCTCCAGTCGGAGCACAGCCGGAGCCGGAGACGGAGGAATCCGTTTCAATTCGTCCCACTCACACCTGGACATCAGTAGATGCTTGTATTCACTATGATCACAGAAGCTGTGTACTAATCTCAAGAACTGAATCTTCAGAGCTATCTCAGGAGAACATTCACAACCCGGATGATGGCCGGGGAGACGGGAGCGCTGCCGTCCACCGTTACTCCGCCAGATAAAACCGTCGAAGAGAGTGCTCAGCTTAGGGATTAGCTCCATCTCAGCCAGATTCTTTTGAACCAGCTTTCTCTGCTTCCCAACAAGCAACAATCCAAGCACATACAAAACCTTTAAAAAATATTAATTATTAGAGTTCTTTCAACTTCAAATGTTTATCTATTTATTATTGTCCTTATCAATTTCAACTCACAGAATGAATAAATTCTAAACTTGACTCTATATAAACAATATATTCTAACCTCAACTCAAAAAATAATATATCCTAACCTCAACACTAAAAAACATATATCCTAACCTCAACTCAAAAAATAATATATCCTAATCTCAACACTAAAAAACATGTATCCTAATCTCAACTCTAAAAATAATATATCCTAATCTCAACACTAAAATACATATATCCTAACCTCAACTCTATCCGTGAGATCATCTACCAGTGTAGTACAAGGGTCGGAAATACCTCCTCCGGGATAACTCTCCGTCATGATGGGTTCTCCCATAGCAATCTCGTCCGATATATGATCATCAATAAACCGCATCCAATGATCTATTTCCGTGGGTGTAGAAGGGAACCTCGGATTGTACGGGAGCCGGGTTGCGTGTTCAAATAGTTTCCGGAGAAATCCCGGAACTGAGAGAACTAGTTCCTGGTTTATATCTCTAATTGGAATAAAAGCCTCCGATCTTTTTTGAATATTCTGTTGGTAGAGCGAACTCTTGTGCTCGAATATATCCAGATCTGAAACTGTGATTGCTAAAATTTTACAGAAGCTTGCTAGGCGACCTCCTTCGAGATTATCTAACATTTTCTGCAAATTTGGAATACTGCATAGATTTAGCGTGGTTTTCTTGGCCATCAGTAATTGTTCTATAAACCTACAAGCTTTCTTGTATAAGCTTTCGTTACTGAGTAGATGAAAACAATAGATTACAACCTCCTCCAGTTCACTCAGCTCCTCAGCAACCTTAGGGATCAGCAGGCACAGGAGGTAGAGAACCTCCAGGCACAGTTCTTTCTGCTTTATATCCCTAGCGCACACCTCACGAGGATTTACAAATATATTCCCGGCTCCGGAGAGGAGCAGGGTTAGGATTAGTTTCAATCCGTTCTCTTCCAGAAACTTGAGAGCTATCTTCTCATTGAGGGATTGTATTCGGGGAGAGCTGGTTTCCATCTGATCTACTGGTAGGAAGGGGGATGTGCACAGATGCTCACACAGCAGTTTTAATCCTGAAAAATCTTTGGTTATTACTTGTCATTACTTAAAAATATAATTATCAATATTCAATAGAAACCTGACAGACAATTTGTAGATTCTTCATTCCCAACCAGAACCTCAATCCTCCGGAGAACAGGCAGCAGAGCAACTGTTTCAATCTCCATTCCGACTCTCATCTGGTCGTCTGGGAGAAATGATAAGGAGCTAGGACCCAGCCCGGTGATCTGTATACTCTCCAACCTGGACAAGAAAACTCGGGACCGGAACTTACTCCGGTGAACATGACGACAAGACATTATTTCTGAAAAATTCACCCATTGAGTAAAATATAGCATGTATGTAGTTGTATAATAATGTATAATGTAAAATTAAACAAGATATTTAAGGTATCACATCAAGTATCAAATATAAAATTAAATGTGTAAGTGGTAAACCGAAAATAAATGTTTGTATTATCAAAATATAAAATAGTTTTTCTTTTTTAAGAAATGCTTGGTTATTAAAATGCATCTTGAACTCACTTTAACAAAAAGACTAAATACAGTGCAACGTATAAAGCAATGTGTAAGACGTAAATATTTGAGCTACATCGCTGAACTACTAACTGACAGTTCAAATTTGAACCACCAATTCAAAGTTAAAGATTAAGAAAAGATTTGAATCGGTGATTCTAATTTAAACGGCAGGCGGCAGACAGTTATACAAATTCATTAAATTTAGATCATGGACGACTTATTTGATTGTTTACATTAAATATCCAAATTTCATTGTACCAACAAAACCCAAACTGATAAAAATGTGCCGTTATTTTAACTTATTTTTTAGGGCATTTACATCCACAGCCCGAGGGACAGCTGATATTCTGTGCAAACCATTGACTGAGATGTAGAGCGTGTCCACCGTGTCCACACTGCTGGCAGAGAGAAACTAGACCTCGACATGGAGATCTACACACTGAGCAATTGAAGGAGAGGGTTCGGCAGGAGATACACCAGGGACCTCGTAGTATCTTACCACAGGTTGGACATATCAGAGTTATGCTAGAGGTATAGGAGCTAACATGCTTCAACTCAGAGATTTGTTTCATCAACTCAGCTCTTTGCTGGAACATCTTCCACCGGTAAAGGAGGTCCGCGTAGGATTCTATTAGTCCATCGTAGGTTGAGTTTAATTTCGGATCCAGGAGCCGAGAATCCTCCCAGAACTGGGAATATTCTTCTCCATCATCGCTATACATAGATAATCTTCTTTCCATAGATCCGTGATAGGTTTCGTCGTTCTGAGTGTCTGAGTTGGATCTATTGGCTCTTCCAGGAGAGGTGTAGGATAGCGCATCACAAGCTGAATCCTTGTCAACTTGGATACTTTCAGATTTACTGTTTTTCTTTCTGACCCTGAACAATAAACTTGTATTAAACGAAAAGTAAAAAATATCCCATACACCCATAATATGTACATTGTATGCCTACTCTCGGAAGAGAATGTGTTTCTGATAAATACAGTATTAGACCTTTTATATATAATACTAGTTTGGAAACCCAGCTTTGCCTTGAAACAACGCTGTCTTTATAGGAGTCGAACTATTTTACTAAGAACTTTTAAACCAAGCTAAGAACATTCCCGTGGTTCTACAGAATTCCCCAGTCAACATTTGGGCCAAATAGGTTACGGGGTTCCTGAGTTATGATCAGACATACGAACAATTAAAAAGAGATAACTGCTTTATATATATAGATAAACTAACCTAGGAGTATATTCAACTTTATTCCCAAATATACAACTGAGAACTGCAGCAGTCTGCACATCTTTAATAGAAACATGATGGGAGATGATACTTGTTAGAAGGGAACGCCCACACGGATGTGCTGCCCAGGGGCGAAGTTGATCATGAGAAGAAGAGTTTGAGGATGCAACAACAGCAGCTAGAGACCAAATCTTCTGTAGGTCTGGTCTATCGTGCTCAATTGCAACCTGGAAAACACGTCATCAATGTATTATGTATAATCTAATAGGTTGGCAAAAAAAATATTAAAATGAATATTTATTATTAAGTGTCTAATATTTCAGTGTACAAAATGTGGTTGAATATTTACCTGGGCATTATGTTCGCAAATCTGAAAAGTAGAGAGGTTAAGCGCACCCGGAGAACATGGAACTAGATATTTACTAGCCAACTTCTTGCAGTATGGGAGCAAAGCGGAGCAGTTGTAAACAGTAACTTTCGCCTCAGCTAGCTTCTTACTCCGGCTTAACACGGAAAGTTTATTTCTTTTATCCACCGTGTTCCAGAGATTGTCATCAGAAGACGAAGATAAAGTTCGGCTCTTCTGAGAGGAGAACCGAACTCTGGAGACCCGAGCTTGCAACGGAAAGTCCTGGGAACCGTTCTGATCAAAAAGAGACAACACGTTCATTCCACCAAATTTAGGCGAGGTGGATCCGTTCGAGAGTAAAGACATCTTGGAGGAGTATGCTGATAAAGCTCGGGGGGTTTTAGCAATATCTGCACTTGAACCAAGCTCAACCTCAGCAGGATCTAACTCCGGAGATTGTATCTTAACCATATACTGCCGGGTAAACCCAAAACAGACAAGATGTCCGTCTCCGCAGAATCTAGCTCCGGAACTACGCGGAAACGGGACATTATGATCAGGAAATTCTCCAAACATTGATTTGGACTTAGTGATACCAGTGAGCTGGGGGTTGTTAACCTGCAACTGCTCCTCTTCAACTAGGTTCAGATTATCCACACTCAGCTCAAACTGTCGGAGACAGGATTCTAAGCAACGACGGTTCCTAGAGGTTTGCTGCTTAGCAGCACTCTTTAATCTTTGAAGAATATTGTTTCTGCTCACGTTATCTATGGTAGTTCCCTCGAGGAAACTAAACGATGGTGCAACCTGGTTCGGATAGTTTATTGGAAACTTCACGTTTAGGACAAGTTGATTCTTCCTTGTTTGTGCAGACACTGTAAACACTCTTTCTTCAGAGTTTTCATGTTCAACTCTCAACTTCTCGCTCAGGTTTATCAGAGAAAATTCGTAGTTTAAATTCATAGGTTTATCACGTTCAAAATTCCCCGGCAAACTGTTTTGAAGGCTCGCAGAGAAATTTTTCCGATTGAACCCAATTGGGCGACGAAATGAATTTATCGGGGACGCAACAACGACAGTTTCTTCTTCTTCAAATTCGACATAGTTCTCAGAAGACCCTTCGTCGTCTAAAGATAATCTGTCGTCTCCTGGACAGATCTGCTCAAAATCCTCACTACGATCAATCTCTACCTCCTCCTCTAAAACCAGTCCACACTTCTCCTGCAACTCTAGATCAAGGTTCCAGATTCGGAGAGTAAGATCTTTAGACCAGGTTACAAGTTGACAGCGGTTTGACTCTGACCACTGTCTCCAGGCCAGATCTAGAATCATGTCTGGTACATAAAAGGTATGGACCGGAGATACAAGATTGTTGTTGTTCCAGAGCATCAGATTATTCTCTCCGCGCACAACCGACTGCATTCCAAGGGTGAGAAGACCATGACCGAACGGAGTACGGTTTACTCTCCAGACCGGAGCAGATTGAACCTTGATTATCCCTTCCGCTTTACCCGGGTTGGATATATTCCAGTACTTGACAGTCATATCCTGACTAGCAGAGACAAGATGGTTCTCATCCTCGTGGCTCCAGTCCATATCATATATCCTGGAGAGATGAGCATTTATATACTGAACCGGAGACTTACTTGCTCTTATATCCCAGAGTTTTATCTCTCCTTCATGTGCTGAAGCCAAATACTTGCCACTAACTTTATTCCATTTAACCTTCACGGCCCCGGCAACAGCTTGAAGTGCCATTTTTGGCCGCCGACCGTCTCTGAGATCCCATAAATAGATAAAAGCATCTGTAGCACTAGTGGCTAGTATATCCTTGTTATGGGTGTGCCAGGCGATATCAGTGATAACTCTAGTGTGTGCACGGAGTGAGAACTCTGGTAACAAATCTGTATCATAAAGATTTAATATTTCAATCTTGTTGTTACTGGCTACTGCAATTTTATTCTCTTCCAGAGGACTCCATTGACAGGAGATCACGTCCCATTTACTCGTCCTGGTTTCACGGTTCAGGAGAACAGATGGATTATCCAGGTTGAGCAATCCTTGACATCTCCGACCTGAGATAAGAGCAAGCTGTCCAGTACAGTTAACTCCCATACTTGTACAGGACGGGAGATCACGACTAAAATTAGCAATCTCCATCTTTGCAGAGTTAATCTCTTGTACAGTAGTAATAATCTATTCTGGACAGTTGGAATTCATCTGAAAATAACCATACATATGAAAATAAATAAATTTACATATTAACAATAGGGTAAATTATAATTTAAACATAAATATAAAATACTATAAATCATTTATTGTGGTTGATATATCTTAATTAATTTTAAATAATCAAAGCATGGTTCAAGAAACATTTAAACCTAAGAAAATTAGAAGAAAAAATTTAGATTTTTATAAAATTAAATTTTAAAATCTTGCACATATTTTAACCCAGAAATAAACATTTACTAGGAAATCCTTACTTAACAGTGTAGATCAAAACTAAACAAAACTTTAAGAATCTAAAATAAATTTGTAAGCACTTTATACTATACAGATTTCAGAATATATAATTTTTCAGTTTAATAAACTGACTCATTGCTGAACAGTCACGCTCAATTCGACGAAACATCTTTACTATATAGAATTATTTTAAAAATTCCCTTCCATTCAAAACAATAGTTTTTATTTTAAGTTTTCAGCAAAGAACAGTCATGTTTCATGCATCACATATCGAACATTATTGGAGAAAATTTCTCAGCTTAAATTGTTTTGATACAGAATAGATATGTTTGGTTTGGTTTTATAAATACTCCCTCCCACCATACCCTTTAAACTCGTCACCATGGAGTCACATGATAATCGGATAAGGAATTTTAAAAGTTGTGTAGTGTATGTCAGGTTCCTCCCTCTGTAGTGTATATCAGGTTCCTCCCTCTGTAGTGTATATCAGGTTCCTCCCTGTGTAGTGTATATCAGGTTCCTCCCTGTGTAGTTTATATCGGGTTCCTCCCTCTGTAGTATATCAGGTTCCTCCCTCTGTAGCATATCAGGTTCCTCCCTGAGCTGTGTGGTGTATATCAGGTTCCTCCCTGTGTAGTGGATATCAGGTTCCTCCCTCTGTAGCATATCAGGTTCCTCCCTGAGCTGTGTAGTGTATATCAGGTTCCTCCCTGTGTAGTGGATATCAGGTTCCTCCCTCTGTAACATATCAGGTTCCTCCCTGAGCTGTGTAGTGTATATCAGGTTCCTCCCTGTGTAGTGGATATCAGGTTCCTCCCTCTTTAGCATATCAGCTGTTCATCCCTGAGCTGTGTAGTATATATCAGGTTCCTCTGTAGCATATATCAGGTTCCTCCCTGATCTGTCTAGTATATATCAGGTTTCTCCATGTGTAGTGTATATCGGGTTCCTCCCTGTGTAGTGTATATCTTGTTCCTCCCTGTGTAGTGTACATCAGGTTCCTTCTTGTGAAGTGTATATCAGGTTCCTCTCTGTGTAGTAAATATGAGGTTCCTCCCTGTGTAGTGTATATCAGGTTCCTCCCTGTGTAGTGTATATCAGGTTCCTCCCTGTGTAGTGTATATCCTAGGTTCCTCCCTGTTTAGTGTATATCAGGTTCCTCCTTTATAGTTACATCAGGTTCCTCCCTGTGTAGTGTATATCCTAGGTTCCTCCTTGTGTAGTGTATATCCTAGGTTCCTCCCTGTGTAGTGTATATCAGGTTCCTCCTTTATAGTTACATCAGGTTCCTCCCTGTGTAGTTGTTCTGCATTTCATCTATATCTAGATTTGCAGTCAAGTGTTTCTCATCACTGGAAGTTCTGGGACCTAGGGAGAGTGATAGAAGTCATCATCTATTATTGTGATTACCACACTTATATAACCGCATTTATTTCACTATATCATTTATATATATTCATTTGTACCCTCTATCCTTACATTTCTTTAGTACTGTATTTTCTTTATTTTCAGATAAGATAGGTTTTGGATAGTTGGTATCGATCAGTTTATTTGCAATATATTTGCTCAGTTATGCTAAACTTTCTTCTCTTCATCTTGTTCAGCCTGTACACCTGTTCGAGCTGCAGAGAATAACAGTGTTTTACTTCAGAGAGAAAATGTCTTCTGATTAGTAAACTGAGATTGAAATATCTGGTCCTAAAATCCAACTAGCCATGAATTTACGGTAAGCCGTTTCCGTTAAACGCGGCACAGTAGTGTATATCAGGTTCCTCCCGTGTAGTGTATATCGGGTTCCTCCCGTGTAGTGTATGTCAGGTTCCTCCCTTTGTAGTGTATATCAGGTTCCTCCCTGTGTAGTGTATATCAGGTTCATCCCTGTTTAATATACCAGGTTCCTCCCTGTGTAGTGTATATCAGGTTTCTTCCTAGAAGTGTATATCAGGTTCCTCCCTGTGTAGTGTATGTCAGGTTTCTACCTGTGTAGTGTATATCAGGTTCCTCCCTGTGTAGTATATCAGGTTCCTCCCTGTGTAGTATATCAGGTTCCTCCCCGTGCAGTGTACATCAGGTTTCTCCCCGTGTAGTGTATGTCAGGGTCCTCCCTCTGTAGTGTTTAACAGGCTCCACCCTGTGTAGTGTATATCAGGTTCCTCCGATATTTTTTTTCTTTTTATTCATCCTGTTCCTTCCTGTGTAGTGTATATCAGGTTCCTCCCATTGGCGTAAATAAGGGGGGGTTATTGGTGTTATTCCCCCCCCCCCTAGAATTTTGATTAAAAAAAGGTTGATTTTAAAATTGAATATCATTAAAATTTGCACGAAAATAATTTAAAATGTGCAGATACTTCAGATATTTCAGATTTTAAGTCAACATATTCTAAATGATTCTAAATTCTAAAGCAATAGTCAATGTCCTTACAATTAGATGTTTTTTCAATAGAAAAAAAGCGTCTGGGCAATGAAGAATATATTTTTACTTGCAAAATCTAGAGAACATTCTGAGACTGAGCCTGGCAAACTTCTAACTGATAATCATATTTGATAACTGTTTTTTGATAGAACTTCTATAAAATCGAAAATGAAATAAGATTATAAACGTTGGTTAGAATGATCAATCATAAATTCAATAACTTCAGGAGAAAACGTAAAATTATCTGTCCTTTTTCAATGTAGATGACTGAAATTATATATGTATTTTGATGTGATTTTTTTCAGAATATATAAATGATTATTTCTTGTAATTTTCTTTGGCGCTCCGCGCACACATTAAAAGAATTGAATGACTCATATCGTTAATTTTACAGTTGTTGAAAGTTTAAATTTTCATAAAACACAAGAAAAAAAAGATTTGAATTAAACACAGCCAAATTTGCATGCAACAACTGAAAATTTCCTTTTTTTCGACGTCAAATCCTTAAAAAAGCACTTTCATTTTTTAAAAAAAATCTATAAGGGGGGCAAGCCCCCCCCCACACCCCAGCCCAGACCATTACAAAATAATATTTTGCCCCCCCCCCTAGCAAAAGTTCTAGTTGCGCCTCTGGAAATTAGAATATAAACAAAGACAATTTTTTTTCAAAGTTTTGCAGAGTAGCTTTTCTTAAGATTTAAAAAAGTAACATCTTTTTCCACTCAGAGTAAAACTATTTTTTATTTTCCTTAAAATAAATTCAGTTTTTTAGCAGATCTTGTAGTTAATGTAAAATGAATGACTATAATGAAGAATATAAAACAAGGTAAAAGCTGAAAGTTAGGAAATGAAGCCTTTATTTGGTGGAGCTTGTAAATGCCAGAAATGAGTGGAAAATGCAAATTAAACCAAACTAAAACCAATAATTTGATATACATCATTAAAAAAAATTTACCCCCCCCNAGTTTGTAAATGCCAGAAATGAGTGGAAAATGCAAATTAAACCAAACTAAAACCAATAATTTTAATAAAAATAATTTAAAAAAAATTTACCCCTTCCCCCCTACAGAATCCTTATTTACGCCCCTGGTTCCTCCTTCTGTAGCGTACATCAGGTTCCTTCCTTGTAGCGTATATCAGGTTCCTTCCTTGTAGTGTATATCAGGTTCCTCCCTTGTAGCGTACATCAGATTCCTCCCTGTGTAGTAAATATCAGGTTCCTCCCTGTGTAGTGTACATCAGGTTCCTCCCTGGTAAGTGTTTACCAGGTTCCTCCCTGTGTAGTGTAAATCAGGTTCCTCCCTGTGTAGTGTAAATCAGGTTCCTCCCTGTTTAATGTTTGCCAGGTTCCTCTCTGTGTAGCATACATCTGATTCATCGGTGAAGTATATAACAGGATCCAAAGAATCCTCATAATTTTCATTTTACATGTTCCCTTTTTCTTAAAGGAAATTAAAAATAAAGATTTTTTAAACAATACCAAGTAAAAGATGACCCAAAAACCATAAAATCGTGGTCAAGGTTAGCAGAGATATCAAAATAAGACCAGATTACAACTTAAAATAAAAATGGTTTAAATATCTAATCCGAGTTTATTTTAACAATTGATATAAGATTATATGTTTGATTTTTGATGAACTGCCATTTATCAACTTTGGAAATCAATCACGATGTTCAAGTAGTCTCCATAATACCCATATTTATTGGGACACCCTGCACATATTCTAAATTAATTTCTGATTTATGTTAAGTTGAGTCTTATTCCTTATCATACACACTCGGGTCATAGTAAACAATGAGCAAAGCTTAAAATAGAGAATTTACTGGAAATTATCCTTTAAGAATATCACAAATCACAAGCGCCTTTTGAATTAACAATAAAATCAGAATTTAATACATTTCAAAGATATTTATACATATGTTTGAATCAAAGGTTTGTAGAATCGAAGGTTATGGTAATGAAGTATTATGTGAACACTACCATCGTTATATTGTTTAATGGCGAAATCAAGGATAAAATCACATTTATTTTAATAAACTGAATAAATCTGACAGCATAAAAAGATTTTAAATGATCAACACTCGGAATTCAGCATCAAAAAATGTTGGTCGAGATTTAATCAATACAAGAGGAAAACGATAAATGAAAAAAGGTTTCTATAAAAACGGGTTGAGTGTTTTGTTTAGCTTCTGTATTTTATCTATTACCCTGTATTTAAAATCAAAATTTAACAAATTAACTAAAGAATTTATTTAACAATAAATAATTTGGTGGGTTGGAGAAAAATCACATCAAAATAATATTTCTCAAATCCCAAATCATATTTCAGTCCCGGGACGAGATTGAACGACAAGGTTACATAAAAAGATATTTATTCTGTGTGAAATATTCTATTGAAAATCTATGACGTCCCTTATCCAACTATTTGGGCAAAACTTCTAATCCTACGGAGGCTGCGTGAGCTAGAAGAGCTTGTGAGGCCTGCTTGGCCTCCAGATGAAGTCTGGCCTCGTCCATCCAATCACTGACAACTCTGCGAGGTTCTCCTCTCAAGAGACCCATATATTGAACAGCTTGAATAAGATCACCTCGTTCCAAACTATGCCTTTAACAGAAAAATAAACCTAATTAAATTTTCACTAAAAGTTTATATTTTCATAATAAATGTATTGCAATGGAGTGAAATAATGCAGTGATAACCAGAAAGCTCTGAAACAGGAAGACGATTTTAAGAATCAAGTTATAACTTTTAAAAGTACAATAAACACGAGACACAGCAACTGTGCAATTTAAAGAGACCCATTTTAGTGATTTCCATAAGTGTCTAGTAAAACCATTTGCTTTGTAACAACATCAAATACACTTTAGTATTGCTATAATGTCGCCTTCCTATTCCATTATTTTCTTTGTTATCACTGTTTTCAAATTACGACCTGTGTCGATAATAATAATAAGATTAATCTGCTTAACTTATTTAATTTAGACCTTTTGGGATATTTGATAAAAATAGGTTTCTCCACTTAATAAATCACGCTAGACAAGAGTATTTCTTTTTCTATACTTTAATACAATAACTCTTTTTTTAAACAGCTTTTGATAAAAACAAGTTTTCTTTTCGCACTATAAAAATGACAAATTGAAGATTCACGAGGTCGCAAAGTCCCAGTAATACCTGTTAACTTGATAAAATCCTATTGTATAGATCGGAGTAAAATACAAGTTACGATCACAAAGTAACAAGAACAGGGGTCAAAGATACCGAGAGAAAACATATTTATGAGGGTAGAAATTTAATTAAAATCAATTCAAATCATATAATGCAGAGGATTGTCTTAAATGCAACATTAATTCATGTTGGAGGTTGATTAAAAGCTTTACTGACCTGGTAAGTGTAAGAATATCTCCAGCTGTGAGCTCAGAAATATCAATTAATTCGTCTGAACCTCCAGGAGTTCTAGTAGCAGTATCAACCAGAAGCTTGGACTGTAGATAGCTTAATCCATACCTGCAATAAATACAAATATGCATGGTGGAAAAACTTGGTTTACTGTCAAAACGGTTTCAAACAGGTCAAAACAGGCCAGACCAGATCAAATCAAGTCAGACAAGGCCAGGTCAAACCAGGTCAAACCAGACCAGACTAGGTCAAAACAGGTCAAACCAGGCTAGACCAGGCAAGACCAGGTCAAACCAGGCCAGACCAGGTCAAACCAGGCCAGACCAGGTCAAACCAGGCCAAACCAGGTCAAACCAGGTCATACCAGGTCAAATCAGATCAAACCAGGTCAAACCAGGTCATACCAGGTCAAACCAGGTCAATCCAGGTCAAACAGGCCAAACCAGGTCATACCAGGTCAAACCAGGTCAAACCAGGTCAAACCAGGTCAAACCAGGTCAAACCAGGTCATACCAGGTCAAACCAGGTCAAATCAGGTCATACCAGGTCAAACCAGATCAAACCAGGTCATACCAGGTCAAATCAGATCAAATCAGCTCATACCAGGTCAATTCAGGTCAAACCAGGTCAATTCAGGTCAAACCAGATCAAATCAGATCAAACCAGGTCAAATCAGGTCAAACCAGATCATACCAGGTCAAACCAGGTCAAACCAGGTCAAACCAGGTCAAACCAGGTCAAACCAGGACAAACCAGATCAAACCAGGCCAAACCAAGTCAAATCAAATTTAACAACTTGAGTTAGATAAGATAAAAACCAGGTCATAATGGTCTAGCCCAAAACTAAACCAAGTCGGGACGGGTCAAACCAGGTCTAAACGGTCCAGTCGAAAAAGATCCAATACGTCCTGTCAAATAAAAAATAGTACTATTCTAACAGCTTATCCATGTATGTTTACCTGAGAAGACTACCCCCCTCATCTCCTATACTCCCAACCTTCCTGGCCACCTCCTCCACCCTGACGAACCTATCCCTGAGCCCCTGCTCCGTGTATACACCTCGAGTCAGTGCTTCACCAGGGATACTGGATACTACTGTATTCACGAACGGATTCTCTCCAGCGATATTCTAGAAATATTCAAGATGTTTTAGAAATATTTGAAGACCTGAAGTACGTCATCTAAAACACTAAAAATCAAATTAAAAATATATTTTATTATAAACACATAATGCTCCATTCACTATGCTCCCATGACTTATATTATAGCTTTGAATGAATCCTGGACAACTAATTTCAGAAACATGTAAACTTTGAAAACATATAAAATTTCGATGAGTAAAAAATATGGCATATTCACTGCAAACAAGACAGAAGAAGGAGGTAAAGCTAATGCGACATCACTGATCAAACTTTATGCTTGTAGCCCCTCTTTCTTATTTTACGCAAAGGCAAATTTATACAGTTACATATTAGAAATAAAAAAAAATCTTCTCAATATCTCTTCAATTTGAGAATGATTGAAAACATAAAAGTTACAAAAAATAAAAATAGAAATATCATTATTCACCTTAATGGTTGCTATCTCAGCACTTAAAGGTTTAAATGACTCTCCGAATGTCTCGGCGTTAACATTTCCAGATTTAATGGCTCCCTCTAGTTCCACGCAAGCTAACCACAGTTTTTGGGCTGATACAGAAGCTTTGTCTCCCTCTGCTCTTGCTTCTAGTGCGGCTGAGAGTCCCTGAAGACCTCCGGAGAGAGCGGACACTTGACTGAGATACTTGGATTGAGCGGATGCAAGTTTCTCATCTAGATCATGTTCGTGTTTACGTCTTAGCTCCGCCTCCTAAATACAAACATTCTTCATACGTTTTAGAATTAATGTAGCTTTTTTATTTTTCCCTAAAAAGTATATAATAAGATCTTTGATATAAAAAGAAAAAAAGATAAAAGGGACCCGACCTGAACCGTGAGGACATCAGCTAAATGATCACTATGCGCAGCAGCTTGACGTCGAAGCTGGGTTCGAAGTTCAGACTCAGAATCTTCTTTAATCCCCGCCAACCTTCTCTGGTGCTCAACCTCAAGCTCACGCTTCTGCCTTTCCAGCTCGTTATCGATCTTAACAAACAAAATTATCAGAATTCTAGACATAGTGTATACGGGAATATAAACAAACCTTATTAGAAGCTGACATCTGTGCCTCCATCCTCTGTTTCTCCAAAGCTGTCTTAAACCTCTGTTGTTCAAGAGTTTGCTGTTTAGCCAGCTCTTGTTGCAGGTGCAATACCTAGAAAAAAGACGTTTTAACACACTATCTTATTTTGAAATATGTTCAAGAAATTTTATCAAAGTCATAAAACACAGGCAAAATAAGTTTTGAGAGACAAGGAGAGCCAACTAGGAGAAACTAGTACACAATACCAATTCATCGAGAGAATCTAAGATTTGGTTAATCAATATTCATTATTAATCATAGGATCCTTTACCTTTCTATAAGCATGAGTAATAAACATATTAAGTTCATCCTCAGTGAGTTTACTATTCTTCTCTCCCAGCTTAACATCAGGCATAATAGAAGCCATCTCCTGATGAAACTGCTGTCTACCCTCTTCAACTAGATCTCGGTACTGTTCTACAACACGCGCTTCACCCTCAACCGCGGCAATACGTGCTCGTGCTTGCTCTAGCTGATACATTGCTCTATTAGCGGCCTCCTCAGCAACAATCAGCTGAGGGTTGGTAGCGGTCGCCTTGTTCTTTCTACCAGCATCTATACTCTCCAACACATTGTTAATAGAAGCTATGGCTTCCTTTTCCTTCATTTCTGCGAACTTCAGTGCGTCCGATTTAATAGTAGCAGCCTCGAAAACCTTCAAGAAATGTTTGTATATTGTATAACCATCCGGAGAGTCTATAACTTTTTTAATTTTAGCGTGAACTTTCTATTTTTCTTACCTGATTCCAAGCATTGTCATCCCGTGCCGCCAGGTTGGATTCTAGAACTTTCTGCATAATATTTATATGTGATACAACAGCTTCACTAGACAGATTGTATCCTTCAACCGCTACTCCAGTAGCGGAGTTCATCTCTTTACTCAACTCAATCAGAACCTGCTCAAGACTAGAGTTCTCTACGTCAGGAGATAGTTCTTCATTTAAGGTTATCTTCTCAACTTTCTTCACGGGTGCAGGAACAGGTTCAGGTTCTGGTTCGGGTTCAGGAGTAGGAGGGGATTCAACGACTGGGGGGTCGATAGCAGGCGGGGAGGGAGCTAAAACAGGCGGAGGTGTTTCCAACTCTGGGAGCGGAGGAGCTGAGATTGAAACCTTAAACACAATGTATAAAAAATAAGATCATGAAAAACATTTATTTAATTTTTCCTTACCTCGGGAATTGTTTCAGGAAGTTTTGAAATAGATTCTGGAACCTTTGATTCCTCCAATTTAGAAGCTTCATCTTTCGGTTTAGTAACAACCACGGGTCCTGGGATACGGAGTTTACTAGGGACAGGTTTAGTTACTACAGGAGCAGGAGGAGAAGCTGATCCAAGAATCATATTTAACACGTCCTCGCTCCCCGGTAAACCAGCCTCCAGGGTTTTCCTGAAATCGGGATCTAAGGCAGCGTATCCGAGAACTCCACCTCCCACACCGGTGGTGAACATTACAGTACCAGCCAATACCTTCCCTAATCCGCCTCCACCTCCGCCAGACGAGGCGTGGCGAACACCTGTCCTCAATGCCTCCGAGCGGCCGACTAATCGGCGCGCGGCGACAGAGGACAACCTCAGCATTTTATCACTTTATTCTAAAATAAAAATAAGTGTTTGCAAAATTTCTACAAGCTTAAAACAAGTCAAATTCATACACATTCCATATACTTGCATTCCCATTCCCCAGCCCTCCCCCTAATTCAAAATATAGCCAAACTTCAACAACAAAATAACATAACAGCGTTTAAGAAAAAAACAAATTCTTCAAGTCTTGAAGAAACTTTCGTGCAATTTCAAATGCCTTTCAGTTTGAAGAGGACCATGCTCGATTCACAACGGTACACTTTACACCTCCAACTGAGCAACAAGGAGGAAGGTATCGTTTAGCATTCTGACTCTTCCTCTCCCATTGGACAAATCCGCAAGTAATTTAAATAGAGAACCATAATTTGAAAATAATCAACTTTAAGGCAGATAACTTTAATATCCGCTCGGGAAAATGTTTGAAGGGTACCGTTGTGAATCAAACGTAGAATAGAAATAGAGTGTCATTTGAAATCACGCTTACAGTCCCTTTAATGCTTTTACAATTATCCCTCCCCAGTGTATTGTCCGTATCCTATGAATGTTTGGTGGTACTACGGATTGTTGTAAACTTTGTTGTGGAACGCCATCGCCTTCTTGCTTGGGACAATACCCTGGCTAAGCCCAGGACGCTTCTTCCGAACCATCATTTCATCCTCCTGAAATACATTGCGGGTAAACATATTTAATTCGTTTCTTACAAGTTGTTTGCCTCAAACTCGAATAATCTAATCCTTAAACCTTTGCAACCTGGTGACGTGGACCTTTGATATTCCGAACAACGAGTACTGGTAGATCCATTAGTCAAAGAAAGAAAATCAAAGGTAATACAATCGGGTTCGGAAATAGATCGATTAGAAAATTAAGCGTTTGAAGCAAATAATCAGTTTCTTTCCCTTCTTCTAAAACATTTTGTCAATAAGAAATAAGAAATTATAGTAGATCTTCAAGGGAACCCGACATGGAACCCCCAGACCGCCCTCATGCAATGCAACATGAAATAATCGATCATATTCCAATAAGAGACCCGGAACAATTGATCAAAGTAAACAATCCCTTTGATATAAAAACTCACTTTAGGTGGAGAAATATCCCTCTCCTGGACCGGGTTCAGTCGGATCTGCTGCACAGCTCCCTTAGCAGATTTATTATTTGAGATCTGGGAATCAGCATCGTATTTAATCTCTACAACACGATCAGTTTTTACGTCGTTGTCATGCGCAAAGGAGCACTTTGACCCCTGCCTACACCTCCCCTTCCTGTACATCCAGCACACCTTTTTCCCGTCGATCATCTTCATCTCCTCTTGCCTCTTTGTCATGTTCACGTGCTGCTCCAGGATGGCTTTCTTCTTCTCTTCCTTGTCCCTGAGAAAGAAAATATGAATGCTGCATGATTGATATTTTCCTTGGAAAAGATTCTAAATAAACTTGAGCAGAAAATGGTTGGTTTATGCAGCAAGCGGCCCATCTCTTATCCTAACGGAAATGTCAGTGCACAAATTATGCTTTTACCTAAATTAGTTTTTCTTTAACTGTTGTAGTTGTAACTTATTTATTTTTACATGCTATAAAAACAGAACTAATCAAATGTAAAATAACCCCCCCCCCCGGGTAAGATTCTTAAAGCAAACAAGTATCTAGTATGATAAAATATGATTGATGTATACTAGAAACAGGTTTAACTATTACAAAATTCCTTTCACTTAATATTATCTAGTTTAAACTCACCCAGATGCAATATAAGATTTAAACTAAACTTTAAATAAATGTAGAAATCTCGCAAATTATAAAACTAAATACTAAATACCTCAGAAAATTGCTCAAGAATTAAGATTTTAACTTAGATTATCAAATTTAACGAACGGTAATAATTACTCCACAGACCCACATAGAGTGGAAAGATACAAAAAAATACAATAGTCCGACATTTATCTAAAATACATTTGCCCGACGGTACTTTATCCGAATAAATATCTTAGTAACCTATAATTATGGTTAGATTAGGATAAGGGTTTGCTTTGAGGTATTCACTTTTCATAAGTAGATATTCTTAAGAATTACCCTTTTTGATACTTTATGCTCACCTCAAATATTCATTAATTTTCCCCTAAAATGTTTCCCAAATTCAACGAATAAACTCCAAAAAAATGTTGCCGCTACGTGAAAACATAACTAACACCTCCTGGGTATACTGTGGCTCAATCTTGTGTATCCAATCTCCACAGTATCCCTAAATACTAATACTACGGATTACCTGAATGGATTGCTAAATACTGAATTATCACACTTAACCCCCGCCACCCTCTGCTGCTGCTCTTGCATGAATGACGGTTTAGGAATAATTGCTGCGGCTCCTCCTGCTCCGAAAGGATTGCTTAGAGCCTCCAAAGGTTCATATTTCGGCTCAGTCTTTGGTTCCAACTCCTGATCTTGGTCACTTTCACTTTCAGTCTCACTGCCGGAGACATAAGCTCCGAGTAGTCCCAGGGACATTATGGTTGGCTTGTTTGTTTATCTGAAGCTGTGTGCCCGAAACAGTTTTCACAATCAGAGTCAGATTCGGAGGAACTCTCCTCCAAATCTTTCCTTGGTTTCCTGTACTGACAGCAACACTTACTCTTCTTCTTTCCTAAACCTGCAACAAATATCAATTCGTTGAACTGAGGAAATAAATATTTACGGAAGATAAACATTTGAATCAAAAATGAAAAGATGTTAAAATTTATGACCGGTTCTGTAAATAAGCAAAATAAAGTTAAAATCTTCTGTTATGTAGAGGCATTTACAACTAAATTGAGAAGAAAAATGTGAAAAGGAATTCTTTCATTGAAGTCTTTCGGTTTTTAACTGAAAATGATAATATCTCAACTGAGCTTACATTAAAAAAACTGGATAATATTTCATTCAAATAATACCTTCGTTATCGACAGTATCTTCAGTCCAGTTAATCTTCTTCTTCCCTTTCTCCTTCTTCAAGCAGAGCTTGAGGGTTTGCTCCGGTTCCTCTTTCTCTTCCTTCTTTTCACATACAGTCGAACTAGTGCTGGAACATGAATTGTCCATTGTACATTCTTAATCTGGAATATTAAAAGATTATCTTATCACATTTTATTATTCAGAATCTGAAACTTTGGTTCTTTTCCGCCCCCTTTGCTTAGGAAGTTTCTTCTCAGGTTTGTTTCTAGATAATGCTTTCTTAGAAGATGTTTTTTTCTTCCCTGAACCTCCTGGAGTCCATTCTTCCTCTTCTTCGTCCTCCTCTACATCAAATCTTAAACCCTCTCTAGGACCTGGATCCAGCTCCTTGGAGAAATACTGTTCTTTCAACCTTTTCCTCTTCTCTCCGATATCATCAGGTTGAGATTTGTCTCCTTTCATCTTAGGTTCATCTTCCTCGTCTTTAATCAACTCTTCAATGTTTTTGATAAGGTCTACGTCCATTAGGTTTAGAGAGTGCCCAGAGACTGAATCCTGGGTGAATGCGTTCTTAACCTTGACATAATTGTCATGTGCCTTGGTCAATCGTCTCATCATGTTTCTGAATTCCTTGGATTTAAAATATTGATTTGATGGTTGGACGGAACTGTTTGACTGATCTTCCTTTCTCTCCAGTGTTTTAGCAACCTCTATACCCATCTGCTCTCCAACAACAGAGTAATGGAACGCATTACTCAATATCAGCTTGTTCCAGGCGTACAAAATATCATAGTGGATATCCTTCCTAGCCTCATCCATCAGTGCAGATATATCCTTAAACTCGTCATAGCTTAGTTTAATCCTAACTTTAGGTCTACAGGGTTGCTTGAAGTAGAAGGAGTACAACATATATATGGCCGCATACCTAACTGAAATAAAATCTTTTTAACACTTTCAATGATAAACGATGGCGAAAACGTGGCCCTTTTATGCTTGACTTTGGCGATTGATAGATCAATTTATAGACGTAAAACAAATATCTTTGAATATCGTGAGTTGATCAAAATCATGTTTAAGATTTCCGGATCGGCCTCCCACCCTTTCCTATCATTTTTGTAAACGAAGTGATTTTCAGAACATTATCAAACTTAATCAAAGAATGTAACCATAATCTTTAAAACTTTGCTGCAAAGATCTGATGGACACAAACCCTAAGTTCTAACCTACGATATTAACAGGGCAAATAAGAAACATTTTGGTTTGTGTGTAACTGTTCATGCGTACAGGGGTATATATTATTACATATTGATTTATCTACTATTTTTTATTTAGTATTATTTAAGAGTTCGAAATAGGTTATGTTCTAAGCCAAGCGCTGTGGCTAGGACAGAATAGGGGGCGTGCGTTCACTTCTTAAACTTTGGCCATGTTTAAGTAAAAATTGTGAGGAGGTTCGAGGGGGGGGGGCTTGGGGGTGGGCCGGGTCCGTAAAGTTCTCTAGGAAATAACCCATTTGACGGTAGGGGGAGGGGGGGGGCAGAAATCTAGAACTGAACTATCAATTGAAGACTATGCTTACCTAAAACGTTATTTTCTTTCTCCTTATAAATGGCTTTGGCGTATTTCTTGACCCTGAAAAATATATCCGTACTGAGTTCGTACAAATCTCTGAAGCTATCACGTCCATTGAAGATGAGACCAAGCTTCGATTCCTTCCAAACTTTACAGAAAATTGAAAACCTCGGTTCCTGGCTCTCATCGAACTCATAGAACACGGCGTAGATCACTCGCTCTATGTCGAATTCTACGCCGGCGTTGAATTTCAATTGTGTGTTATATTCTTTTTCCCATTCTTTCAGCACCTCTTTATCCATTCTCTCTTGATGGCAAAATCACAAAAGGGATGTATGTCAACTGATTTAAGAATTACAGATTTTCACAAGAAAAAAAACATTTGTTCATTGATAAACTCAAAAAAGCTATGGCAGATTGTGCGAAAATGCCCCGGTCTACTCTCTTTAAGTATGACGACGACAACACTGGCTCAATTAGGTGCCTACTCAATCGACCTACGGGAACAACATGACCTAATCGGACTGTGCGTGTGGGGGGGGAAGGGGCAAAGGTAATTAATATTCTATTTTAAGTATAAGTTTCCCACAAAGGGGGACTGGAGGACGTGCCTTCCTGGAAAACGAAGGGGACATTCCCCCCCCCCCCCAACCCCTGTAAAGTTCAGGGTCGAACTATTGAAGGAGCGGGGGAAGGCAGGCGGCCATGAGCCACCACTATTTCCCCCTTCCGTGCCACCACATTTGACTCTTCCGGGCAAAACTTCTTTTTTAAATGGTATATTTGGGGCCTTTAAGTGTGATTTTAAAGTCTAATGTTGATGAGTGATTTTAAGATGGATTTAGTATGAGTCAGTAATTAAATAATCATTAGACTTTGTGATATTTTTGCCCGGAAGATTCAAATGTGGTGGTGCGGAAGGGGAAATAGTGGTGGCTCATGGCCGCCTGCCTTCCCCCGCTCATTGAAGGGGGGATCTTCTAGTCTCTCTTATTAACAGGAGCGTATCAGGAATCTTTAATCAGGAATTTAATCAGTTCCTGATTAAAGGTTCAATTTTTTAATGTGCCAGGTGTCCTGCATGGAGCGAACTCTTGAATGGGGCTAAAGTTTTAACCATTATAACACAATGGTAAGACATAAAAAGCAATGTTAAAACATTGAAAATTATTAGTTGACACATATTGAATACGCATATAGTTCTTAAATTTATTTTAAAGGAGTTAAATGCAAAAAAAATGTTATTTCCTCAATCTTGAATGCCGTCTTCGTTTCAAATCATCAAACAATTAATATTTACTTAAGACGTGTGGTTTTCAAATCAGAATACAGTAATATCGAAAAATTTCATAACTTTGCTTTTTAAGTCTAACATTGTGTTGACATGGTTAAAACTTTAGGGGAAGTCCGCCCCATGCAAGAGTCCGCTCAATTCATGACACCTGGCAAATTAAAAAAATTGAGCCTTTGATTAGGAAACTTGATCAATGATAATTCATTTATTAAACCTTTATCAAGAAATAGATATTTTTACACTTTAGATACATATGTAGAGTGTAGATACAATGTGCATGACAAGTTTGCTGTATTGATATTAAAGTTACAACTCATAAATTAAGAAATTCGTGTATACTGTATAATCATAAAATTTATTAAATGCTTAAAATATATATCATTAATAAGATAAACCTTTGAATTATTAAAAATATTCTTCATAACGTTTCGTATCACAATAAATATATTTCCGGATATGACATTAACTAATTTACCCATGGTAAAATTCTTGCTTCAACTCCTCTCCTTTCTTCCCGATCTTATCACAAAAATAGTTTGCTCCTCTCCTGTGTCCAACCTCGAAGAGAAACCTAGCAGCCTCCATCCAGATGGCCTCCGCTAGGACCGGATCCACAGCCTCCGATATATGATGGAGAAGTCGGACTGCCAGTCCTCTGTATTGTCCTAGATGTAGAACCTCGAGGCAGGCGGACCAGTTTTCTACACTAGCATGGAGCAGGGCAGCGTCCTGGAGCCGTCCTGTATATACTGGGTCAGATGTTGTTTCATATTCTTGGACCAAAAAAAAAACATTTTCATTTGACATTTTCTACTTTTAAGCTAAATAATTAATATATTTGGAAAAATAAACAAAGTTAAGAATTGCGAGAATTACATTTATAAGACGGTTTGTGTAGTTTTAAAGAAGGTTTTGTGTGGTTTGAATTGGTAACTGATAAACAATGAGAGAAAATGCAGTTTCACAAAGACAATATTTCGCTAATTTGACAACCTTAACAGAATTAAAAAGCAGATCTAAAGACAGTCAAAAATTAATTCCCAACAAAAATTCATTGGTCAGTGATATTTGTGAGAACTGTATAATTTATGATTTACCTTGATTAACAAGAAACTCCGCAAACTTCCTCGTCATCTCTCTGTATTCGTCCTCGTTCAACCGACACTTTCCCAACCACATACTTTCCTCCCAGTGCTTCGAGGCCCGGAGATAAGTACATGCATCCCATACTTTGTTCACTAAACAGAGGAGCTGAACCCCCTCCCACAGTTTTCCTTCTGCAATCAGTTTAGTTGCAACCATCTTGGTTGTACTCAGGTGGTTTCCTCCAACTGCAGATAACAAGGTTTTTATTTTAATTTTAATCTGAAAGCTCAAAACACTCAATAATAACCACCCACACCCCCTCGCCTCCCCACATTAATCTAATTATTTGTCTTTTTTCCTACCTGAGTTAGTAGTGGTGGATATCAGACAAGCCAAGAGTTGATCTGACAAGAAGGTTTCCTCTGTAGGTTCCGTCTCCAGGAGGAGTTGGACAGCAGGCTCAACCTGACCCAGGCAGAGTAGCCTGGCGGTCACTTGAGATCTAGACTCCTTGTCCGCAGCACGGTTCAGGTGAAGTTTACATTTCTCATCCTCCTGCTCTATATAGCTGGTCCGGTCACTGTACAGATCGTAACTTCGGCTTAGTTTACGGGACGTGCCTAAATGATGAAGAAGGGACCAGAACTTTTTCTCAAATTGAAATCCGAACAAATGGGCAAATTCCATGTTCCTTTCCACAAAGTTAAGTTTTGAGTCTTGTTGGATCTCCTGATAGGTCTGGAGTATAGAATACTCAGGTTGCTCCGGAGTAAGTCCTAGATCTTCTATCAGGTCAACTTGAACCTCAGGGAAGGTTAGATTAAAATGGAACCTATCTAACAGCTTCTGGGACAGGAGGGACACACAACTAAATTTTTTTTCATGATTTCCATTCAGTTTATCAAAAAACTCGTTTGTAAATTCGAAAATTATTTTTATACAAATAATTTGAACGCATAACATTTATAACAAAAATAATTCTAATTTACATCATAAAGATTTTTTTAAATATAAAATAAAAAAACTTTTCCTTGGAAGTTGATTTCTTGGATACTCCAGGATTGGGCTGGAAGCGCCAGCCAGAGCTAATCCCATAAACCTTATTCCTCCATCCTTGCATAGTATCGTAACCCTGTCCGACGCTGCCCAGTCTACACAGAGAACATCCGGTATATCCCGGGGGGTTCGGAGCTCGTTAATCAGCTCCAGCTCCTTCAAGTCCCACAGCGCGACTCCATGTGTGTAGAGGACAATAATCTTCATATTCCCGCGACCAGGGGAGAACTGAACCTGCTTTATATTTCCTCTGCCTAATAAACATTCCTTTCATAAATTTATTTAGTTGAAAACTAGACTAAATATGAAAATAAGTACTAATAAACTTAATTTAGTGGCAAAATGACAGAAAATTTTTACAGGTCAAGCGCTTGAAGTTTGGTTTTCAATAAAGATTTGAGATTTTTATTTTATAAATAATGAGAAAAATTGAAGACGGTGGTTGGAATAAGAGAACTTTTTTTGAAGAAAATATAAACATCTTTCTTTTTCTAAGGGATTTAATTTTATTTACCAGTATGAATATTCTTCGATTGTCTATCTTTAATATTCCAAATATTAATATTTCCGTCCGTGTCTCCTCGAACAATCAGCTCCGCTTTGCTCGCGATAGCGTTCACAGTTCCTAATCCGGTCTCCGCTGGAATACGAGCTCCGTCACGGATAGACTGACCTAAACATGCAAAATATGATATCATACCGAAGATATTGCAGCTGTCAATCACGTGACACAAGCTGTAATCAGAGTTGGGTCGAAGATTGTGCCTTAAAGTCGGGTTTAAGGAATTACGGCCCGTGTCGAAATTTTTAAATCGCGGGCTCAGGAGTAATTAACCCAACTATCGACCAGGCGTAATTAACCCAACTAGTGTTTTGTCAGGGCTTAGGATCCACATTGTTTTTGCTCCCTGGATCCGATTCTAAGTACTAGAATTTTTTTTTGATCTATCAAATAATTTCGTAAAATGTGATGTTATACAATTTTAAAGCAATAAATCCGGATTTACAAATGATTTAGTTTAATTTATTTTATTTTATCTAATTTATTATTAATAAATTCTTCAAAGTTAAATCAAATGGTCAGACTTTTTAAATCATGGATATTGAAAAACATTATTATTAGAGAGAAATGTTAATCAAGGAGACAGGAGTATAAATTGATCTACACATGTTCCTAATTATAGAAACTTGAATTAGCATTCAATGATGAGAAAAGTTTTACTGATCAAAATGTGTGCTGAGAGAAAAAATAAAATGTTTGGGATCCTATACAGTTAACACTGGTTTATACAGTTAACACTGGTTTATACAGTTTACACTGGTTTATACAGTTTACACTGGTTTATACAGTTTGGTTTATACAGTTAACACTGGTTTATACAGTTTACACTGGTTTATACAGTTAACACTGGTTTATACAGTTTACACTGGTTTATACAGTTAACACTGGTTTATACAGTTTACACTGGTTTCTTTATTTTTAATTGAATTTAATCTTACCTTCAACCGAGAAATGATACAATTGACTAGCGAGGTCTGAGAAGAGAAAATGTTCCTTAACTAGGAACCCGTCCTCCTTGGTAGGACTAGGTGAGCTAATATCACTGGTTTCCACCAGACCGGAGACAGATTTCCTCTTGGGTTTATGATTTGGAGACCAGATCAGAGCAGATACCAGAGGAAACTTCTTCGGCATAGTTCTCAAGAGACAGAGCTTCCTGGCGTCCCAGAGTTCGAATGGTCCGGCGGTAAACGCCAAGATAAAATACTGTTTAGCGTGGGAAACTCGTATCATAGTGATCTTAGTTTCTTCCCCTCTATCTCCACGCAGATTTCTGAAAACAAATCATTTTATCAAACTATTTTATTGTCGAGATCAAAAATAGAAAGTTTACCTTGTTTTCCCTGTGAGAATATTGGTGAACATTAATTCATTCCGGACAAAGTTGGATCCACTCAGAGGATGGTGGGAGTAACTGAAAATATTCCACGAGTTATCAAGCAAATAAAAAATTTGGTTTATAAAAGTTTCAAATAGTGTGTACTGTATATAATGAGGAAGATATTTATAAGTTCAGATGAAAACAATTTTATCAATAATTCACCCATAACTCATTAACACTTAGTAGAAAAAATTGTTTATGTGGTGGGAGATATAAGAGGTTGGGGGAGAGGTTACATTATTTAGGAAAATGTCAATAACAAAAATAATATTCAAACCTGAGCAAGGAGATGGCAGGGTTTCCTGTTATCCATTCTATCCCTTTAATCTCATTCGTATGAACAGCTAGCTCACGGGTCAAACTACCTGAATTATCTCCATTTCAACAGGGATTTTGTTTTGCTTTCAAGTATGATTTACATTTATAAAGAGAATTAAAATGTTAGATATCAAAAACCAATCCTGGCTTTTTTTTTTGGGGGGGGGGGATCTAAATAAGTTAATAACCGAGGTCATGAATAATTAATTTGACCTGTGGCGATGTTGAATATTTGTAGGTTGCCGGATATAGAACCGGCGGCGATCATGGGAACGTAGTCCCGCCAGTTCTTCACCGTTAGTGGCGGGCACATTCGAATAACACAAACAGGCGAGGAAGAGCTGCCGAGGATTGAGCGAATCATCATTTTCGGGTTCGAAATCTTCTCTCCTAAACCAGAACCTGGAAAATATTAAAGCTCTGAAGTTACAGAAATAGGAATTAATAAGTCAATTCACGTTCTCGTTCTAGAAAACTCACCTTGGGTTAATAATGGCACGGAATATAGTTTTGTTTCCTTCGGATTATTATCTTGACCGAGAACTTTACTCTCCAGGTAATCAAGAAAGTAAACCCGCCCATCAGAGGTTAGGAACGCTATCTGCTTTTCTGTAACAGGGTGTATAGATAAACCTAGAACTTTACAACTTTTTCCCATCCGAACATGATCACTCTGAACCCTTGATTCGTAGGAAACCTCAAGAAGGACGTCGGAGCCGGCTAATGAGTATCCGTCCTCGTTCAAAACTGCGGTGGAATGTGGTGTTCTAGGAAACCCAGACATAGACTGGCTCCTGGAGAAGGAAGGTGTTGCAAGGACGGAAAGGTTTGGTTTACGGTTCCAGACGGAAACACTCCCGGACTCATGAAGGATGTAAATCACATCTTTCTCTGCACAACTTCGTATCCCAGCTAGAGGAGAGTGAACCCTCTCCAGGTTGATAGTTCCAAGCGCCTGGGAGAGCTGGACATCCACGAGAAGCACTTCCTTGGAGAAAGCAAGAATTATAAGACTCTTTACTCCTTTGTGATAGCTTGCACTCAAACAATCTGACGAGGTTTCTAGGTTCTGGGTTTGCTTATTTTCTCCGAGAACCATCTGTCTCATTATTTTAGAGAGCTTGGTTCCCTTATTCTTCTCATCTCCGAGCAGAGATGCCTCAGCTGTCATACTTCTCCTTGAAGCTCCACTTTTCCCACCAACAATATAAAACTTCTTCCCGTCACTTTTAGGACATTTATCAGGATGGAAATCTTCAATGAAGAGTACACAGCTGGGACAGCGGAACATGAACCTGTAACAATTGAAGGGATCTATATCAAACCCTAACAAGGTTTCGTTGTATGAACATTTCCAGACCTTGGCTCCGGTCTGTATGTTCCATAGTATTAGATGGTTTGGAGGATGGATGGAGAGGAGAAGATGACTTGTCTTCTCTATCCTTGAATCTAACCACCTTAGCTCCGAGATGGGAAGGTTACCATCATGTAACTGCTGAGTATGTTCGCCCTAAAATATATTTGATTTTAATAATTAATATGAAAGATTTACTTTAATCCCCCGCCCCCTTTATGCCATGTTGTAAAGGTTGATTAAATAAACAGTTTAACAGGTTTAAAAATTAATGTTTCAACTTCTTTACTGATTATTATCTTTTTTTGGTTTTGGACTTCACAAGGCAACAAGAACAAACTTAAAACCGTCATTTTTGGGGGATTTTTAACAAATTTCATATATTTCTAAAAAACAGCCCGCGTAAAATAAGTGTTTACTATGGTTTATGGTCAAGTTTTTAAGACCGCGGCGCAACACAAATTGTTGGGTACATAACTTTTAACCGATCTTGAGCAAAACAAATAATAGGAAGACCTCAATAACAAACTGGAAATAGGTTTACTAAAATATCGTTTTATTTGTATGCGTGATACGACGTAAATACAATAAAATAAATTAATAGTAACTACTTGTACCACTTTTACACAAAACTCATGTAAAAGTAAATAGAAAGAGTAAATTGTGTGAATTTATACTCTGCCTAATAAGCGTGTTAAGATTTCTAAGCTATCTCTGGACGATAAAAATAAAAATAAGGAGCGGGAGGGAGGCTTTACAATATACATTTTACTTTCGCGATAAGGCCAGCGCTGAAAACTTTAAAATGGGATATCCTTAATCCCGATCGGTTAATTAATCTGGAGATTAATAACAAGCGGAGAAGAAGCATTATTTAATCTGGATATTAAGAAAAAGTGAGGATCAAGCAATTGTCAAGTTTTCAGCTAAAAGCTTGCTTTTTGTAAATGACAAAAATTGCGACTGTAATAAACAAGTTAGAGATAACGTATGCGTAGTTTTAAATATTTCATTATTACACAAAGTAATTTTTAATCTGAAATTGATTTAAATAAATAAAAACAAACCTGGATAACATCCCACACAATAATATGTCCTGCTTCATCTGCGGAGGCAAGTCCTAATCTTCTCTCCGGAGAACAAGACCAGGCAGTCCGAACCACGGGGTGCCTGTGTTTACTGAGAACCTGGAGATACTGACAAGTTGCCGGTTCAACCACCGCAACAAGGTTTCCACATCCGTAGGATATACATCCGTCCTGACCCCAACTCAGGGAGCAACGGTTCTGTACAGAACAGTTTCCTGGTATAGTACGGTTCAGAATTGGAGGGATTTTCGAGTCCTGTGGAACGTCTTTATCTGGGGTGATGAGAGACCTAATCTCCTGTGTATCGGAATTATCTATTATTGGAGTACTTGTTGAGATCATTTCGCACATCCCACTTTTCTCCGGCGAAACCTCGCCCTCCATATTTATCTGCAATTCTTCAAAAAAAAAATTTTAAAAAATATAAATTTTCATAATCTTTTATTTAATTCAAAACATTTTGCGATTTGAATTTCCCAATAAAGATTTTACATTAACATGATTTATATCCAACCAGTTCGCAAGCAAGAATATAAAATGTTTAAATACGTATGTTTGTTTTGCTGGCGAGAAAGGAAAGGTTTGGTTTGGCGCGGAACCTCAATCGATTAATCAAACATTTCCATTCTGTCCAAACCTTCAAATTATACATATCACAACAAGTTTTAAAAATAATACGAATGAAAAAAAATACAATAGAAGAACGGGGACAAATTTAAGCTCTTATTCCCCATTATTCCTTAATTTCCGTATGAATAAATTGAATATATGAATATATGTCTATAGTTTACTATATTTCCGTAGATTGTACGTGTGTGTGCTCAGTCTGTATGAATGATTATGATCTCTGTGTGCTTGGCCCAGATTGAGAAGACGAAGGAGCTCTCAAGCTTTCCAGGGACGGGATCATCGGAGTATCCAGGTTCAGCACGGATACCATCCTCTCCCAATCATACATCGTCATATTCATCACAACCTTTAATAATTTATACTTCGTGATTAGGGGAATACATTTGTAGTAACTAACAACAAGGGATTAGCATGTCGATATGGGGGGGGGGGGATAGGGCTTTTTGCAAGCTCGTCTACTAGAGACTACTCGAAAATCGTCTCTCATTTCCAATGATCAACAAATAACAAAATGTCTGCCTTCTTTTTTCCTAAATATTATAGAACGAACTCCTGGTGAAACTTTGGCGAAATATATTGAGAAGAAAATGATCATATGATGTGATTCTAGTTAGATGAAGGTTGGGGTTGGGATTTCGTTAAAAACGATCTAAAGTTTATAAAATAACTAGATAATTTTGAACAAATTTAATATCTCCGACAGTTTTAAAGGTAGAAAAAGGATCAAAGACTAATTAAAAGATGTTTTAATAACCCATGTTGATTGGAACACAATGTACACTGTAAATTCTTGAAATAAAAAAGGGAAAGTGGGAAACACAATGCCCTTAACAGTTTTATCCCCAAGATAAAAATTTTCATCTAAAATGGTGAAAAACCCGAAATATTTTTGTTTAAAAGTATTTTGTAAAACCAGACATTCACATAACAGGAAAATAAATTTAATGTTTATTTTTTATTCTAACGCCATTAGTCATTTATAAATTCACAATTTAAATAATGTCTTCGAAATGTCAAAATTTCTGCAAAATTTTTACAAAATAGAGAAGTGTAAAGGAATTGAGTCTTTGCCACAAACTCAAATTTTCTAATGCCTTTATCTTAGCAACCTGAAAGTGTTAGACCTTTGATATTTCATACAGATTATTTAATCTAACAGAATTCTTAGTCTATGATATAGGCAAAGATAAGGGATTAGAAAATCTGAGTTTATGGCAAGTTTCTACAATTCTTTAACGGAACAAAGTTCTTGTTTCCCGAGTGAAAATTTCTGAAAATTAAGGTCACAATTTCTGTACATTAAGGTCACAATTTCTGTACATTAAGGTCACAATTTTTGTACATTAAGGTCACAATTTCTGTACATTAAGGTCACAACTTCTGTACATTAAGGTCACAACTTCTGTACATTAAGGTCACAATTTCTGAATATTGTTCAGTTTTCATAAACTTTATCCACATGCATTTAGATACCTGGTTCTTAATATCGTCCTCTCTAGCAGCAGCCGAGTGTCCGGGACGTTTAGGTTTAACAGGTTTAATCACAGCTAACCCATTCTCCAGGAAAATCTTAGCTTTACCCTCCTTGACTAGGAAACTCACGTGGAACATATTCTCTATAGATTTACCAAAACAGGAGGGATCAGTTACAAACCTAAATAGTCAAAATATGGTCAGTCAAAGTCATAATAGTTCTAGTCATTCTAGTAATAATAATCTTATTCCTAACAGTCCTAATCATATTACCAAGCCATATTAGTCCAAGTCATATCATTCCTGGTCATTAAAGTCTTATTCATAATAGTCCTAGTCATAATAGTCCTATTCATAAAAGTCCTAGTCATTATATTCCTGGTTATAAAAGTCCTATTTATAATAGTCCTAGTAATAATAGTCCTAGAAATAATAGTCCTAGAAATAATAGTCCCAGTAATAATAGTCCTAGTAGTAATAGTCCTAGTAGTAATAATACTAGTAGTATTAGTCCTAGTAGTAATATTCCTAGTAGTAATAGTCCTAGTAATAATAGTCCTCGCAATAATAGTCCTAGTAATAATAGTCCTAGTAATAATAGTCCTAGTAATAATAGTCCTAGTAATAACAGTCCTAGTAATAATAGTCCTAATAACAATAGTCCTAGTAATAATAGTCCTATTAATAATAGTCCTAGCAATAATAGTCCTAGTAGTAATAGTCCTAGTAATAATAGTCCAAGTAATAATAGTCCTAGCAATAAGTCCTAGCAATAATAGTCCTAGCAATTATAGTCCTAGTAATAAAAGTCCTAGTATTAAAAGTCCTAGTAACATAGTTCCTACTAGAAAGGCAAAGAAATTAAAAAAATGTTGGTGAAAAAACTTACGATGATTTAAAAAATGCTGAAGAAAAAACGAACAGGGCCGAAGTAGGTTGGGTTCTCCTAGGTAGGATGATGACATGTAAATCGTGTCTCCGTTATATCACTATGTTTACCTGAAGTAGTTTAACGGTTTCCTTTGGTTTTCTTTGTATATGTTTACTAGACAGGAGAGTGTATGTACAACCATCTGTTCAGTTTGTGTACCAGTATTCTCAGTCTTATCAACCACTACAGCTTGAGTATTCTTCAATTCTCCACTCTAAACATCAACATAAGAATCTTCGATATTTTTCAAAATTAGATTTATAGTTTCTGAAGATTTTGTGGCGTGTGTTGGAAACCCAGCTTTAACTAGAAACTGTACTTTTCGTATACAAGTAAACGCACTAAACTTAAAAATCTATAAACCCAGCTAAGAACATTCCTATAGTTCTTCCGAGTTTCCAATCAAAATTTGAGGCAAATTGGCAAGGGGTTCCTGAATTATGATCGAACATATAAACAAACTTTATATATACAGAAATACTATTTGTGGCAGATTTTGTATAATTAATTAATTGTTGTTATAAAGAGTGAAATGGGTGTTTTTATCTAGATTAATCCTGGATCAACACCTGGATTATTAAACAGGTAAAATTGAAATAAGCTTAAATCAATGCTTATAAAAAAGATATATTCCTTTTACAGACAGAATAATATTGCAGTAGGGATTTATCTATGATTTATCTATGATTACATCCAAAAAAATGCTAATTTTAAAACTTGCTACAAATAGTATCTAAGTCTGCTAATCTACCGCAATTAGTATTTTAGTCAGTATATCTGCCACAAAGTAATGCCTGACATCTGCTGCAGAATCTCTAAACCCCTGCCCTAAACTAAGCTTTCGGTGTGTACTGCATTGACCTTACACTGATCAAGAAATAGTTGGTTTAAAGGTACTGTAAACGTAAGTTAAAGTGATCCTCCATGCTAAGATGGAAATGCCTGATTTAAACGGTACCCTTAAAAGCTGTGTATGATCAATTATAAATTTTTTTGGGCTTTTTCTGTTTATCTCCATTTGTGGCTTCACTGCAAAGCGGCTTAACGCATTTCCTGCTTATTAAAAACCAATGGATAACTTATTAGAATTAAACAGTATTTGAGTCAGTAAAACGACGTTATCAACATTTTTGATCAGAATAAAGTATCAAGGGTACTGATGAGAATCAGGCATTGCCATCTTTGCATGGAGGGTCACTTGAAATAACGTTTTTATGATCATGGGTGGGCAGAATTTTTTTCATTTGTTCTGGTTTCAAGCAAATATTCTGAAACTGACCTTCTCAGGTTTCTTCTTAGCCTCCCTAACTTTCTTCTCCTTCCGTACAGGAGGAAGTTGGCTTAAAGCTCCCTTCATATAGGTTAATACTGGAGATCTGTTAAACAAAGGTTTAGCTTGAGTACCAAGTAGGATCAGTTTACGTCTGTTGATTATCACAGTACCATCCTCTGAGATAGTTCCCTTGATTTTACGCACCAATCTCTCAGCGTATTCTTGATACCTACAATATGATAGTTGTTTTGGGGTAAAATGTTTTTTAAGAATTAGTTTATATTTAAATGCAAATAAATACTTCTGTGTGAGCTATCTCTTAGTCAGACCTAAGAGACCAAATTTTAAATGATCTTAGATAATCTTTTATTTTTTGTTGGCTTTTAAGTTGTTGTAAATAAGATGATAAACAATAGTATTTCTTAATGAAAATACCACCTGCAATGTAATAAGTTGCCACTATGTGTTAAAATAACTAAGAAATTTGAAAAGGCTCCACGAAATCAATATAATTAACCATGATTTAAGAAAAGTTAAGCAAATCCTTATTCAGAGCTTTCAACCCAGTGTCTAGGATCCATTTAATTTTGATGCAGATCCGGATCCTGGATCCGCACTGGGAAAAAATGGATCCTGATTTGTTGTCATAAACATTTTTTTGAGGTTTACTAAAAATCTTTAAATCATTTTTCTTCTTTTTATTCTAAAACTTTATAAACCATTCAGAGATATGGAAATTTTTGATAATTTCTCTTTTTTTCAACATTTCAGATTTGGGTTTTTGGTTGATACTTAGTCTTATGTTTGTATTTTGGTTGATACTTAGTCTTATGTTTGTATTTTGGTTGATACTTAGTCTTATGTTTGTATTTTGGTTGATACTTAGTCTTATGTTTGTATTTTGGTTGATACTTAGTCTTATGTTTGTATTTTGGTTGATACTTATGTCTTATGTTTGTTTTGTCCGACGTTTGTACTGGTACCATAACTTCATTACTTTTCCCCTTGGATCCGGATCCTAAGCACTGCAGTGCTTCTAAGTTAACATTTATCCCGGCTTTAAGTTATTCTTTTTAACCCTAATTAAAATACCTAAACTGAACTGCATTAGCTGACATCTCATCTGTCTGTTTCCTGCACAACCTGGATATTCCTCGGATAAGTCTTGCATCCGTCACAGACTGCTGGACGGTCTTAACCTAAGCAATAGATAAATAAAAACCCGAAAACACATTTGGGCAATTTCCTAAAGAACGCTTTTTGGACTTTCCTCCCCTCTTATGAATTTTGTACATGGCCCTCATAAGTTGAACATGTTTAAAGAAAGACATATGTGTTAGTCTGATGATGTTTTCTATTACAGGACTATATCATGATACTGGTAGAGTCTCCAGGAGCAGGCTATATATATGTTATTGTTTTGGTTACATTTATATATTGTTGTGTACTCTACATCTTCATGTTTCAGATATAAATACTCGTAGGCTTGGGGGTTTTATCTATATCAGCTATTATTGTACATATTCATTTCCAGAGAATATGTGTCACTGACATTATTATGCTAGTATATTGGTCAGTTTATCAATATGGCCGCAGCGCCGGCCCCCTGGTCTATCCTAGCCGCGGCACTCGGCCCCATAGCCTGTCCTAGCCGCAACGCTTGGCCCAGAAATAATCCAACATAAAAATAGGACTGACCCAACATGAGTTTTAACCTAAAATTCTCCATTATGTAACAATTATTTGAGATAAAAATGTTGTTCATAAAAATTTACCTTTTCGTAAAGTTTATCATTCTTGTGAATCAACTGAGTAAGATTTATCGAGTCGAGAATCCCGTCTTCCTGTTTACAGATCTCATCGTTTAGTTTCCTATATTCTTCTCGAACCTCGGCTTTCTCCTCCTCCTCGTCATCCAGGGGTAACTCACCATAGGACTCATTTAAATCATCAACATCCATGTCGTCCATAGTGCTTCTGAAAATTCATAAGATTTAGCAACTTTATTAAAAGATCTTCATTGATATCTAAAATTTCTGAACCTTTGTCAGATGTTATTGTGATATTTATGAAACAGGTGAAGTATTTTCATGAAAATTTTATGCTAACTGAGTGCTGGACCCTGTCATAGAGAACACTTTTTAGGCCCCCACCCCCATTACTCCACTGAAAATGAATGTACAGATTGACAGAAATGGGGTAGATAGGTTGCGAAACGTAATTTCAGTTGATCTTCTATGAAAAAATGGAAAATAGCGAGAAAAATAAAAACTATGAGATCACTTCAAGATATTAGTTCTTTTATCTTTGACAGTTATTAAATGACAAGTTGTTGCAAAATATTTATTTGTCCTCAGATAAATATCAAAGTTTAAAAACCGACCTTCGAACCGTCTACGGTATCAACCCTGCTGGCAAGTAGTTTCAAATAGTTTAAATGATCAAAGCTTTATCCCGAAAGAATTCCAAGAACATCTGTCCAGATTAAGAAAGGCATGTATATACTTATATATACATGACAACATGGAAGATTAGCAACCACTTTGTTGCAAAGAGAAAGGGCACTAAGAGGAACAATATCATCAATAATTAATTATTTCAGTCGCAGAGGTAAAATATTTTCATTTAGAATTTAAGCGTATTAGTTACAACAGACATCCAAGGTACTGAAAATTAAGCGTATTGGTACTCAGTCTGAAATTCAAAGTTGAGAACAGCTTGATCTAGTTTATGTATAAATGTTGGAATAAATCCATGTTACTCGACTAAAAGCAACAGACTTAAAATTCAACTTAAAGAATAAACTGCCTGAAGCGTATATGTGACAGGAAAATAAGCGTAATCGACAAGTTTCCACCAGGAAACCACTTATTTTTTCCGAGCACCAGTTGAGGTTTTACTCTTCATCATGGCATCAATCTAAACACAATTTTGTTAATATCTTTTTTCAATAAAGAACTTTTCAGTTTAATCCTCTGCTTAGCAAGAGAAGTTGATTCTTAATTTTAGCCAGGAAAAGATTAATTTCCGAGCCACAAAAAAAAAACTAAAAAAAAAATTGGTGAAAAAACTTTTTTACAAGAAGAAAACTTCTTCTCAAATACTTTATTAAAAACAAAAGAACACTTATACACTTAAAATATAATTATAGGTATAGAGTTTTCAATAGACATAGGGAGAAAGGGGGAGAAAGGACTTGATCATTTCATTCAATAGACATAGGTCGTCGTATTTATTTGAACGAAGTTTTCTATTTTCTTTAGGAAGAACTGCGATCTTAGGAGGTAGGGGAAGGCATGCAGCAGCAAAGCTTCCAGGAGAACAATGCTTTAATTTCTTCATCCCATAAACTGATGCTCTGAATCTTCTCATTTCTTCAATTATATCTCCAGGTTCAGTATCACGCAGTATGTCGTTTAGACCAGCAACAAGAAGAACATCTACGATGATATCCTGGTTAGAGTATTCACAGCAGAAAGCATGATGGAGTGATTTCACAGTACCTCCAGGGATTCCAACACATTCCATGTGGATATCATCTCCAATATATTCGTTCTCATATCTTTTTCCCTGCCATCCGTTTAATATCGAGGAAGTCATCAACAGTGGATATCTCAAGCCAGTTTTGCAAGAAGAAAACGGCAATAAATATTTATATAAACGAATAAAAAAAATTAAACAAACCTTATCGTAAGCGTAGTTCAATCTAGCAGCAATATCCTGTGAACACCCGTACTTTTCCAACAGATCAAATCTGAAGGTTCGGTTTCTCCTCGTATCATCGATATATGTGACAGCTCCAAGCAGGGGGCACAGAATTATCTTTGTGTGATCCTGAAAAATAAATCAAATAAAAATCCCAAGGAACGAATCGGCGTAAAATCTACGCGTGGAAATAATCCAGTCTCATCGGTCAACTTTATAGCTTGGTTTATGAATTTAGGAATTGACAAGTTTGATTGGTTGACATCCCACAATAAAAACATTTTTTAGTACAAAATAAGAAAATACGGTATTCTCAATGTATGAACTATCTCCACTTTTTGACCTCGCATAGATTTGCCAACTGAAGTTGATTAACATTTAACTTGTTTTAAATATCACTCAACTATAATACTTGTTCACCAAAATCATTTCGTTAATGTGGATATTGAGTCCCAAATTTTGACCAAAATTAAGTTAGAATGAAAAATGAAAACGTCGAAGCTCTGGCTTGCCTTTCCAGTGCTTAGGATCTATTTGATTTTAATGCGGACTAGGAAACCGGTTCCAGGTCATGAAAACTTATATGAGATTTACTTAATTAATATTTTGCTTCATTTTTTTTTTAAATATAATATAAAGAAATAAAAATCTGACCTTGAAGAAGTTGATCTGAATGGTTCCATTGCTGAGGTGCATCACAACAGCTCTGGAGGTTCGGAACCAGGTTTTCAAAGATGGAATTCGAGACAAAACATCTTCATCACGGATCTAGAAATACATATTGCATATTTAAGTACCTCTGACGGGATGTTTAAATAATTAATCATAGATCAACAGTCATTTAAAATTAAGGTATGCGGAACGTTGTACTTCCACTGGGTTGGTATTTAAATTCTATAATACCGAAAATATGGTCCGGAAGGTTCAAAATGGGGATTAAATTATGATTTACCCTACCCCCTGTTTCTTCCCGATTTAGAGAAACTCAAATCCCCTTATGAACAAATCGGTCCAGATATTATTTATTTTAAAAAAATTCTAATAAAATTCAATTGTTTTCTGCACAATACTTAAAGATAGCGGGATCGAATTTAATGAATTTAAGCTACTTTGCTGAACTACTGCCGGTTCAATTTTAAACCACAAAATAAAAGGTTCAAGATTTAGGAAGGATTTGAATTGGCGATTTAAATTAAAAGAATAGTACATAAATTATGAAAAGTACTTTTGAACCAGTGGTAGGCAGTTTTTAAACTTATTAAATTGGTCCCGGAACACAAAAGTGCAGTGTTCACAGTAAAATACGAACCTCCATATTAGCCCCGGCCTTGAGTAGATGTTCCTTCATATAGTTCCTGAAATAGTTCAACAGCTTCACCTTCTTCTCAATGGTTTCAGGGTATTCGGTCAATGAATGGTAATGCTCTCCACCTAAACAATCGAAGTCTTTAAATTCGTAATATATTAATAACTAGCTAAAGTGCCCGGCGTTGCCCGTGAAACTTTAGAAAAATTTCGTATTTAAAAATATCAGAATTTTTTAGCCTGTGATACCGCTTTAGTACTCAAGGGTTCCCCTCAATAAAGTTCAGTCAATCTGGTCCAGCCGTTTGGCCAGCTATAGCTTACAAATGTATATGAGCCACGATCTTTATTATAAAGATTACTAAACAGGGTTACCCACAAAATATGAGAGACTGTGCTAAATTTTTACTGTCCGTTTCCTTTATGATTCCCTGCAACTGGAAACTGGTTTCTCTCTCTGTCTTTGATTGAATAAGCCATCAAAAGACTATATCTACGGTATAAGATATAATTAAACCATGAGATAGACATATTTTCATATGTCGTCCTTACAGTCTCAGGGTGGCCAAAACTTTTTTGAAAAAAATCCATACAAAAATCCGTACATTTTCAGAAAAAAATCCGTACAATTTTCGAAAAAAATCCGTACAATCCGTACAATGCGAAAAAAAATCCGTACAATCCGTAAATTTTTTTTAAAATCCGTACTTTTTTTAAATCCGTACAATCAGTACAATTTTCGAAAAAATCCCTACAATCCGTACATTTAAGAAAAATAAAACCATCTTTGATAATAGAGAACTAGAGAACTAGAGAACTAGAGAACAAGAGAACAAGAGAACAAGAGAATCAGAGAATCAGAGAACCAGAGAACCAGAGAACTAGAAAACTAGAGAACTAGAGAGCCAGAAAACCAGAGAACCAGAGAACCAGAGAACTAGAGATCTAGAGAACTAGAGAACTAGAGAACTAGAGAACTAGAGAACTAGAGAACTAAAGAATTAGAGAATTAGAGAACTAGAGAACTAGAGAACCATAGAACCAGAGAAACGGAAAACAAGAGAACCAGAGAACCAGAGAACGAGAGAACCAGAGAACCAGAGAACCAGATAACCAGATAACCAGATAACCAGAGAACCAGAGAACCAGAGGAGAACCAGAGAACCAGAGAACCAGAGAACTAGAGAACTAGAGAACTCGATAATAGAGAACCAGAGAACCAGAGAACCAGAGAAGCAGAGAACCAGAGAACTAGAGAACTAGAGAAACAGAGAACTAGAGAACTAGAGAACCAGAGAACCAGAGAACGAGAGAACTAGAGAACTAGAGAACTAGAAAATTAGAGAACTAAAGAGCGTTGATTCTAATTTTTAAAACTGATTAGATCGGTGTGAATAAGGCCATTTAACCAACAAACGATTAAGTTATTATTAGAAAGAGTGGAGTGTAGATTTGGGATCTAATATAATTAAAATTAGCGTGGTGGGAGGTAGTACAGGGGTTGCTCACTCAATTAAAAGAAAGTTAATATTCAACTAAAAATAAAAAGATTTACAGAAAAACGGAAGAAACCTGAGAGGATGTTCTCAGATCTGATAAAGAGACAGATAGATAGATAGATAGACAGATAAATAGACAGAGAAACAGATATACAAATACACATATAGATACACAGAGAAACAGATAGGATATATAAACAGATAGATAAAAAGATAGATAAACTGTCATGCAGATAGATATACAGATGGAAAGACAGATAGCTAGGCAGATAGCTAGACAGATAGATAGACAGATAGCTAGACAGATAGATAGATAGATTAACATATTTTGAAATAAACACTTCTGGAACATATTCTCAAATGAATACTTCTGGGACATATCTTGAAAATTATGAATGAATTTTGATTGTCAATTGAAACATTAATCAATCTAATATTTTTTAGAATGCAGAAAATAAGTCAAACTAAGTTCATTTTGACAATTTTTTTTTAACTTTTCATGAAAAATTTGCTAAAATGAGTGAAAATTAAAAAAAACGGTGTATTTCCAGTATAAAAATCCGTACAATCCGTACAATTTGAAAAAAAAATCCGTACAATCCGTACATTTTGGCCACCCTGCTGAGTCTCATCATTTGTGGGTACCCCTGTACTAGAATATTTTGAGACTGAGAATAATCATTCAATCTTTTTACAAATAAGATTAACGTCCCCTCTGCTTTAAATCAAATCAAAATTGCTGGGGTTTGCTAACAGCCACCAAATTTCGGAATTTAAAGGTTCAAGTCCTAAATGAACATCAGGTTTTCAGCCTCGACCTTTTCTAGTACTATAACACCAGGTTCCAGCACACAAATCAAATGTGAGCCATTTTCGTTTGATTCAAATTAACGTATTTGGAAGTAAATGTAATTTTCCCTAAACGACAGAAGTTCAAAACGACTAAATTTACATTCATAGAAATATATGAGAAATCTACACTGTGTCGCTTACCGTCGTAGTCGATGTAGTGAATGTTGTGACCATCTGCCAGAAGAAGAAGTTTGGTCAAATCATTGAAAACAACTCCAATACTGTCATCATTCAAACTGGACAGTTCAATTAAGTAAGTTACAAAATAATTCCTTTAATGAAACAAGGTCTGAACTCACTCAATATCAAGAGGAATTTTTCATTTGCAAAAGTTGCTTAAATCATGAAAAACGCTTAAGACTTCTTCATAAATATCATTAAGGAGTCTTTTAAATCCGTCGAACTACAATGTTACGGATTAGTTATTTAAGACTTAAAATTGAAAAGATCCGACCTGAGATTAAATAAGATTGTTACCTGTATCCAAAGCCATATTTATCACTATAATCGACCCATTTGGACACCCAGACCAACGGTTGAGACTGAAAATATTTATAATTAGATGAAGAGTGAACCACTGACGAGGAAAAGGAGCTTGAAAGTTTTACAAAAACTGAGGCGTTCTCAGAGAAATATGGAAAAGGATTTTGAAGTGATTAACAACTTCTAACCAATCCCAGCAAACTGACTTTAGATCTTTGAACTTTATCTATCTTTTTTTAAATCTAAATATTTATTTTGTAGCAGAGATTAAAATATTACAATTGTATTACAAGTTTACAACTTTCATAAATGGAAAAACTACATTATTTATTTTCTATATAAATGATTCATATGATAGACACAGATTAGACTTTGAATGCCAGTGCAATATTTCGCAGCTGACTCCCTCGTCATCCATTGCTGAGAAACAACAGAACTTCCTATAGTTATCAACCAACTGATATTTTATTTGGTTGTCTACCTTTTCATATGCTCTAATTGCATTGTGTCTAACTGGGCAAACTGTACATTCTTTTTCTTCACAGAAAGTAAAAACTGGGTTTGCAATGTTCACAGGTGGTTTTAGTTCGATTTCAAGTTCAGTTTCAGATTCTGGACCAGCTTCAGTCTCAAGTTCAGGTTCAGGCGCAGACTCAGTCTCAGGTTCAGGTTCAGGCGCAGACTCAGGTCTATCGATCTTTCGATTTTCTCGGACTATGTGTTCAGTTAGTTATAACCCCCCCCCCTCAAAAAAGAAAAAAAACTCTTCTCACCATTGGATCCTCTGCCTCCTCCTCCTGAGCTTGAACCCTGGATCCAGGTTTACTCTCAACCAGCTTCCTGAGCATAGCGAAGAGTTCACCTAGATGACAGTCAGAGGGTCCACTCACACTTCCCTTAACTCCGTCCTTTTTCTAAAAAGAAGATTGTTAAAATAAATTTCTGATTTGACAAAGTGCGAAACAAGTTTAGGTGCAAAGAACCATGAATATAAGAAATCAGAAAAATCCGTACAGTCGTCTCTGAAGTCACATCCTTTGTAGGTTAAACTATCCGGGGAGTAAAAATTGGAAAATTTAAGAGTAAAGTTTTTCAATTATGATAAAATTCCCAGTTATGTAAGAATCTCATGTAAATCTGAATATCTACCTCTCCTGTACTGCTAGAGGATTCTGATATCCTGTTGTACTCAGAGAGCGGGTTCTTCCTGGCTATCAAGCTGGCGTTCAACTTGTTGTCGAACCTTGGCGCCATGGAGAGGCAGGACTGTGGTAGACGGCAGGGTAAGTATCCCATAGTCATAAAATCATCCTGAACACACAAATTCATGAATTCAATAAACAGTCGTTGAACTTAAAAAAACCCATCCTGAAGAACGTTAAGATGTAGTTGTTTTAATCAAAGAAAGCAACCAAACAATCTACGATCATCAAGTCAAGGCTGAGCCTCGTCAAATATTTACAGTAAAAAAAGAAAATTGCAAAGATATGTAATATACAGGGAATAGGAATAAAGGTAAAGGAAATGGCGCTGGTCTGGCATGAGAAAGCCAATAACACTGCTTTGCAGACCAGTACGGGAACCTTACACACACTCTTTTGGTACAGACACACAACATGATTACAGTCAAGGAAATTGCAGAACAATGTTGACAATTATAATTAAGCTTGAATAACGACTATATTTATTGTAAACTTGCATGAAAATTTGGCTTTATAGTGTTGACTTAAATATGTAAATAATATATTACATGCATTTTAAACTTATTTTTAAGTAAACAATTAACAATAAACAAATGTACTCTCTTATACTGTACAAATACCGAGATTCATACGTACTGTATAAACCTACAGTACACACCTTTGGTACGGTAACCTTACACACACTCTTCTGGTACAGACACACACACATGACGTTTCCGCCCCCTGGAGATATACGACAAAATACATTAAAAACTATTTACCTTTAGTATCTCCGTAACAGATGGTCTCTTCATGGGATCATTCTGGAGTAGTTTGGCAATAAGGTTTCTAGCTAGAGGACCAATCTTAGACGGAATATGGTACTCGTTTCTCTTTATCCTGAAACGTTAGCTATTACTATTAAACAAGAATTTCATCACAATGGAATCTTCCAATATTTGAATATATAAAGCAAATCTGGAGAACCAAATAAAAATGGACTCTTCTAACATAAATCAAAACCGGGTACATAAAAAATCTAGTATTCTTTTCTTTTCAACAGAAATCAAAAACCGGTAATTATTTAAATCATTCAATGAACTTCATGAACAATTTTTTCACGTGATCAAAGTTTCCGCAAAAAATTAAGTAATCAGATCCAATTACGTGAACAAATTCTTTGCTACCCGAACTGAAGTACTGACCTATTGTATGTATCCTTCAGGGACTGTGTCTCGAATGGTGGTTTCCCAACTAGTAATGTGTAGAGAATACACCCCAGGGACCAAACATCTACCTCGTAGCTGTGTCCTTTCTTGCTTAGAACCTAAACAGACATCAATTTCATCATATTATTTGAGTAAAGCTTTCAAACAAAAGTAAATATTTTTCCTCAATATTTCAAGCGCCAACAAATTACAAATATATTACAAAAACCAATTTTGGGAGAATAAAAAACCCAAAACTAAGAAAATCCAGTCTGTATCAATTTGAAATCAATCTGAAGCACGAATGACACCGCAACATTTATCCAGTTATATAACAAAATAAAAATAAAAATAAAAATAAAACTACAATCCATCTTACCTCTGGAGCTATGTAGTTAGGTGTTCCGCACAGTGTTTTCTTCCTTTCTCCCTCAAAATCCACCTTAGTTGCCAAACCGAAATCTCCGATCTTAATCTCCAGATCATCATTTAGGAACACGTTGCCGAGCTTCAGATCACGATGAATGATCTTGTTCTCATGAAGATATTGACAACCCAACAACATCTGAATAAAATAATTTGAACACCCAAATTTATAGGAATAACTTAACTAATAGAGGATCAGAATGATATTATGTCGTGAAGAATCTTGTACTAGCAAGGGATAAAAATCGGAAATTTTGAGTTCATTTTCTAAAGGATCAATTTTCATAGAGAACGGATATAGGATCCAGATCTAGAACTAAATAAGAAGGATCCTCAGCACGGCAACCTTTTGCGACATCATAAGATAATACACAGACCTGTCTCATAAAATATCTGGTTTCAGGTTCGGTGATAGCTTGTCGACGTTTGTGGAGTTCCATCAAAGATTTCTTTCTGCACAGCTCCATCCTGCCTGTCCAACGTGTACGGAGATACATTCCCTCATTTTATCAGTACGTTTTTAAGATTCTGAAATGATAAAAATAAACATCTTAATCTTATTCCTGTCTCATAAAATATCTGGTTTCAGGTTCGGTGATAGCTTGTCGACGTTTGTGGAGTTCCATCAAAGATTTCTTTCTGCACAGCTCCAAGATCACATATCTAAATCAAGATAAATCCAGTTTCAGCTTTATTAGTCACATACATAAATAAAGAATAAACCAGTTACAACTTGATCAATCGCATATCTAAATCAAGATTAATAACCTCTGTAAGCGAGGTTCCTGGTATCTCAAAGATTAATCAAGTTCCAACTTGATCAATCGCATTTATAAATCAACATAAATCTCATCTTAAGAATCAGAAAACTTACAATTTAAATTGACAAATTCTGGGCTTAACAGGAACAGGAAAAATATGAGTCAAAATAACAAATAAATAAAAAAGTAAAAGCTACTTACACAAAATTTGAATCTTCAAAATATGAGAAAAGCTTCACGATATAGGAATGTCTCACAATCTTGTGCAGTCGGATTTCCTGAAAACAGTGACATGATAACCATAAAAAAATACGTAAATACATGTAGTCGGATTTCCTGAAAACAGTGACATGAAAACCTTAAAATAATACGTAAATACATGTAGTCGGATTTCCTGAAAACAGTGATATGAAAACCTTAAAATAATACGTTAATACATGTAGTCAGATTTCCTGAAAACAGTGATATGAAAAACCTTAAAATAATACGTAAATACATGTAGTCGGATTTCCAGAAAACAGTGACAGGATAACCTTAAAATAATACGTAAATACATGTAGTCGGATTTCCTGAAAACAGTGACATGAAAACCTTAAAATAATACGTAAATACATGTAGTCGGATTTCCTGAAAACAGTGACATAATAACCTTAAAATAATACGTAAATACATGTAGTCGGATTTCCTGATCCAAGTAACATGAAAACCTTAAAACAATGATAAATAAATTTACTAGCTTTACCTGAGCCATCTTTTCTTTCTGGTGAGCTTTAGTGAGCATTGATTTTGGAACTATCTTCCCCGCTACTATCTCTCCTGTAGCTTTATCCTTCAGCTCATAGCATTTAGCGAATCCACCCTTAACAAAGACAATCTTACTTAAAACCAGAGTGTCGAAATCAATATGTATACGTGTAAGAATTAATATTAGTCAGGAAGGAAATAGACAAGGTGTATATTAATGAAAAATAATTTACATGTTTCCATGATGTTAAAGCCAAGTCTAAATTGAATTGGAAAAACCTTGCATCTAATGCCCATTTTCTTTTTCCTCCGAATCTTTAAAAATATTTTATAAATTAAACAACCCTGCAAAATATAAGAAACAAAATATCTTTTTATTTTACCTTTCCGAGAAACTTTCCCCTCTCATAAGTTCTCTTAGTGCTAGGATCCGTGATAACATCCGGTATTTCCTTGGCAACAACTGGAGTTTCCAAGGGGACCCTGCTACTCATCCTAGCTTCTAGATAAAACTCTGAAATATGGATGAAATTAAATCTTTAAATCAAAATAGAATAAAATCTTTGTAAAAATTATCACTTTCAATGAAAGACTAAAAATGACGTTGACACCAGGTTGATTTTTCAGTATTCATCTCCTTCTCCCTCCTCGGCATCATTGGAATCCATTTCGGGATGAAACAGCTGTCTATACGTTCCAGTTCTAATCTCATCAATAACGGTAGGTTCCAGATCAATGAATACAGCCCTGAAATATAACAGTAACGAACAAATTTCAAAGATATTCAATACTTTTTTCGATTTATCTTGTAGTTAATAATTGTACAATAATTATGTAAATATGGTCATTGATCAAAAATTGGATGTTTACTTAAAATAAGAGAAAGAAATGTAATTTGGAAGTAAGAAGGAACTGTAAAAAAAAACAATCCAGCCCAGAAAGAAAAAAGCAGAAAACCAAAAACGGAATTGTTTCTGTCAAAATATAAAAACTAAAAGTCTGAAGATACAAAAATTTTCAAAAATAAAAGCATTTAAATTATCATATTTATCTTATTTTACACAAACAGAACCCTCAAGAACCTTTAAAAGCTGCGCTATTATACTAACCACTTTTGCTCCTACTCCCTTACAAGTAATTCAATCAAACTAAAAATCTAGCTGTCTAGAGCAAATATCTTAATTCCTACCTTGGAACATGTTTCCCTGCTCCAGTCTCTGAGAAGAAAGTACTGAAACTATCATCTCCCTTGGCAACACTCATATCAGGGGGGAGCATGCCATCAGGTTGAAGACCATGCTCCAGGCAGTAGAGTTCCCAGCAAGCATTTCCCATCTGACATCCTGCCTGTCCAACGTGTACGGAGATACATTCCCTCATTTTATCAGTACGTTTTTAAGATTCTGAAATGATAAAAATAAACATCTTAATCTTATTAATCTTATTGAGTATATAGACTCATTCACCAGTAATTTTAAGGCAAAATGTTCAAGTTAAAAGCAAAGCTTGGCACATTAGAAAATAATTGAAGTATCAGTATTCATCTCCTTCTCCCTCCTCAGCATCATTGGAATCCATTCCAACCTCTTCATAATCCTTCTCCAGAGCAGCCATATCCTCCCTAGCTTCAGAGAACTCACCCTCCTCCATACCTTCTCCAACATACCTGAACAAAATGATTATTGATTTGTGTTTTTCAGATACGTTTCACGCTAAAACTTATGACGTTTCCCACAAGCTAACCACGAAAAAGTATGTTTACTAGATATTGCAAGTGCAGTGCTTAATTTAACAAAGTTTGATCAAATTTTTAGATTTATCTCTCCAATATACAAATGGACCAGGATCCCAATTAAGATTATGCAATAAGGAATCTTTAAAATTAACTAGTTTCTATCTTAATGATTTACCACAGAAACATTTAGATTGTTTTGTAGATAGTGAATGTTCACTGAAAATTATAAAGTTAGACCTAAGAGAACTCTACCTCCTTCATACCTTCCCAACATACCTTACAAATTTTAATTTTAATTTTACAAAAACAGGATTTATCAACAACTTACCAATGGACGAAAGCTCTCTTGGCGTACATCAGATCAAACTTGTGGTCTAGTCTAGCCCAGGCCTCAGCAATAGCTGTAGTGTTGGACAACATGCACACAGCTCTTTGCACCTTGGCAAGATCAGCTCCTGGAATAACAGTAGGAGGCTGATAGTTGATTCCAACTTTGAACCCTGTGGGACACCAATCCACAAACTGAATGCTCCTCTTGGTCTTGATTGTGGCAATAGCAGCGTTGACATCTTTGGGTACCACGTCTCCTCTGTACAGCATGCAGCATGCCATATACTTACCATGCCTAGGATCACACTTGACCATGGAATTGGCAGGTTCAAAGCAAGCATTAGTAATCTCAGCTACAGACAAGCTCTCATGATAAGCCTTCTCAGCAGAGATAATAGGAGCATAGGTTACCAGAGGGAAGTGGATTCTTGGATATGGAACCAAGTTAGTCTGAAACTCATTCAGATCAACATTCAAGGCTCCGTCAAACCTTAGAGAAGCAGTAATGGAGGATACGATCTGACTGATCAACCTGTTCAGGTTGGTGTAGGAGGGACGTTCAACATCAAGGTTACGTCTGCAGATATCATAGATAGCTTCATTATCTACCATGAAGGCACAGTCAGAGTGCTCCAGGGTAGTGTGAGCACACAGGGTGGAGTTGTAAGGTTCAACAACAGCTGTTGATACCTGTGGAGCAGGATAGATACAGAACTCTAGCTTGGACTTCTTTCCATAATCAACAGATAATCTCTCCATGAGAAGAGATGTGAACCCTGATCCAGTTCCTCCACCGAAGGAGTGGAAGATCAAGAATCCCTGGAGACCAGTGCATTGATCTGCCAACTTTCTGATTCTGTCAAGAACAAGATCAACAATCTCCTTGCCAACAGTGTAGTGACCTCTAGCGTAGTTGTTGGCGGCATCTTCCTTACCAGTCACCATCTGTTCAGGGTGGAATAGTTGACGATAAGTTCCAGTTCTTATCTCATCAATAACAGTCGGCTCCAGATCAATGAATACAGCCCTGAATAAAAAAATAGAAAAAATGAGTATTGAATCAGGTTCGTTAGGGGATCCATGAGGATTCAGTAGGGATTGTTGACGATGAGGGTAAACTTTAGATCGTTTTTAAACAAATCCCAACCCTACTCTCTAGCACTAGAATTATATCATTTTCTTCTCAATATATTTCGCCAAAAAAATTTATCACTGAAAGTAAGACTTAACATTTTCCCAGTCGTTTTAAGTACCAAGATATCCAGCAAGAAAAACTTCACAATGAAGAAAAAGAAATCTGACGGGACTAAAGCAAATAAACCAGAATACCAAGAATATAATATTAAAATACTAAAATTTAGGATTCAATGAATAGAATATGAAGAAATGAGAAACCAGGATACATTGAATAGAATATGAAGTAATGAGGAACCAGGATACAATGAATAGAATATGAAGTAATGAGGAACCAGGATACAATGAATAGAATATGAAGTAATGAGGAACCAGGATACAATGAATAGAACAGGAAGTAATGAGGAACCAGAATACATTGAATAGAATATGTAATGAGGAACCAGGATACAATGAATAGAACAGGAAGTAATGAGGAACCAGGATACAATGAATAGAATAGGAAGTAATGAGGAACCAGGATACAATGAATGGAATATGTTAGGTACTTTCCCAAAGGAATTTTCCTAAGTGGAAACTTCCAAGTTCCCAAGGGTATTTTTCCAAATGGCAACTTCATTAATGTGCAATTTCACAAGTGGCAACTTCCACAGTCTGTAATAGCCGCAACACGCGGACCTCAGCCTGTTCTAGCCGCAGCACTCGGCACTCTAGTCCGTCCTATTTGAAGCGCGTTGCCCCCATTGCAGCCTGCGGCGCCTCAGAGGGTTTAACTTAACCTTTGAGAAGTTGCCGCTTGGGAAATTGTCACTTGGGAAGTCGCCCTTGGGAAAATTCCTTTGGGAAAGTACCTAACACCGATTAGGATAGAATGAATAGAATATTGATGTGAAGAAGGATCAGGATACAGTAAAGAATAATGAAGTAAAGAGGTAACAGGATACAATGATAGAATAATGAAGTAAAGAATATTGAAGTAAAGAGATACCAGGATACAATGATAGAATAATAAAGTAAAGAGGTATCAGGAAACAATGAATGCAATAATTAGGTTAAGGACCCAGAATACAATTAATAGAATAATGAAGAAAATAGGAACCAGAATACAATTAATAGAATAATGAAGAAAATAGGAACCAGAATACAATTAATANACCCATGAGTGCTCACAAAAAAATTCAGCCCAATCGGTCCGGCCGGCTATAGGCAACATATATATAAATATATACGAATGTCTTGTTTTATTATATAGATATTGTTCAACGCAACATGACAGTTCCGAGACGACTTAAACGTCGTCTTTGATTTTTATATAATTTTCTGCATTTTTTGGTCAACCTAATTTTAGAAGTAAAATGAAGAATTTCGTTCAGATTTCGACACTTTTAGTTTTATTTAACAAAATTGAAATATGAACAAAATACTTACTATCTAAGGTAATATTGACAACACAAAAAAGGCAGACCACATTTTGGAAATGCAGGACTTTCAGAATTTTCTGGTTATTGTTTCAATACAGGTTCAAGTAGATAGAAGACTGAATGTCAAAAATAAATTCAAATATCAAAGACGACTTTCAAGTCGTCTTGCTATTGTCATGTTTCGTGGGACACCCTGTATGTATTATGTATTGCACTCTAAGCTTTTATAACATTAAAAATCAAAATAAATCTTCCGACAGATAAAAAGTAAGTTTTTTTACTCTTGTCTTTGTAGAGTCTATAGTCAAAGATTTTCTAGCTTTTTGAGTGTTGAATAAAAGAATGTTAAGTTATTGAAAATCAAATGTTAAGAAACTAGTTCGAGAGATATTAGCGTAAATCATAAAATTTAACTTAGTTAATTTCGTTCGTAGTTAAATCTATGTAAGTAAGAGGATGCAAGAATTATGTACTAAATAAAAATTTTGAAAATAGGACAATATTACAAAATTACTTTCAGCAGTGTAAACTTTTTAAGATAGATGGCATTTTTTATTCTCTAACTTCAGTTCAGAGTATTAAAGACAACAATTAATGAAGACTAAATAAATAACCATCAACCTTCATTCCCAAGAAATCTAGGCCGAGTGTCAAAAATAAGTAATGACCATTGACCTCCTTAATAGCCTTACCACACTAAAAAAAATCGCCTTGTAATTTTTCTTTAATAAAATAACCAAAATATTTAACTTACTTTTTTTCTGTGAAAAATTCGGACCGCTTGTAACATTTAAGCGTCAGATATTATGCAATTGTATCCGATGAGACAAAAAACCTTGCACAGCGAGGAAAAACTTAATTTCAGAATCAAAAAAGTTGAAACGTTTAATTTTCATACCTGGGGACATGCTTTCCTGCTCCTGTCTCAGAGAAGAAGGTGCTAAAGCTGTCATCACCACCCGCAACACTCTTGTCTGATGGCATCATGCCATCAGGCTGAAGACCATGCTCCAGGCAGTAGAGTTCCCAGCAGGCATTTCCCATCTGACATCCTGCCTGTCCAACGTGTACGGAGATACATTCCCTCATTTTGATAACGTTTGAATAGTAGCTTGACGATTTAGGATCAAAAGCTGCTTCTGAAATAAAAATATATAAAAGTTAAGGTTTGCTGTAAAATAGTATAAGCTTCATGAATCACATAAAAAGAGCAAGGATATTAACTTGGATGATCAATATTCATCTCCTTCTCCCTCCTCGGCATCATTGGAATCCATTCCAACCTCTTCATAATCCTTCTCCAGAGCAGCCATATCCTCCCTAGCTTCAGATTGGAAGATCAAGAATCCCTGGAGACCAGTGCATTGATCTGCCAACTTCCTGATTCTGTCAAGAACAAGATCAACAATCTCCTTGCCAACAGTGTAGTGACCTCTAGCGTAGTTGTTGGCGGCATCCTCCTTACCAGTCACCATCTGTTCAGGGTGGAACAGTTGACGATAAGTTCCAGTTCTTATCTCATCAATAACAGTCGGCTCCAGATCGATGAACACAGCCCTGAATAGAAGAAAAATAAATCAAACTGAAACGCCTTATTTGACAGCATTTCACGAGATAAAGTTCAAAGCAATAAATATTTCATAGCAATAGCCAAGAGATTTTAAAAACAGATTTTTAATACTAACCGAGTTGGGAACTTTAGAATGGTGGATATCGGGATTAATGCTTGATCCACTCTTTTTCTTAATCTCTAGATTAAATATTGCTTATTGTCATCATGAATTTAATCTCCAGATTAATTACCATGTCGGTATTAAGGATATCACATTCTAAAGTTTTCAGCTCTGAAGAAAGCTAAAATTGTCATCCGTATACCCCACCCGATATTATATCAAATGTATTTTATTGCTTTTCGCAGGGGGACAGGGGGGGGGGGGTTATACGGATGAGAATATCAGCTTCAATTTTCTTCTACACAAATCACATGTGTCCGGGAATATCAGTTAAATGAGAAAACTTTAAAAATAATCTCTTCTCCGAAAGATCACATTAAATCAGAAGAAATTGTACCCCTTCAGGACTCCAACGCCAAAAAACGACAAAATAACTTAATAATGATCAGCAGAGCGGCGCTTAGGATCCAGATCCGTTGGATCCGCCAGATTTTGGATTCCTGGATCCGAATCCAAGGTGCAAAATATCAACAAAAACAGTAAACAAAATATTTTTTACTCTCCAAACCGAAATATTAAATATAAAAAATGAGTTATAAAAATGTCCTGATTTCTTAATGGTTTAACAAGTTGACATAAAAAAATAACGAAAAAAAGACGAATTTTGAAATTTCTGCTTTGTTAAAAAAATTCAGTAATTCACAAAGAAATAACCTGGATCCGGATCTATTTTTTTCCAATGCGGATCCAGAATCTGGATCCATATCAAAATCAAAATTAAATGAATCCCAAGCACTGGTGCTTAGGATCCCCGTAAGATTTTGGTTTCTTTGATCCGGGTTCGCAAAACTATGCGGGGGCAAAATATCAACCAGAAACTGTATAAAACTTTTTTGCTCTCTAAACCCGTATCAGTTAAAAAAAAAGAACTTTAAAGCCAAACTATGTCTAAGATATGTGTCTTTGATATTACATGTGCGTCTCCCATGACAGAGCTGTTAATAATGATCTCAAATAAGATTTATTCCTTATCAAAAAGAGTATCGCGAAAAGCCAATTTTTAACTTTGTGTGATTTTTTTATTTAATTTTTTTTACTTTATTTAAGTGTTTTTCTTTATGAAAATTTCAAGAAAAAAAGAGATTATAAAAATTTCCTGATATATAAGTGGTTTAAATTTTGACATAAAAAATTTTTTAACAATACTTTGTAAAAAAAATTCAATGAGTCATAAAGATGTTTCACGACTTTGATCCGAAAATTAAAATAGATCCTAGGCACTATTGCTATATATCAGGGTTGTTCATCTTAAGAGCCCGAGAAATTTAAAAAAGTGAGTAAAAAGTTTAATAAGAGGGGGGGGAGGCTGAAGAATAACATGGGTGATATAAAAGCAACAAACTTTTTCTTTCCTAACCTGGGAACATGCTTTCCAGCTCCGGTCTCCGAGAAGAAAGTGCTGAAACTATCATCTCCTCCAGCAGCACTCTTGTCTGAGGGCATTAAACCATCAGGCTGAAGACCATGCTCCAGGCAGTAGAGTTCCCAGCAGGCATTTCCCATCTGACATCCTGCCTGTCCAACGTGTACGGAGATACATTCCCTCATTTTGATAATTAAGTAATAAAGCAGCCTTTGTAGTTAAGAACAAACGCGACTCAAGATTCTGAAATATTCACAAGTTATTCATTTTCTCATAATTATAGTAAGGAGTTTAAGCCGCATAAGTTGTCAATTTACTGTTCAGTTCAGGTTCAGAAAAAAGAGGAAATTGGTTGTCGAAAACGATAAAAAAAAAATTAAAATAAATCGTCGTTAAAATCTAAGTCAGTGTAATCCACCATTCTTCTTGGATCGGAGCAATCTCTGTGATTTAAATCCTTGATATTCCTGAATCCTAATCTGTCCTTAACACTAGCCTTGGCTCTCTCTACTGGCGGATAGTATTCCGGTTGAGTGGGTTTGGAAACCGGTTTAGGTTTGGATTTCTCCGGAAGTTTAGGTCGCTTGGGATCCTGGATAAAATTGTTGAAAAACTGAACATCCTTCTTCACTTCCTCTAGTTTCTCAGCATGCTTGTTAAATATATGCTTTCGGACAAAATCTGCTCCTTTGAACTTCTTTCCAGAGAGCGGACATAGATATTTCTCGTCTCCTAATTATTCAGTATTAGCCTGGACAAATATCTCTATAGCTTCATCTTCATCTTTGATTCCTAGTTTACCCGCCTCCTCCAGGGGTATTGCTATATTCACCTCTAGTAGAGGTTTAGTTTGCTCTACTCTCTTCTCTAGATACGCGTCAATATCATCTTCCCTCGTCTGCTCCGGGGAACTTGACTCTCGAACATGAAATATCCCGCACCGATTCGGCATCTCGTCTTCGTTATGATACACTACTCCTTTATAATAATCTACACTATGCACTAGACGTAGTTATAGTACTAGTCTGTCCAAAACTACTGACATTTTATCATCCTCCTCTTCTATCTTTTGATCTCCAGCTGAGAACAATTCATCTTCCTCTGCACTCATCTCTTCAATCAGATATTCAGTAATATTCTCTAGAACAGGATTAGAACTCGCCAACTATTTCATCAACTGTCGTTTCCCAAAGATTCCATTTCTTATCCAGGAGCTTGACACTACCTGCGAACCGGCCCGACTAGGGCCGCAGTACGCAACAGCCGACAGTACACCTGCTCTGTACCGGGCCGGGACAGCGTACAACACCTCTAAGCCCCCTACACCCAGGGGCACCAGGGGCCAAGAATAAGACATACTACTGTTCGCTATTAAGTGTCAATTATTTTAAGCAGACAAGATAAGGGAAATATATAACCTAGATAACAGAAAAGTGAAATGAGTTAAAAATGTTATAAAATACGAGCTAACAAATAAACAAGTTGTTACCGACTTGAACGAAATAATAGTATAATTAATACACGAGTAAAGAATGTTAATAAATATGACTTAACAAATTAATGAATTAAGACACTTAATGGAAATAACAGTAAAATTAATACGTTTTCTATGAAAAAATATTGATTATTTTTACCTTTAATCTGACTGAGCCGATTTTGAGACAAATTTCCTTAATCTTAGCGTCTCCAGCAAAAGAGATCCAACCTTTCCTTAACCATCTATTTTCCGGGAGAGGTTCCGAGAGCGGTAGCCTAAGATATCCTGGATACTTCCTACACACTTCTTCTATTTCTTCTCTAGGGGGCCGAGCGCTGCGGCCACATGTCCTAAACTTCAGATCCTCTTACATTTAGGATTAATGTACAAAATTGATAGGAGGGGGGGGGGTCCAAAAATCGTTCACTAGGACAGACCCAATTATTTGTTTAAATGCGTAGCACTGCCAATTCAGGTTTATCTGTGATCAAATTGATTGATTGATTGATAATCGTTCATTTCCATATACCTTATTACTGGTAACTTAAATATTATCTGTGAGACTGTGACCGTGTGACGTGATCAAAATTCAAAGATTCAATATTCTGAGAAATTAGCGCGCGAACTTGTCTGAAACTTGAAAAATGAAAGCCCAAATACCGCGGTTTATTACAGTTTGTGGCTGTCATCCAAACTATGGGAGAAACGAACCTACGTCAGTGAGATGGTTCATCGATTTTCAAGAAATTAGTGACGAACTCGACGAACAGTCGATTCATGTACATGTAATGGGGGCATTGTGGAGCTGTTTAGCCCAGGGGAGTGACATTTTTTTGGATTCACCCCATAGCGGTCCCTAAAAAAACGGTATTAAGAAAAAAAGTTCAGTTTTAAACACAAATATTAACCCTATAAAGACACAATTTTAAATCCATTTTACAAGGACTTTTCAAAAATGTAATTTTTAGATCTGTAGCATCAGTGGCGTGATATCTAAATCCCTTTATTGGAATATTAAACCCCATGATTAATATCTGAATCCCTCCAGTGGAATTATAATCCCCTTCTAATCCCCCAGGATTGATATCTAAATTCCTCCAATTGAATTATAATCCCCGGGATTGATATCTAAATTCCTACAGTTGAATTCTAATCCCCCGGGATTGATATCTAAATTCCTCCAGTTGAATTTTAATCCCCGGGATTGATATCTAGATCCCTTTAGAAAAAAAACTTATATACTAATAATAATATAGAAAGTAGTGATATCTGTTAATTTGTCTGTTTGTTTGTCCGATTATAACTCAAGAACCCCTTTACCGATTTGCTTCAAATTTTGGTTGGGCCACTGTGGAACTTTGGTAATGTGTTTCACTTCTAAGTTGAGTGGTTTGAATTTTGATATAGAAAAACTTAGGTTTCAGGAAAAGCTGAGTACCCAAGCTTGTATAGGACTAAAATACTAAAAAATAAATTTTTTAAAATTAATTTCTTTGAAACAGACCATTGTACTCATGTATAATTTTAATATGAAGTAGACGTTAATTTTCACTAAACATTTAATTATCCCAAGGGGACATTAGAAAAATTAACCAACCGTTTACTTAGTAAGCTTTCATCATAACTCCTGTTATTGTAGATCTATTGCGAAGAACAAAATAGTTTTAAAGGAATTGAAGTCTTTGCAACAAATCCCAATTTTCTAATACCTATATATCTACAACCAAATTATGTAAACCTTTGATATTTCAAACTTTGATTGTTTAATATAACAGAAGTCATAGTTTGAAATATCTAAGGTCTACAACATTGGGTTGTTAAGATATAGGGATTTAAAAATCAGAGTTTGCGGCAAAGACTCAATTCCTTTAAGTTAGTTTAGTCCTTCTCATGTCCTCTTCAGTTCTCGTCAATATGATATATTGCTCAGTGAAATATTGTTGTTCAAATAGTTCCATTCCCGGAGTTATTTTACACTATATTCGGGAGGAATGGTTAAACCTAGTAGATTGGAAAAGACCCAATCCGAATGTTATCTGCAACGAACATTTTCCCAGTTATATAAAAGTGAATGGGAAAAAGTTGTCAAAGTCTACTGTTCCCTCAATTTTTAACTTTATCAGAGCTGTTCAGAACTGCTCCGTGGAAAAAATATAATTATGCCGTCCCAGCTATTCAAAAGCTAAAGAAAATGTATGACGGAAACACGAGCAAAGGGAAAAAATTCCAAAATCAGAGTTATTCCCTCATACTGTAAAATTCTTGGTGATTTTGCGTACATAAGCTATCTATGTTTATTTATTTATCTATGTCTACAACATTTGGTTCAAAAGATATAGTGATTAGAAAATCAAAGTTTGTGGCAAAGACTCAATTCCTTTATTTCCATAAAGAGATAATAAGCGTAATTTCAAGTTCCCCTTTATGCAATGATGACAATAACATCAAATGAAGGAAAGAGAAGTTTTAGCCTTCTAAAGAGAATACTTCATTACACAGATGTACTATGACGTAGAGCAGACCTAACGATCTTGCACTTATGGCTCACTACGGAGAAAATCATTGAAATGTTTGTGCAAGCAAATCCAAGAAAATTGTAGCTTAAAAGAGTTGGTGAATATGTAGATGGAGTAAAATTCTATCTGCAAATTTCAGAAAAAATTTCGTTTATTTGTGAAAATATGATTTTTTAATGATGCTGTGATTATTGATTTAATTAGTTGTGATGGAGTTAAGTGATAAATTTATAAAGTTAAAAAGTTAAAGTTAGTTTTTCGAGCAAAGGAATAAATTTTAGAATAAGGTTAGTAACACCCTAAAATGTAGTCTTTTTGGTGTAATTTTCTGGTGTTAATTGACTTTTTGAACAAACAATTCCAGGGGGGGGCAAAAAACAGCCAGGGGGGGGCAAAAATTTTTTCGCCTTCGCGCGAAATCTTGCCCCCCCTGGCTAAAATCCTGTGTACGCGCCTGTGTAGCATAAATAACAAATGTTTATGGGCTATCTAAACCCAGATCCAGCTGTGCTGGGCCATTTAAGATCTTAACATACAATTCATTGAGTTGACGGAGTTGACGACAAGAAAATTATAGAAATTAGAAATAAGAATATAAACAAAGACAATATTTTTTCAAAGTTTTTGCAGTCTGCAGAGTAGCTTTTCTAAAGAGTAAAACTATTATTTTTTTATCTTACTTAAAATAAATTCAGTTTTTTTACAGATCTTTGTAGTTAATGTATTGAATATATAATATGATATAAAACAAGGTGAAAGCTGAAAGGTATGAAATGAAGCCTATTTGATTTAGTATGTAAATCCCAGAAATGAGTGGAAAATGCAAATCAAACCCAATTAAAACCAATAATTTTATATACATCATGATATTTTTCCACGGGGGGTAAAAAAAATTCTGGAGGGTAAAAAAAAATCCGGTGGAGGGGTAAAAACAATTTCGGCGCACTTCCTCTTAATTTCGAATTTTGAAAGAATAAATGCGAGTAAATATATAAAAAGAACAAGAAACAATCATATGAACATTGTACATTTCAAAGAATTGACCCCGTCCTTTATATATTTTCGGACTAGAAACAATTGACAAAAATTAGACTGTAATAAGGGTCCCCCTGCACAATTTATATATATAAAAAATGTGTAAAACCATGATACTCGTTTCTCACACAATTCGAGACTATAGAATAGTCGCGAAACAAATTTTTACGTTTAGGTAAAACCTGTAAATTTCAAAAGTTAAGAAATGTTAGGATCTTTTCAAACCTAAATCTATGTATAGGGGAAAAACCTAAAAATTCCTGATTCATTGGATTTTTTAAGGCTTTTTACATACACATCCAATGAATCAGGAACGTTTAGGTTTTCCCCTATACATAGATTTAGGTTTGAAAAAATCCTAACATTTCTTAACTTTTGAAATTTACAGGTTTTACCTATACGTAAAAATTCGAATTATCAAGGCATATTCAAGTACTAAAACCAAAATGTTAAGAAGCTAATTTTGCATGCACATTGTTCTTTCATACCTATACAACTAAATTCCACAAAGGAATTGAGTCTTTGCCACAAACTCTGACTTTATAATCCCTATATCTTTAGAACCCAATGTCGCAAATCTTTTATATTTCAAACTTACATTATTTGATCTAACAGAATTAATTCATAGTTTGAAATATCTAAGGTCTACGAAATAGGAATCTAAAGATATAGGGTTTAGAAAAGCATAGTTTGTGGCAAAGACTCAATACCTTTCTTAAATCCATATTCATTGATTTAATTATTTTTAATCCAATCCAATATTCTTCTACACAAATTCACACCATCATCATTCCTTCATCTGTAACCAGCTAAATCAACATTCATATATGCAATTTCTCTGTATCTTCAATAATAGCGTATCCAACAGCTGTTATACTTCATACACTTACCTTTATAAAATACGTATTTTATATCCGTAAATGGTTGCGAAAATAGGTATGTCATACGTATGGAAAATACGTATTTTTACGTATTCTAAACCTAAAGATATGTATATATTCAAATGTCATAAGTAATTATAGGTTTTACAACATTGGGTTGCAAAAATATAGACATTTGAAAATCAGAATTTGTGGCAAAGACTCAATTCCTGCAGAACACCGTCCACTTGTGGAACTTGTTGTAACAAAAATTACCTTAGGTAACTACCGAAGTTACCTATTACTACTAAAAGTTACCAATACAAAATGTTACCAGATATATACGTGATGTTACCAAATGATACGTTCGCGTGCTTTAGGTTTATGGATTAAATGTTGTACTTCCTTGTAATAAAATTTTTGACAAGTAAATTCAACATTGTACAATGTACATACAGAGTTACCCAAAAAGGATGAGACTGTAAAGACGACCTGAAACTCTAAGAATAAGACTATCTGATTTTTGGTTTCTGCATTCAATGGCGTATTTTGATGGTTTATAAACTGATAAAGGACAGAAATATTACAGTATTGGCCTACAAGGAACCCTGAATGTAAGAAAATGGATTAAACAAATTCTGTACAATCGTCTCTGAAGTATAACCTCCTTTATAGGTACCCTGTATTATTACATAGAACATCTAAATTTTAGTGCAAATACATAATTCCTGGAATTTCAGACTTCATATATAGTTGCAGTTTAAAGTCTGGTTTATATCTGCAGAAATGCACTTTTGTTTACATTATTCAACTGGTTTCCGATAAAAAATATGAAACATAATAAATGATTTTTTTCTGTAGATTCTGCTCTGCTTTAGTGTACAAAAAATTACAAAATAACGACATTTACAATTAACGAACACATAATGACATTAAAATATAATAAATTTAAATGTTATTGGGCTGCTGAATTACTGAAAAAAACATTAATTAGTGTCTATAGAGAGGGACCGTCCCTTTGCGCTCAAATTCTGAACGGAAAATCGGCTTTTTCTCCGGCCACGGTAAGATTATTACCAATCAACAGCGAACAGGTTGTTTAGTTTACCCTGAAATTACCCAAATAAGTGAACGGTCCCTTTAAATATATTTAAAATAACTCAATTTAATTTCAGAGGTAGAACAGTAGGTTTTTTACTACCTTCAGGGTGTTAAAAAAAAATTTAATTTGTTTTTGTGCTTTAATAAAAGATTTTAAATAAATATATCAAATGAGTTGGCAAAGAAAGAAACAAGTTTAATTATGGCTCGGTCTGCAGCAGAAACAAGTTCATAGCCCTGCAGGGAACCATGCAAGTACAAAGACTGAATACATAAATAATACATTTAGAAAAAATGTATTGGCACAGAATTATTGCCGGAGTTTATTTGTAGCTTAAATCTTTCAATCCTCGTACATCCTTGAAATCATCTCTGGATTGTTCAGCAGATTGACCGATCAAAACGAAACCATTCAATTTATAACTTGAAAATTCACTCTTTTGTTTGATATTTTAACTTTATTCCGGGATTATACTTTGATTTTGATTTTCAGAATATTACCAACCTCAAGAAAAAATAATGAAAAAATTAACAATTTAATCCTGTTGAACATTAGTTTTCCTTGTGCATGCTGCTTATTTCACAAAAAATAATAAGAATATTAATTATTAATAATTTTGAATTACTATAGAAATATTTAAAACTTTCTTAAATGTTCAATGTTACGAAAAAATTGGATCTTTTCTAAAACTTTAAAAGGGAGGACAATACACCGTGCACTTTAAGCGGGGTTTGAAAATTCTGAGGATATTAACTGTCAGAATTCCGCCTTAATAATGACAAATGGGATAAGAAAAGTTAGGAAAGGAGTGGATATTTTCGACAAGAAATTTGGTTCTTGTAAGTTTATCTTTGCGTCTTCATCAATCTTTTCCTTGCAGCCGACAGAGTATAAACTGGTATCGTAGTGCAGGGTGCACACCCATCAGGATTCTAATCCAACCTTTACAGAGTTTCTATCTCTTCTGGCAAGAGGGAGGGGTAAATAATTCTGGACTTTATATGTTTGCCATCCGTTTGTCGGAGACTAAATGTTTGCAGGGTAGGCACTGAGCAGCTGGTAGCCTTAAGTTAGAGGCCGGATATAAGCAATATGGTGCACAAAGTACAAAGTACATAGTACATGATGATTTCAGTTCGTAATACTCTTATTTAAAGGGATTGACAGTGTAACTTAAATTGACCCCCTTTCCAAAGATGGCCAATGGCCATGCCTGATTCACAACGGTATCTTTAAAAGCCTCTTCTGATTAAGTATGAATTAAATTTTTATTTTTAGAATTTTGAAACTAGTTATTTTCTAATTTTTGTTTCTCTACAAAAAAATAAAAAGTGGCGATTGTGAAAAATAAAAAATACCAGAACTAAACACTTTTGATCCTCGAAAAATTACAGAATATCTTTCAAATTATTGATAAAATAATGGTGCCAAGGGTACTGTTGTGAATTGGGCATTGCCATTTTTGCATGGAGGGTCACTTGAAATTACGCTTATAGTCCCTTTAATAATCGCGATGATCCACAATGAGAATCGCCCAGAATATAGACAATATTTATTGGGACACCCTGTATTTGCTGAACCGGTTATATAATACACATTGAATTCCTAAATTTTAGATTTTTTGCAAATTCTCAAAACTGCCCTGAGCTAAATTCATGATGTAATGTTTAGTTAGTGTTGAATGTGGGTGCAGCTGGGCAGTATCCTGAGTTTAAGGACTCGAAGTGCAGAAAGCAGGGAGGGAGGGATATACAGAGCTCTCGGTATCTAATTATCCCTGTATAGTGTAAATATATCCAGTACTAGTCAGTATCAACCTAACTTAAACCACAGACAGGAACAATCTATTCAACCATGACGGAGAATTTACTCCGTACCCTGTTAATAGCAGAAGAGTTTAGTGCTAAAATAAATACCTAGAGCTGGACACATATCTGATCTACAGACTGTAAGGATGGGGAATTCCTGTTGTTCCTTCAAACACAACTCAGTCGGCGGTAAATATATATAATCTCTATATATTTGTATCAACTAATTGGTATATATCTATTATTTATAAAATCAATAATTACTAACATATGGAACGTGTTAGACTTAGAAAACAGCGGATAACTCTCAGATTCCACTTTCAGTCAAAATATGCTATAATATTTTTGTTTCTACATAAACCGACTTCTATAAGCGTAATTTCAAGTGACCCTCCATAAAAAGATGGCAGTGCATGATTAACAACGTTACCCTTAAAAGCGTTGTCTGGTCAAGTATGAATGAGACATTAATATTTATGGCTTTGAAAACTATTTGTTTTCAATTGTGGTTTCTCTTCAAAAGTGACTTGCGCATTTCTCCTGCAGGAAAATATATGAGAATTATCAGAACAAAAACTTTTGATTTAAAAAACGACAATATCTTCCACATTATTGATCAGATAAAGGTTTTAAAGGTACTGATGTTAATGGGACATTGCCAACTATGCATGGAGGGCCAATTGAAATTACGCACACAGTCCCTTTCAGTTTTGTGATTATTACGCACACAGTCCCTTTCAGTTTTGTGATAATTACGCACACAGTCCCTTTCAGTTTTGTGATAATTACGCACACAGTCCCTTTCAGTTTTGTGATAATTTTCTCCAAGAATGTGTAAATACATATTTTGCTGTTTATCTTTGCACGATTCACAATCGTGCCCTTGAAACCTTTATCTGAAAAAGACAAGAGCCAGATTGTGTTACGTGTTAAATTCTCTTCATTTCTTTGATTTCTTCTGCTCCATAAATGAGAGGGTCTCTTTTACAGAGAACCGCATATAACAATAATCAATTTATAGATAAAGGTACGATAGTGATTTTCTTCCTTTTTAATCCAGACTAAGGTTTAAAGGGAGACGTTTTGAATAGGATCATAGCAAAAAAATGGAGGGTCACTTGATTTTATATGTACAGTCCCTTTATAAATTAGATGTAAGTTAAGTGTGAAGAGGAGTTTAAGATTATTATTAAAGCGTAATTCTTTCTGATTAGTTCTTTAATCTATACATAGGTATACTTAATCAAATGTTTTCAGTCCTCTTATTTTTTATAAGTATTATATAGAGTGGAGTCTTATTATAAACATAGAAAATAAATAGATTAAGATACTTCATACTAAATGAATATTTGGTACATATTTTGTTTAATGTGTGTAAAAAATAAGATTGAGACACATATGTTGACATTTGGCAAGAATTTGAATGATTATCATAATTTTTGACATGTTGACAAAAACAAGTTATCTATTCCTTATATGCATACAAACAAAAAAGTTTGATTTTACTTTTACTTGAAATTACTCTTTTCATAATTGAAAGGATGTTTAAGTAATTATAAAAATATTTCAGCAGAGGATGAGGATAGTTCGTCTCCACTTCTTCATGGTGTACTCAGGGTACATGTTATTGAGGCCAAGGATCTCCCGGATACAGATAATTCATTCTTCAATATATCCAGGGGAGATCTAACTGATCCATACCTGGAGCTGGAGCTAGGACACACGTCCCTCTTGAAAACTTCAGTTATAAAGAACTGTTTGGATCCGCACTGGAATGAGAAGTTCTCCGTACCTGTCTGTCACAATGCCAAGTTCTTGGTTATCAAGGTTAGAGATAGAGAGCATATCGGAGCTAACACAGTCGGGCACTTCAAGATTCCAACAGAAATTATCCGTACTGGGGATATCATCACAGGCTGGTACGATCTAATCGTAGGCTCGGATGGAGAAACCCACGGCAATGTTCACATTTGGATTCAATACGCAGATATTGGGCAAAGTAAACCGGAAAAATTTATTTACAACTCGTATTTTGCTCCGGAATTTAACAATCAAGTTACATTGTACCAGGACGCAGATACTCCCGCTTTAAAATGTTTTGAAGGAGTCAGTAATCCTGACGGAACCCAGTATATTCCGACTAGATGTTGGAAGGATATATACAAAACTATCAACCAGGCAGAGAAACTAATCTATATGACGGGTTGGAGTATATTTACTAGTGTACAACTTCTCCGAGGAGAGGAACAAGTTGATGATAGTTCAACCATAGGAGAACTCCTAAAACGTAAATCTAAGGAAGGCGTAAGGGTTTTAATCCTTACTTGGAACGAAAATGAAATTTTCAATGGACTGATGGGAACACATGACGAGGACACTGTGGAATATTTCCAAGGAACTGAAGTGATCTGTTCAAATGTTCCCCGTGAGAAGGAGAGCTGGTTGGGTTTAGGAGGAACCTTTGTCTCCACCTGCTACACTCACCACCAGAAAACTATAATAGCAGATACTGCCGGAGAGGGCGGGAAGAGAAGATTGATCGCATATATTGGAGGGTTGGATATAACAGACGGTAGATACGATACTCCAGAGTTTCCTCTTTTTAAAACCCTGTTGACAAACCATGCAGGAGATTTCTACTCTAAATGTATGCCTGGAGCAAAGATGAGTATAGGTCCACGTCAACCCTGGCATGATATCCATGCAAGGGTTGAGGGTCCTGCAGCTCTCGATATTTGTCAAAACTTTATTGACAGATGGAAGAAACAAAGCAAGTCTCAAGAAGCCTATTTGGTTCCACTGGATGATGATTTTGATCTTATTTCTCCAGGTCCTTCAACTCCTGAGCAGGGAGGGCCATGGGTGGCACAAATCTTCAGATCTATAACCTCAGATTCAACCGAGTTCTCACCAAGCAAAACTATCCATCTTCATAGAAAATATGGTCGTTACGTTGATAATTCTATAGAAAATGGTTACGTAAGCATCATCAGGAATGCTGAAAAATTTATCTATATAGAAAACCAGTATTTCCTTGGTTCTGCCTTCTCCTGGTACCGTGATAGATCTACGCAATCTCAACATCTTATCCCCATAGAACTTGCACAGAAAATAGTAAGCAAGATAAAGGCCGGGGAAGAGTTTAAGGTCTATGTTTGTATACCTATGTACCCTGAGGGAGATCCTTCCTCTGACGCTAGCCAAGAGATTCTGTACTGGCAGTACTGTACGATGGAATCTATGTACAAAAAAATAGCAAAAGCTCTCGCGACCCAAAAGAAATCCACTAAACTTCCAACCGATTATTTAAACTTTTACTGTCTGGGTAAGCGAGAGTCTATGGAAGAGGTTCCCAGCTACCTGGATCCCCCACCTCCAAATACTCCTGCGGAGAGGTTAAGAAAAACTCTTCGTCATCCAATTTACGTTCACTCTAAGCTAATGATCGCAGATGATGACTATATTATTGTGGGCTCGGCAAATATCAATCAAAGATCTCTAGGAGGAAACAGAGATACAGAGATATGCATCGGAGCCTTCCAACCCGAACATACGGTCGAATCAGGGAGTACAAGAGGCGGAGTTCATACATTTAGAACTGCTCTTTGGTCTGCACATCTCGGAGGCTTTAATAAAGAGATTCTTGATCCGTCCACAGATACATGTCTGAACTATGTTAGGCGGGTGACGGAGAACTATAACAAGGTTTACAACAAGGATTCTCCGGAGCACAGTGATGTACATCTCCTCCCCTATCCTATCAAGATTCTGCAGAACGGGAAGGTTAAATGTAGAAACTATAAGAGCAATTTTCCAGATACTACAGCTCCTGTCCTAGGACGGAGAAGTGGATATTTACCAGAGAAATTAACAACATAAAGCTTCCTTCCTACTCATCAAGATACCTTCAATATATGTAATCTGTACCTAAAGAATCTTTTTTAACTTTTTTAATTGAAAAATATAGGATATTGTTATAATTAACCACTATATTTACATTTTTATAATATATCTCCGTAGTATCATATTAAAATTTAATTTCAAAGGAACTGAGTTTTTGTCACAAACTCTACTTTTCTAACCTCTATATCTTTGCTACCCGATGCCGTAGACCTTTGACATTTCAAACTATGAATTCTGTTAGACCAAATAATCTAAGTTTGAAATATCAAAGGTTTACATCATCAGATTGTAAAGATATGGGGATTTGACAGTCCTTTATAGACAGTCTTTGATTTCTAATAATGAAAATGACACAGGGTGTATAATTAATAAATTCTAAGTCATAAAAGCTTTTCAAAATGTGATCTTTCTACTTTGTATCTTTAAATCTGTCGAAGATAATAAAAAATCTTAAAAATTATGCCTTTTTTAAGAAATTGGAATCTGGAGACCTTTCTCAATATCTCCTGCAAATTTGAAAGTTCAAAAAGTGGTAGACCAAATTATGGAAATCCCGAGACTATGATTTACCTCGGATAATACCAGAATTGTGTGAAACAAAAACGAAACTAAGATAGTCATTTAATCACCATGTTCTTTGGGACACGATCGGTAGTCTCATTCGTCTCATCTCAATGTGCAAATATTTTATAATTTACTGCACTGAATATGCAATTTATTTGCAAGGATAAAAACTGTTCTTTGTTTCAAGATTTTAGATTTAACTTTAATCAATTTTCCGCATAATTTAGACTTGATCTCTTTTAAAGCTATTTAATATTTAAACTTAGATACAGGGTATCCCATGAAACATGACAGTTGGTGAATAGTTTTGAATATCCACATAATGTATTAGATATTAAAGACTTTTTGTAGTTTATTTCCTCAAAAAAATAGATATTTTACTATGAAATCAATTTTATACTATAACTGTCATTTTAAAAATGTTATTAGTCTCTTTAGGATGAAATATATATTACAACTTATCAAATTATGTAAGAAGACATTTTAAACTATTCACTAACTGTCATGTTTTGTGGAACACCCTGTAGTTGCTCTTTAAAACCTAGCTTTGCCTGAAAACTAAACTTGCTTTACTAAAGTTATCTTACTCGACTTGGAATTTTTGAACCCAGCTAAGAACATTCCCGTGGCTTCCACGAGTTCCTAATCAAAATCTTAGTTAAATCGGTCCAGAGGGGTTCATTAACAATGATCAGACATGGAAACAAATAGACAAACCGATTACTACTTTATATATATCATCCTAGACATGTAGCTGCTATTTATTAACAATTAAATAGCTGCTCTTTCTAAACCATCTAAATATCAACGTAGGCATAGCTGCTCTTCCTATACCATTTAAATATCAACATAGGCATCGATGCTCTTTCAAAATCATCTAAATATCAACCTAGGCATCGATGCTCTTTCAAAAGCATTTAAATATCAGCTTAGACATAGCTGCTCTTTTCTGACCTATTTATATATCATCCTAGGCAAAGCTGCTTTTTCTAAACCATTTATAGATCAACCTATTGCATAGCTGCTCTTTCTAATCTATTTAATATACCAATCTAGACTGCAAGTCTTGGTTTCTAAGTAAAGTTAAAACTAATTATTTTAAAGAGTTGTAAAAAATATAATATTTTTAAAAGGAAGCATACAAGATTTTTTAGCCATAAGTTAGGATTTGATGTATAATTGAATATTTTTTTTTAAGTTGGCATTCTTCATGAATCGTCTGGCACAATGAATTCTCTTCTAAAAAATTGTTGAATTTAGAAAATATAATGCATATTTATTATATTAACAATAACGTTCCATATATAGTTAAATCTCTGATCTACATAATGATTCTATACCGATGTTAACGCGACTACGAGAAAAGTTAAATATGCAATAAATCTTTAAAGGCTAGTTAAATACAACAAAAAAAGGCATGTGATGAGATATCACAGTTTGTGTCAACTAAATGCTTGAAAATTAATACTAAAAGATTTATGCACTTTTTTACATAACTTTATAATACGGATTTATATGATCAGTGTGGAAATGTTAACTTCTTGGATGCATAGCTCAGTAATTTTTTCTTTGTCGATTTTTTCTTTTTCTCCGTACTCGTCAGCTCCTCTGGGTCCTGTATTTCACTGGTATCAACGTCCTTCTCACTATCCCGATCCTTCTTCTTTTTCTTCTTGATTCTCAGCATCTTAGTGAGAGTTTTCTTCGGTTCTTCAACAGGTTTAACCGCTGCATAGTTGCTCATGTGATCTTCTATAGCAGTATCTTCATCCCGTTCTCTCAACCTGTCCAATTCAAGACAATCTACGATCTCATTTCTCAACCCCACTACCTCAACCAGCTTCTTGATCAACCTCTCCTCCTTTTTCAACTCCTCGTCCGTCTTCTGTCCTTCAGGTTTAGACATAAGAATCCTGATCTGATATTCGAGATCAGCATGCTGCTCTTCCAACCTATTATCCTTCTTCATATAAATCAACTCGGTCTGTCTTCGGAACAATTCGTTCTTCTCGTTCACAAGATCAAAGAGTTGAATAATGAGATCCTCTGCCTCTGGACCAAGCGAGTCCCTGTTTTCTCCTTCCTCATCGCTTTTGTCACAAATCTCTCGAATAGTTTTCTCAAGTTTAACTCCTTGTCTCTCCAGTTCTCCTTGTTTTACTTCAATATCCTCCAATTCTTGATTAATAGCTTTCCTGTGTAGTTTCCTAACAGCTCGGCGTGGAGGTATAGGGCGGGGAGGAGCTGGTCCTTTTTTCTTCCTCCACTGTCCTTCATCTGCCTTGTCCGGAGGTATGGGAGAGAATACTTGAGAGGCTCCTAGATATGACGGACCCGAGGACTGAGTAGTAGTAGTAGAGGCCGACATCAGACTAAAAGTATCACTCTGGTTTATGGAGGCGGACTCAGACTGGGATGTGTCGCTGGTGATCATTAAACAAGAATCGCTGGGAATAGTTGGAAGTTCAATCCGAACACTCTCGTTCTTGATGCTTTCAAGAATTTGAGATCTTCGGTTCATGTTTCGTTCATCCTTAATTCTTTTTGCTGCCTCAGCTGGAGCTGGAGATGATTGTTGAGATTGTTGGACCGGGGTGAGACTAGATCTCGGTGCAGGGACTGGAGTACAGGGTTTACTCTCCGGGGGGAGAGGAGTAGAGGATTTTGATCCTGGTGGAAGCGGAGCACGGCGCTTCTTCTTCTGCCTGTTCTGACTCCGAACTGAAGTAGAGGGAGAAACACTTCCAAGGGATTGATCTTCATCTGAAGAAAAATCTTCTCCAAATGGATTTAAACTTGAGTTGTGCAACTTAGCTTCCGGGATTAAAAGTTCTTGTTGACTAGAGTGCACGGGTTTGTTAGGTTTATCTAATTCAGCCTCATCCTCGTCGTCGAATTCACCAAAAGGATTCAAAGATTTGTTAGTTTCACAATTTTCAGGTTGAATCCCGTCCGTTAGGTCAACACTTGTGACATTTTCGTCAATTGTTTGGCCAGTTGCATTGTCCTTACTATAGTTTAAATCCTCATCTTCAACGTCGTCGAAAGGATTCTTTTCATCCGGGTATTCAACGTTATCGTCGTCAGTTAAATTTTTTTCTAAATTTTTAGCAATCATAAGAATTTCTTTTTCATTACAAGTATCAACAGCATTATCATTTACATCGATATCAACCTCTGAGCAAATATTGGACGATTTTGTGTTATTATTGAAGCTTTCCTCGGCAGGAATTGTTAATTTCTCAATATTAGCGTTAACATCACTTAGTTCTACATCATCTACTTTCCCTTCAGTTTCAGCTGAAGGTTTTACACCGATAGGAAGTTCACAAACAATTGGTTTCTCTGAGCTTTCATCCTTCTCCTCGTCCTCATCATCACCTATATCCTTGGAATCCTCTGAGCTGTGTCCGCTATCTACCTCTTCCTCCTCCTGCTCGGACCTGAGATTAGGTTTCAAGGTTTCCTGTTTCTCCCTGTGCTCCTCGTCAGGACACAGTTCACAACAATACTCTGCAGTCTCAGTCTCATAATACCCTGCTAGACTTAACTGAGTTCCACACCGAGCACACTTAAAGCAGGTTCGATGAAGGATTCGTCCGCTCACGTGCAACCTCTCCAGGATGAAAACAGACTTGTTGCATATCTTGCACGGATCCGAGTGTCGTCCTATTGTTGGGACGGATCTCTTGGCTCCATCCGACATATCTGAACTGTTACTGGAAGATTTAGACATCGAACCTAGCCGCCTAACTCTCGTCTGTACTGACTGACTGTGAAAAGCCTGAAATATATTTAGATAGAAGGTTCATGAGGAAAAAGTAAATATTACTCATCATGTGAGAATTCTAGCAACAAGGTCTCAAAAGATTTAAGGGACTGTAAAGGAAAAATGAAAGGGGGTATAAGATGAAACCTGAGAATCTCAGGCGTTGAACGATACATATATGACATTATCTGATGTTCATGTCTCGAGAAATTGATATAAAACTATGTCAAATTTATACGAAAAATCATACATATGCAATTTTGTATAAAATTGTAGTATTTAACAGATCATATTCAACAAATACGAAACCAATCTAAAAACGATTATATCCCACAGGAGTCTGAGAATCTCAGGTTTGCTCCTATTAAAATTTTTTTTTTGCATTTTTTACAGGCATAATTAATAATATTACGGATTAAATGCAATAATATTATCAATTATATCTATTAAAAATGCGAAATAAAAATTAGACAATTATAACAGGAGCAAACCTGAGATTCTTAGGTTTCTGTCGGATATAGTCTTTTTCAGATTGGTTTCGTATTTGCTGAATATGAACTGTTTAAACCTACAACTTTTATACAAAATTGCATATATATGATTTTTTCGTATTTTGATTTGACACAGTTTAGGCCGTTCTAATAAAGGATTTACACCAGTGTAAACTGTCATTTACACTGGTGTTTACCTAGGATCGGATTTAATAGTCATGAATTACACTGGTTCAAACAACAACAACGTACAGTTTACACTTGGTAGATTTACACCAGTGTTGATAAATGAAAACACTGGGTCCACCCTGTGTTTTCTGACTTACCCAGGGTAAACAGAGACCAGAAAACCATGCAGAGAACTTAATAGTTCAGAAAAGTAAAAGCATTTAATAATTCTATTAAATTTTATTAATATTTTTGGAATATTTTATGGATGATTTCTCATAAGACCAATAACCATTTTAATAATTATAACTTCTAATAATATATCCATGCCAAAAATATAACCAAAACCAACCAAAAAACTTTATTATGTCAAAAACATTTTTCGACTAAAAATATATAACAACAAAAAGCACTGAAAGAGTTTCAAAAATACTAAATTAAATAAATCGCCTTTTTATGTTGGCATTCAATTTTAAAGTTGGAAATCTTTAATTTTTTTGCATTTTGTATATTTTGCTAATTTTAAACGGTGGCGGGAATAAAATTTTAAAATTATCAGCTAAATTTTAAAAAGTAAGACATTTCTCTTTAAATATAGTGAAATTAACATATATAACTAGTACATTGACGACAAGAAAATTTTTTTTTTTTTTTTTAATTTAAAAAATTTGCATCTTTTTCCCTTAGAGTAAAACTATTTTTATGTTACTTATAATAGATTCAGTTTTTTACAGATCTTTGTAGTTAATGTAAAATAAATGACTATAATGAAGGATATAAAACAAGGTGAAAGCTGAAAGATAGGAAATGAAGCCTTTATTTGACGGAGTTTGTAAATGCCAAAAACGAGTGGAAAATGCAAATCAAACCCAACTTAAACCAATGATTTGATATACATCATGATATTTTTCTAGGGGGGGGGGGTAAAAAAAATTCTAGGGGGGTAAAAATTTACCCCCCCCCCCTACAGAATCCTTATTTACGCGCCCCTGGGGGAGGGGAACCACTATAAAAAATATTTATGTTATATGCATTAGAAATTGAATTTTGTAGAATGATTTGTATTTTTATTTTTGCCTGTTTTAATTGAAGTAAGAAATTTTTATTTTTGTTTGTTTGTTTGGTTTTCCTTCATCTTTTTTTTCATTTGTTTCCAGTCTAACCAGCAAAGACGACTTCAATCCACAACACTTAATCGTTAAGTTATTTTACACATGCGCAAAAGGGTCTTAAGCTGTCTCAGCTGCTGAAAATACGTATTTACACCAGGGTAACATAAGGATGATTAATAAAACCGTGAGTATGGCGACACTGGTGTAAATTCAGCTGACCCAGGGTTCAGGAATGATTATTAAATCCGTGGTTAGGTTACACCGGGGGACACAAATACACCAGTGTAAATATACCCTTAGGGTTTACACCAGTGTATTGCATTTCTTTATTAGAACGGCCTTTTTATATCAACTTTTCGAGACAGGAACATCAGAACATCATAAATGTATCGTTCAACGCCTTTCTCAGGTTTCACCCTATACCCCTTTTCATTTTTCCTTTAAAGTCCCTTTAACTTTAAGATCATTTTTTATACAAAATCAGAAAAAACACAAATCTAGGTTTAGTTACCATATCAATTAAATCAAATTTTCACTACTAAACTAGAAGATATTTATAATATACCTGAAAGTATTGGGAGAGATAGGTTAGAATGGATAATCGATCCAGTAGCTCACATTCAACCATGTCCTGAGGATCCAGTAGAGACGGGATCCCAAGATGCTGCTCTGCAACCTGGAACGCCAACTCGTTGTTCCCAAAAACATCGTCTGGATCAAGACTAGAGAAATCTAGGAGGTGCGGACAATGATAATGAATGATAGCGCAGAAGCCTAAACCGTTTCTCCAGCTAGTCGTCATGTTCAATATATTGACGCCAGCGTAGTCCTGCGTCACGCGCTTACACCACACCTCCAGCGCTTTCGTCCCCTGTAGAGCCATCTTCCACCTCTAGTTAGACCAGGCTCAGTAACCAGGAGACAACTTCCCTTCTCCTAACTGAGCATATTTATTCTGAAAGAACTAATTTTAATTTTGATTCTTGAATCTGTTTCTGCTAAAGAAGGTAATTTCCTAGAGAACGATTTTTGGACCCCCCCCCCCTTCATATCAATTTTGATCATGGATATAATTGATCATATGGCCGCAGCGCCCGGCCCCCTAACATGTCCTAGCTGCGGCGCTCGGCCCCATAGCCGGTCCTAGCCGCAGCGCTCGGCCCAGAAAGTGTCTTAACTCACCTAACCCGTGGCCGCATCTCTCGGCCCCCTAGCCTGTCCTAGCCGCAGCGCTCGGCCCAGAAAGTGTCTTAACTTAACCTAACCCGTGGCCGCAGCGCTCGGCCCCCTAGCCTGTCCTAGCCGCAGCGCTCGGCCCAGAAAGTGTCTTAACCTAACCTAACCCTAAATAATAATAAATAAATGGATATAATTGACCATGTGGCCACAGCGCTCGGCCCCCTAGCCTGTCCTAGCCGCAGCGCTCGGCCCAGAAATTGTCTTAACCCAACCTAACCCTAAATAATAATAAATAAATACTAATTTTAATTTCGTCATGTACAAAATTGATAGGAGGGGGGGGGGCGGGGGATGGGTCCAAAAATAGTTCACTAGGACGGACCCTAAGACGGACCCCAAAAAAATTTCAGTTGGTTAGAACACCAACTTAATTTAACTTAGTTGAATTTTATAAAAGTCTTAAAGTATTTCGTTATCACCGAAATCTGCGGGAAATTTCTGTGAAAAAAAATCTTTTTTGAGGTTAATAATAAACTAGTTAAATTTACAACGTTGGGTTTCAGACTTTCCAGGCTCATGAAGCATTAGATTACGCAAATCTATGATATCTTTTATCACCATTATCATCAGACAACGTTTTCACAATGGTTAAGTCCAGATCAAACCTGTCAATAAGTTATCTCTTACGATCTTCAGGAGGGGGAGTACGTTCGACATTCGAGTGTAGCTCTATTGCTACCAAACCAAACCTTTAGCTTCTCATGACTTTTTCTTCTCCAACACTAATTTGAAATGTCGTCTTTTATGAAGAAGGTTTCGTTTCAGAGAGAAATCCATGAAACTTTTCTCTAAGAATAGAAATGGACATGTCTTTGCAGCCCAATTCAGCTGAAATAAATAATTAAATGCCATGCAACAGTTTTAATAATTCTTGGCTACTAAATTTTTTTAGACTGATGAATTGTTAACCACTTTTTGTCGCCAATGCGTTCTACAATGAGGCAGATTATTGACTCGAAAGCAAACAGAGTAAGGAGCGAGAAACCCAGCAAATCATGGGATGTTACTGGAAAAACATCTTATTCAGCTCAAATAAGGTAAATTATTATAAATCTATGCTGTGAAATATCAAAATTAGCGTTTATTCTGCTTATAAAAATAAAATATATAATAATATATATGTATCTAAGTTAAAAAAAAATAAAAAACTATTTGACGATGGAAAACCTTTTGAAGCAGATTCTGCAAACTTTTAGGCTTCTTACCATTAAGATTCCCGTTTGCTCGAAGTTTCATGGGGATCGTGATTTATATTTTAGATAAATGTAAAGAGTATATACTTGTAACTCTGAATTAATAATATTTGTAGGCAAAAAAAGAGAGACGATTATTCTATCTTTTGATACTTCTTGTTCTAAAATATGATTTTTTTGATTTTTTGAGATACAATTTTAGCTCCATTTTTCGCATATCTTTCATTTTGAGGTGGGGGATGTTATAATTTTCAGACTTTAAAAGTAATCAAAAAAATATACAGCAGGTTAAATTGTTTATATCTTAAGAATTTAAATATCATTGCGATTTGCGAATAATGGTTAAATTTAGTGATTGAATAAATTACTAATACAAAATTAAAAAGCAGTGAGTTCCTCCCTTAATTTAGCTTTTGTTAAAGTTTACCATTAATTACTATAATAGATATTTAATTTATTATATTTTTATGCAAAGGAGATTGGAGAAAGATTTTAACGATTAAAGTTTCAAAAAATATTTTTCTCTTGTAAAAAAACGAAGAAAAATGAAGCGTGATCTTTTGCGGTCATTAAGGGTTGAAACTATTTTTAAATCGGGTCAGAATGGAATTTGTCCCGCATGCATTTCCAAAAAGTGTAAATACATTGTATTTTTTTTTACAAAAATTAAACAAAAATCATGATTTGGTCAAAAAATATTTTTCAGGAATGCAATGCCTTCGATGAACCCTGCTCTAGTAAACTCTATCCGACAAATGAAAAGATTCAAGGGATTGTATGCAGAACCAAACAAACAGGATTCATCTAAATCGAAACACAATAAAGCTCATCATAATAAAAAGGTAAAAGCTGGTTTTTAAAAAATGTATTAAATTTGCTGAAATTCATCCGAATCAGTAATAAAACTTGTTTTGAGAAGGAATGTTTTTAAAACTTTTAAAGAAAAGGAATTTTTATGTCTTTGCCACAAACTCAAATTTTCTAGTCCGTACATTGTTGCAATTATGTATGTACGTGTTTAAAGAGTCTAATCAAAGAGAATAGAATATATAGAGGGGAATTTACTAGAAAAAAGTTTAAAACGGCCATTTTGTTGTACTGTTTCCATACTGCAGGTGTACTTCACATATTTATGCTATATAACCTTTTGGGCCCTGGTATATCATTTTATAGAAAATCTAAAATTAATGTTAAAAGAAAACCAAATTACGAAATAGGCCATGGTTTCATAATTGACCAATGATCATTTCACATAGACTCTATGCCTATCACTTTACAAACGATGATTTTGATTGATATAAATCAAATGAAAATGATGTTTTTTATTCACCTAATTCATTATAAAGTTTATTTAACAGCTTTAAAAAATTCGAAATTGAAATGGATAGTCTAGGGAACATACTGTATTAATGTACTCTACTGCATATATTTTGTGAACATTTACATGATTTGTACACTTTGAACTCCCTTTCAGGCTGAAAGGGACTGAAAAAACTCATACCGAGGGATTTTCTAAATTCCCCTCTGATATATATTCTATTCTCTTTGTGTCTAATTCAGGAGACTCAGAATCCCAAACATAAGATAAGGAACCCCGGAAGAAGTAAAGCTGCCCTAATTGGTAAAAATTGGTCTCGTTCTGAAAACTTTTCTGAAAAGAATGTCGAATCAGTCACACATCAAGAGGAGAAAGGTACTCTTTGTCTTTATTAAGAATTGTATTTAAAGCTTTTTTTCACAAAAAGATTTTATAATTTGTATTTGTCATGACTGGTAAAGGCTGGAATTTAGTCTTTGCCACAAACTCTGATTTCCTAATCACTATATCTTTGCAACACATTATCGTGGACCTTATATATCTTTAACTTTATGTATTCTATTAGATTAAATAATCTAGGTTTGGCATATTAAAGATTTACAATATCAGGTTAGAAAGAGATATTTGGAATTAGAAAATTTGAGTTTGTGGCAAAAACCCAATTCCGTTGAAAATTTCCACGCACAAAAAAAAACACTTGATTTAATTTTAAAAAAAGTAAATTTTAGAATACTGTATAATACGGTTCGGTATGAAACTTGGAATTCAGTTAGGGATTGGTCTTAACTGTTATTGTCATTTTACTTTTTACACAAATAATTCAACCAAAACTTCAGGTTTACATCCTTCTAAGTTCTCTGATACAAGAACACGTCCTTTAACAACTACAGAGAAAGGTAATAATTAAATCATGGTAAACTAATGCAAGAACATGTCCTGTAACAACTATACAGAGAAAGGTAATAATTAAATCATGGTAAACTAATGGAAGAACACGTCCTGTAACAACTACAGAGAAAGGTAATAATTAAATCGTGGTAAACTAATGGAAGAATATGTCCTTTAGGACTACAGAGAAAGGTTATAATTACTAATCCAGATCAAGCTAGCTCTTAGTAAAAGAACACGTCCTGCTACTATTCCAGACCAAGGTAGCTCTTAGTACAAGAACACGTCCTTTTACTATTCCAGACCAAGGTAGCTCTTAGTACAAGAACACGTCCTGTTACTAATCCAGACCAAGGTAGCTCTTAGTACAAGAACACGTCCTGTAACAGCTCCAGACCAAGGTAGCTCTTAGTGCAAGAACACGTCCTGTAACAGCTCCAGACCAAGATAGCTCTTAGTACAAGAACACGTCCTGTAGCAGCTCCAGATCAAGGTAGCTCTTAGTACAAGAGCAGAGTAACTAATCATGGTTCATATAGATTATAGATACAAGGAAATGTTCTCTCTGATATAAGAACACATTTAGCAAGGTAATCCTGCAAGGTCTACAGCTACTGATACAAGAACACGCCCTGTAACAACTCTATTAAAGGACGATCCACAATGTGTATGGGAGTATTATAGATGGTTAAAGAACTGATTACTCAAATCAAACTAACCCCACACATTTTTGAAATCTGATTTCGAAAACCTTTGATATTGCAAACTATAAATTCTTTGAGATCCAAACGTCAAAATCAGAGTTTGGGGCGATTTATCAGGCAGTAATTAGTTACTTTACTTTACTTTGAGCACAAGTCTCAAATTGCAACTGTTAAACCTTATGCATATCTTGTTTAGGTGGTAAACCTTCTGGTGCTGGGATATGGGAGGTTTCACATCCTCTCCACCTTCCAGACCCAGCAGTTACAAATGTTTTCCCAAGTTCAGAACTCGGTTTCCCATCAGAACCAGATCACCGTATTCTGCATCAACAATTCGCAAATGTAATTTTCTTTAAAAAATGTAAATATTATAAATAATAATTCTTAAATTCAGGTTCCTGTAAACTCTGAACCCAGAGGAAATGAAAATGATTTTCAGTATTTTAGCAGAGATCTTGATCCTATGATTATATTACCAAACACCCAGCAGCAGAATAATTCCGTTTATAGATATCTTCCTCTGCAAGCCATCCTACCTGAACCTCATTATCCTGGTCCTGTCCAACTTAATGGAATTGATAATATGAAATTATCCGGTCAACCAACCTACTCTGCTCTAGAGGGAACCCAGAGAACCCGAACTAATCCTGGAGAGCAGTATTATCGTGGAAAAGAGGGAACCCAGATGCCTCCTGCAGGTTATTCTTTAGAAGAGATCAGCTCTACTCAGGAAAGAGCTCAACCTTTCACAAATCAAGGCGGGATCCAAGGTTTTCCTGATCCTCACTATGATCTCTATTCAAATGTATATCCAATAGAATCCCCGCCAGGTATTGTCATTTTTTAAATTACGACAAAAATTCTTTCATAAAGTTTTCAATTTGTTATATCACTATCAATCTCCCAGTTGGAAATATAGCCCCTTCGCAGAATAAAGATACAAGTTATTTGTATAACAACAGATTAGGTATTTTTGTTATTTTTTATCAGCATATATCTTGATATAATTCTTTAATCCTCCTCCTCTATAAATTCCTCAGCATACACATGCCCAAATTTCTTCTCAATAAGGTTCCAAGCTTTTATTATCCCTGTAAATTCAGTTAATATGTTATAAATTATATTCAAGATTGTGTTTATATAATTTATATTTATATATATATATAAGAGTTTCTGTGTTGTGGAATGAGCTGGAAGAATGATAATGTTTCATTTGTAGCTCATCTTTATGAAATACACAACATGTCCCAGGTTGGATCAAATTTGAATCTTTCAAATATAAACTTATATCTCTAATTCTATGATTTTGAGGAATGTGGAAACCTGTTTTGTTCTCTGCTCAGTGTATCCCGTAGCAAGGAGTCTCAAAACTTGTGCAGGAAATCTTACATCAATCAAAAAAAAAATTTTTTTCTTATCTATAATTTCAAGTGAACCTTCATATATAGACTGGCATGTTAGATTCAAATCTATATCAGAAAAAGTTTTGAATGATCAAGAATCATTAAGATATTTATGTTTTTTATTTTAAAATTTTATATTTTCAAAATTGCGGTTTTTTCTTTAAAAGTGACTGGTGTCTGCAGAAAAAAGGAGGGAATTTCAAGCTAGAAAAACTACTCACTCTTGATTTGAAACTATTTAAATGGTACCTTTGTGAATCCGGGGTTATCCATTAAAAAATATAGTGTAATTTATAAACTCAAGTTTACCCTGTAAACTTAAAGTGCAATTAAGAATGCATTGTAAAATATGTGTTTGCGACAGGGTGAAGATAAGTAACTTGACACTTAAATGCATGTTTGTAAGGTTTAAAATTTTAGAATCCTGCTAAACCAGTTTGAGAAAGATTACAGGAATATATTTTTACGTTCGTGAATAATTTTACCAGCCAACAATACCTTTACGGGCGGGGGGCGGGGGGGGGGGCTTGAGAGAAAATAAATAGAAAGTTTATAGGTATAGTTTATATATTTAAAGAGTATAAAAGCAAAGGGTTGAATGTTAGATACAGGGTTGGTATAAATAGGGAACAGTAATTCTAAAAAAGTGATGAAAGTGTCGAGTATTAAAAAAGGTTAAAAGCAAGTATTGGAAAGGGGAAGGATATAAAAGGGCATGGAAAGGGAAAAGTATGGGAAAGGTATTAGAATGAATATGAAATAGGAGAAACGAGTTTTGGAATATGAGAATAAGAAGAGGTGTAGTAATCGAGTATGAATTGGAGGGGGACAAGATTCGAATGAAAGAAGGAAAAGTACGTTAAAAGGGAGAATGACGAGAATCATCTGATTTGGATCTGATCTGGATCTGATTTGGATCTGATCTGGATCTGATTTGGATCTGATCTAGATCTGATTTCAAACAAATGAAAGGCATAAATGGAATGGAAAAGGGATAAGAACGAGGATGATATTTATCAGAAAGGGAAAAGGAAAAGTATGGAAATCATAGAATACTGGGTATAGGGAAAGAGGGCTGAAAAAAGCTAAAAGGAAAATAATATTCACAAATGAATATGTTTAAGAAAACTGAGAATTAATGCAGAGGAATATATCACAAAAGTTATTACACAGGTGCATTGATATTAAAAAGTTGAAATGTCATAAACTCAGAACTCTTCATCTTGCCTAAACTAGTCTTAAAACGATCAAATAATAACTTTTAATATTTTAGATTGGAAGCCTTCAAAATCAGATTACAAGGTTGTATTTTCTCCTTTTATCAAAACCAATTTTTTTGATTTTCTTTCTTACAAAATATACTGAACAGAAAATGTATGTTTTTGTTTAATTATATAATTGAAAAGAATTTATATTTTCAAGATTAAAATCAACTGCGGCAGCTCTCACTAAAGATCTGAAAAACTCAAGCATGAAGATTGATCAGGATTGGATTGAAAATAAAATTCTTAGATCAGATAAATTAATTAAAAAAGAACATTTTTTATCCTAAAAATACATGAATTCTGTTTTCAATTATTTTTCCTGACCATGAGATAGATATCTGAAGAGAAGGATAAACTAGAAAATAAGAACTCCAGGTAAAGATCCAGATATCTTTTAAGCATCACATATAAACAATAATACTAGCTTTCCAACCAAGCTTTGTCTGGAAACTAACCTTACTCTATTAAAGTCATCTTACACAACTGAAAATGTTTAAGCCTACCCAAGAGGGTTCATGAGTTGTGATCAGTTAAACAAACAAAAAACAGATATTTCTTCGTAAATTTTATAGAAGATGTATAGATAACCTTGAAATGTGTTGTCTATATCACTATTTAACGTGTTTTTTTATTTCTTTCAGTGACTGAATAATCTTCCAATCTCTTTATCTTTAAAACCTATAATTCAAACTGTGACTATTTGATCTAAAAGAATTCATAGTTTTTAATATCAAAAGTCTACAACATTAGGTTTCTAAGAAAAGAAAATTAGAGCTTGAAGCTAGTAATGACTTTCTTTAAAATCAAAACTTTTATAATCATGAAGTTGTTTTCCTAGCTAAGCCTGATTGCTTGTATATTTTTTACACTTTACACTTTACAATGGAGAAATAAACGAAAAGAAAGAATCAATAAAAACATGATAAAGCATAATAAAACCCATCTTGGATACATTTAATATTCATATTTAATACCCATTAAACAAACACATAACATTCAATTAGTACATTATAAAATTGGATTTAAAATCAGATTCTGTTCAGCCCAAATATAAACAGTGATGATATTAATAGGCATCACACAACATTGTCTAATAAGGGCGGTTGTGAGGTCGTGAGAAGGCAACTAAAAGTTTCTTGTTGTAGATATTGTGTATCTAGCTATTATGAAACCGTTTTTAGACAGGGAAATAAGATTCCAAAGGGTAGTGGGACAAATCACTGTTGCCCATCCCCCTCACATTCTGTCAGTTTTTTTTTCACAAAGGATAGGGGTCCAAATTATTGCCCCCCTCCTTCACCCCATGTGAGTGATACTTAAAGGCTTATTTTGTACAGGTTGACCCAGGAGATCAGTTTTCAGGAACAGCAGAGGGAACAAAACAAGCATGATATTGTTACAGTTCAGGTTTATATCTTTGTTCTTTTACTCTAAATTTGTATTTTAATCTACAACACAGTGGTACAAAGTATAAAATGGATTAAGAAGACGATGTGAAATAAATATAATCCATGATTATTGCATTATAATATTTAAAAATCATATTCACATTCATAAGCTTAAAAACAATGATAGAGCAATGGTTTGCTCATATTTCGAATCTTAGTCTTCTTTATTTTGAGGACCGAAAAAAGAACTAAAAAAAGCCCAATAAAAGTTAACTTCGATCTTTCTTTTATTTAGCAACAGTAGTACAGATTTTGTAAGCAATTGTTGTAGCTCATAAAAATTAGCCCTGAACATCTTCAGAAAGGATTTGAAACTTTGTCACAAAATCAAATATACTAATCCCTATATTTTTTATACATGATAGTGTATTCAATAGAATTCATAGTTTGAAATATCGAAGCAGTATCAGATTTTGTGGCGAAGACTCAATTCCTTACCAGTCATGATAATTTAAAAATTATAAAATACTTAGCTACATTTAGAAATTAAAAACGCTAATAAAGACGACTTTCATTTCGCTTTACTCCAGTTTTTACGGTAAGTATTCTGATTGTTTTCTTAAATCTCATGTTTCCTTAAATATACAGGAGCAAAATATACAGCTTCAAGATGAAACTAGGAAACTACTGGACTTAAACTCGGATTTGATGAGAAGAATCAGAAACTCTGACGAGATTAAGGGAATCCAGAGCCTCAACTGCAAATCAGAATTTATTCCCGAGGGTGTATATTTTTCAGAATGATTTTTGAAGATTTGGTGGAAAAAAAATCAAAAATTCATCATCTAAAGGCAACTTTTTTCATTCTATTTGATACTTTTGATCCAAAAATTTATTTATTTTTTCCTAAAAATATTTATTTTCCCCAATTCAGCGAATAAAACCCTAAAACATATATAACTTCTAGGGCAGAAAATGATTTTCAAAAGGGGGGGGGGGAAGAAAACTAATTTTTCGAGAAAATATACACCCCTGATTTATTCATAGCTATCTCTTTAAAAAAAAATTGATTTCATTGATTAAAAGCACTGAAAATGTGGCATGAGGCCAGATTTGATTAGGTTGAGCTGGAACGAGAATTAAACATGAGAATGGAAAATGAAAAACAAAATAAACAACAAGTATTAAAACTAAGAGAACATATTTCTAGTATGGAACAGAAGTTGGAGCTCTCCTCTAAGGTGAATCCTTTAAAATATGTATAATTCCAATTTCTCAAAAACTTCTCTGTGTCCACCTGTGTGTCGATTGGTCTTTCATCTGTTATGGCTAAATCGAAGATTTGCTTACATATAGCCGGTAAAAAATGTAGAAAAATGCGCATTGGAAAAAAATTGTTTGAGATCATCTTATCTCACAAGTAATTTTTTAAATTGACCTACGCATATTTTTTTAATTCTGTGCGGCGCGAAGAAAAATGATGAAAGGAATTGAGTCTTTGCCACAAACTCTGATTTTCTAATCCCTATCCTTGCAATGTCGTAGACCTTCGATATTTCAAACTACGATTTCTGCTATATATTGAATAATAAAAATTTGAAAATTCATAGGTTTACATCATAAGGTTGCAAAGATATAGGGAATTCGAACATTTGAGTTTGTAGCATTTGACTTTATTATTATTTAAATACTTTTAACTTGATTGCATTTTCAAATGTTTTTCCTATTTATTGCCTGCACAATTTTCATGGAAACTAGGGGATTTTTGATTTGAGTTTGCCAGATTTTCCAAACAAAGTGTGGATAATTTTTAAATATTGACATTTATTAAATATAAGGAGCATGAGCTGATGATAAAGATGAAGAATGAAAAGGAATGTGAGTTGAGGGAACTAGAAACTAGGATTAGAAAACTAGAAGATGAAAACAGAAACCTCTACAAGGTTATCCTTTATTTAGCAACAAATCAAACAGAAATAAACTTATGAAGAAAAAAAGAAAAAATTTTTTTTTTAACATTCTGAAATTAGGAGAAAGAGTTTCTGATCAAAGAACGAATAGAAAAGGAGAATATGTATACGGAGAAGAATGAGAAGGTTGAAAGGTTGGGAGAGGAGAACAGGAAGATGCTACAGGAAAACCTCAGGTTTAGGGAGGAAGCCAGGATATACAGGTCTGAGATACTTTAGACTAGCCACTGCATCAAATCACTCTTTCAAATGTACCAGTCACACCGTTAGGGCACCTCACCTATTCTAATCGCAGCGCACAATGATCCAAAGGTTGCAAGCTGTAACGCAAAAATCGTTGAGAATTTTGAAAATTATTTCTTAAAAACTAAAGCTAAAACCTAATACTTTATAGTTTTAAAATGTACATGTCTAGGGAAACCAAAAAGTATGATTGAGGTATAAAGTAAAATCAAAGGCCAAGGCATTGCGAAAATTCAAAGTCGACCCGGTCTTGATGTAACTTTTTATAGCAGCCTGGATCTGTGTGGGCGCTTTCATGTAAAAAGAAAGAAAATGTTACGGCTTCTTACAGTATTCAGTAAATACAAATTAGCAAACTATGTCCATACTCGACAATTTCATATTTAAAAACTTCTTGAATTGATTTATAACTATTTGAATAGAACGGAGAACGAGGCGAAGGAGGAACAAATAAGGAACCTTCAAGAGGTGAGAACCCAAAAAATTACAAAAAAAAAATTGTTTTATATTTTTATTTTTAAAGGAATCAGATTCCCAGTTAAACGAGCTCTTGGTTTGCAGGTTTATTTCTCTTTTCAACCTAATTTTACATTTATCATTTATTATTTTCTGCTTTCATTTCTCACTTCATTCTGCAAATATATCTGTTCAGGAATAAACATGATGAGAGCAGAATGGAAATAGAAAAAGTTAAATCAGAAAACAAAGTTATTATCGAGAATTTAGAGGTTAGTAATATTTTCATGCAGGGTGCATAATAGCTGACTTTTCAAGAGTATAAGGATGAAAAAACAACAATTTATTCATCAAAAATAATTTTTCCATGTTATATCGTAATTTGCGTAATACAAGATAAATTATGATGTAGGTAGTAACTGGATCTGAAATTATTTTGTATTATATTTGTATTTTAATTTAAAGAGACAGGTTTTGGAAAACCAGAGGAAGGTTCAAGTTCTCCAAGAAACATATGAACGAGAAAAGCAGATGTTTAGGAAATCATGGATATATTGATAAACTTTGATCTAATTTTGAGAATTGATCTAAACTATTTCTAAATACTTTAGAGATTAATTTAAATGAGCTTAAAATGATAAAGATAAAAATAGGTAATGCGCACTGCTATACAAAATTTTGATTTCTAAGAAATATAAATGTCAAGTATCCATATTCTATATATATTATTTTAAAAATGTGTTATTTTGACATTTATGAAGAGTAATTGAACTCATTCTAAAATTTCTCAATAGGAATAGATGAACTAACCGTGCCTAGTTAAACTAGTTCTTGACTTTCATAAATTCCTACCTTGAAGGTTTTTCCTTAAAGACATCTCTCCACTAAAACCCGCTGTTTAATCAGGTACTACTAACTACTGCAGAACACACCAAAACCTTAATTGAGGGGGAAGTATTTAATTATCCCTGAGTATCCTGTCTAGAGAGGAGAAGAACAAGTTTCAGTATATTAAAACCGTTCTCAACTCACAGAACTTTCAGGTACTAGCATTTAAACCGTTGTATAGTTGACAATTTAAAAAAAGTAAAAAATCAAATTTTTTTCTACTATTTTATCTTCTAACACAAACAGTTTAGGATTTACAGAACAATAGAAGCTGTTATTCCAAACTGAATTCTTTAAATAAGAAGCTTGAAGGTTCAAACTCAGAGGTATTCAACAGAAAAAAGTTAAACCTTGAACATATATTTATAATTGTTTAGGAGTAAAAACATTGTATGCAATATTTTCTCATGCAACATTCCTGTATGCAGTTCTATATATTAGTTCTAGTGAGAATATTTAATTATATACTCATTTTCATCTTTTAGGGGAGTGTTGCAGGAAATCCTCCTGATTTTTTTCAATTAGACAGGATAGACTTGTACTTTATCCTTAATAAAACATCCCTCCCCTCCCCAAAAACCTAACCTGCTCTGACCTCAAATATAAACCTTATTGGCTTGTAAAGGTATAGATAAATAAAACTGTCTAAAACTTGCAAATCTGGTTCAACTTTTCTTCATGGACGAATTACCTTGTAATTTTCAATGAAAGATTTAAGCTCCTATTTTACACTACCCCATTCTTTTGTCCTTTAACTAAAGTATTAAAGATAAAACTAAGTTCAAAGATGTTTAAAGAGGTTGTTCACGAATTTGATTTTACACATAATAACCATTTTTAAAATTAACTTTTCAGCAAAAATAAGTAATTTATCGTTTTGAAAATTTTTGATTACTTAACTTATAATTCACCAGCTTAATATCATATTTAACAGTCCAATGCATTGAAAATGTAAATTAAAGAATACAAAGTTTCAAGGAACCCGGTATATTTTTTAAATGCTCCTTTGTCTGAAATGATCAATGATCATTCTGTCTTTCGGGGACATTTTTTAGATCTATTTAAGCTTAGATGTGTACCTAATTTCATAATAAATGTACATTATGTGCATTTCAAATAGGTAAACAACCCCTTCAAGCAATACATGATTAGACATCGAGTATTTCATATCCAACCCTTTTCATTGGTCCATAGCTAGATGTTTGTCTATTGATTGAGCAGGTTTGAATCCTGGTCTGAATCAGAGATGTCAAACATATTCTCCAGGTTAACAATTAACTTCAAAACCATACAAGGGTCCTAAAATCAGTAGGCTGATCGTCGTCTATGATTTTTCTTTAAATTATAATTGTATTTTGCAATTTTCAAATAATTCATCTTTAAAAAATGTGCTCTCAATATTTTCAGAGATATACTACAAAAATGTTGTTACGAATTGCCAAATATTTTATGACATTTCATAAATAAAAGAGTGAACGAAGACAACAATCAAATCAACCTTTTTCAGTCCCATCTTTACCATTTATATTTACATACATTAATATTTTTAGGAATTTCTGTATATATGGATAAATAAATTATCTTATTTTACCAGAAACAAAATATTTTTATTCAATTTAGAAACAAATATTTATTATTTAATCCCAGAAATTAAATAATATTTTCTATCTAGTACTGAACTGTTTGCAGAGAGAAGTAAAGAAGCTGTGCGTTCTTCAATATTTCAAGGTGTCATTAAAACTTATCAGTCTATTTGTTTCTTGTTTGCATTTAATATTTGATTTACGTTCTTCCAGATTCCAGATTGAAATATATATTTGATTTTGATAGAAAAGGGTACAAAAGCTATCTTTTGAAAAACAACTGATATTGCCTTAAATTCTTTAAACTGGTATATTCAAAAAAAAATATTTTTATAGTTTTTAAAACTTTTGGAAACATAAAAATACACCAGAATTGCAAGTTTACGTCGAAATAAAAAGATTTTAAATGAGGCTTTGGACCAGAGTAAAAAATATTTGTACGATAAAGAAATTTATTGCTTGCCACATTTTTTTAAGCCCTTATATATCTTTACAAGATGATGTCGTAGGCCATTAATATTTCAAAATATGAATTCTGTAAGATCAATCAATAAAAGTTTAAAATATTAAATGTTACCACCACAATGTTACAAAAAGTACACTGCATGTTTATATATATAATTTGATATATTTAGATGATAGTTTGAGGATCGGAGCCTGTAAGTCCAGTGTATCTGTTTTCAACAAGTATTTAACCTCACTCAGAAAATAGTTCTCTTTGTAAACATATGTTTTCTGAACTTAATACTTACTGTACACTCTAAACAGACTGATTAAAGGGATTGTTTACCCAGTTCCATGTCACCTTTCAAATAAAAGAGTTCCAAGACGATTCACAGCAGGCTGGATTCATAAATAAAGTCGTTTAAAAAAAAACATTTTCTTGCAATTCTTTGCATGATAAATTTGATGACCGAAAAACGTCACTCTAAATAACGTTGACTATCCCTTTAATAATATGTTTGAACTGAATGTAAATATTATTAATCTATATTTGATGATAAAAGGAATGATTAGAATCTAGGTTAACAAGTGTAATATGTCAACAATCAACAGCTCATTGCTTTATTTATTTAACCTTATTTAATCTTCAATATGATAAAATGTTAATAATTTAAATATGCTGAGGTTAAAACATTTTTATAATTAACTTTAAAATCCTGAAATATATTAAAATGTTTTAATTTGAAGTTGATTCTTTAAACATGGACCGAATGGGCTGAAATTTTTTGAGGACACTCATGGGTGGCCGGGGGGTGTTACAGACTAAAAAAATCTATTTTTTAAAATATTAAAAAAAAATTTACGGGCAACGCTGGGCCCTTCAGCTAAAAATGTTCACTTAAAATAAATTGACCCAAGGAAAAGTGGACAGCTTGGACAATGGACACAATGTTTTATTCTATTTTCTAATTTTTTTTTCTAGATTTCTTATTCTTATTTAAACCATCACCACTAATCTTCTCAATAAACAAGTAATTTTCTAGAAACTCGTAAGGCTAGTGTGTAAACAATAATGTAAAAACAGATTTTAGAAATACAATTAACCGATATTGTTCTAAAGTAAATTTAAATTTTCATTTGATTATAACCCAAAGTTAAAATTATTAAAAAATTAAAAACTACTATTAGATACCTGATTTGATACCTGGGCGGTGTAAGCGCATCTATATATATAAAGTTGTAATCTCTGTTTTGGAGTCTGTCTGTTTGTTTGTTTGTCCGATCATAACTCAGGAACCCCTGGACCGATTTGCCTCAAATTTTGATTGGAGAATTTGGAAGAACCACGGGAATGTTTTTAGCTTCGTTTTAAGATTCTAAATGGAGTGGGTCGACTTTAATCGCGAAAACTTAGTTTTCCAGTAAAATCGTTCAAGAGCGGGTAAACGACATGAGTAACTTTTAGTAACCTGCGCTGGGTTCCCAAGCTAGTATTTAGATATCGATGGGGGTGGTGGGGTGGATTCACTCCCCCATCGTCCAACAGACCCACCCTGGTCTTTTACACGGTTAAGAGAATCTCTCAAAAGGAGTTATTAAGTTTCTAAAGAGCAGGAAACAATCAGGGCCAGATTTAACTTATGTCTAAAAGAAAACTTTAGATGTTTAAAAATGTTCCGCAGTGTTTGGGACAAATTATGGAGAAATTCAAATACCGCAATACTGTCTGAGAATTTATCTAAATTTAATAAATTCGAAATAACAGTAAAACTAGAAAACTATAGAGAAAAATAAATTATTAGAACTGCCACAACTTCTGATTTTAAAATCCCTATATCGTAGACCTTAGATATTTCAAAATAAAAATTCTGTTAGATCAAATAACCTAAGTTTGAAATATCAAAGGTTTACATCATCAGGCTGCGAATTTTTGAAATTTAAGCGTGTGGCAAAGACTCAACTCCTTTGAGGATGAATGCTATATCCTTTAGTTAAAGTTATTCCTGCAGGGTATAACCTTCACGGGATATCGAAGAGTATTTAGATTAATCTGCAGATCTTCATCAGATGGAGATGAATGCTTGATCCCCAGTTTCACAACATAAAAGTTCTGACTTCTGAGGTAGGAACTTTAGAATTGGATACCCTTAATCCCGATCGTTTAATATAAATATCCAATGTGGACACTTTTAATTTCCTGAATAATCCGCTCTTTTTCTCTTTTTAAATATCCATACCAAATACCGACCAATGAGATTTCTCTCATTAAAAGGCGCGCAAAACTTCAAAGGAATTGAGTCTTTTATAATCCCTATTCATGTGCAACCTTATGGTGTAAACTCTTGATATTTTAAGCTTAGATTATTTGATTTGACATAATTCATAGTTTGAAATATCTAAGGTCTAGGACACTGGGTTGCAAAGATATAGAAATTAAAAATCAAAGCTTGTTGCAAAGACTCAATTCCTTTCCCGGCTTCTTATTGGGTGTTCGGGAGTCTGCATACGCCATTCTATTGGTTGCATTTTATACACTTTTCTGGATACAAACTAAGGATTGAATTAATCGTGAGATTTATAAAGATATGCGATCAAGCATTGATCTCAATATCTGCACATTGTAAAGTTTTCAGCTTTAACACCACAAAATAGAATTGCAGTACGAATTGTTTCTAGAAATTACACAATAGACAGAATTTGGTACTTAAGTTCATATATTTCTGTCCAGAGTCTTTTTTTTAATTGTTGGCCAGCTTTATTTTATAACCCCAATTTTACCCATTAAATGTAGCTTTTCGATTTTTCAGTATTCAGTTAGCTAGCTAGTAAAATACTGCTTTATATTCTATATTAAAAAAAAACATATTTGAGGTTCTTATAGTTACGATATTACGATATTCCTAAATCAGAAAATTCAGTTGATTGTTTACCATTTTTTAAGTCAACCTTGGCTTTCCATATCTTCTCCAGCTCCCTGAAGTTTAGAGAATGTTGTGATTAAGGTAGCTAAAGAATGCAATAATTGGTGCGCAGTTAAATGGGTAATTGGATAAACACAGGGTATTATCCATCAATACAGATATTCAAATATTCAGATATTCACCGCTATTACGGTAAAATGTCATAATATTTATTTTTATATCATCCCGCTTTAACTGTAAATCAGGATTCTAGTAATTTTGTTTATATTGCAAAATATTGTATTCATGGTGTGCATACATAATACACTCATACAGCAGAGATTAAACGGTCTTCTATAAGTTTATCAACGATATTGTATATTCAGAGATAAGTTCGTCTAAACTGACAGCTAGTTTTTAGATCATCAAACAAAGTGTCTGATAAGTCGAAATTGAGAATTTTTAATTTTTTCCTTTTTTCTTTCATACTCTTGATATTTATAATTTTATAGAATCGGAAAAAATGAAGGTATGGTATGTGTACTTTATATATAGATGAAGAAATACGAGCTTATTGAGCCTAGTTTAGTCTTGTGTGAAGAGTATCTTCGCCGACAAACGTGAAACGAAGAATACCAACGGAAAACCAGGCAATAGCTGTACAAACAGTTCTGTACGAACAAAGTACAAACAAACAGTCAAGAAAAAGAAATATAGTTATTGTCTTTTGTAGCTTTTAAACGATAAATATTCTGCAAAGGAAATAAGTTTGTCACAAACTCTGAATGTCTAATCCCTATCTTTGTAACTCAATATCGTAAACCTTAGATATTTCATATTTCTTGGTATTTTGTCCTTGTTGGTTATCTATCCTATTATTGGTTTTCTATTAGTCTTTGGCCTTTTTAGTTATCTGTTTCTGGATTGGGTTTCTATAAGAGTATTTTGTCCTTGTTGGTTATCTATCCTTTGATTGACTTTCTTTAATAGTAATTTGTCCTTGCTGGGTATCTGACTTTTGATTGGTTTTCTATTAGAGTCTTTGGCTTTTTTAGTTATCTGTCCCTGGATTGGCTTTCTTTAAGAGTAATTTGTCCTTGTCGGTTATCTGTCCTTTAATTAGTTTTCTATTTGAGAATTTTGTCCTTGCTTATCTGTCCTTTGTCTGTTTTTTTTTATGAGTATCTTGTCCTTGTCGGTTATCTGTCCTTTGATCTGGTTTTCTATAAGAGTATTTTTTTCCAAAGTTGTATAATAAGGTTGGTTACTCTCGATGAACTCCAATGTACGGAAATATCGTCTCCTAAGATAGATAGATAAAAACCTTATATGACGTCACTAATTATAGAGACGAGAGAGACGTCATATGAGGTTTTTATCTATCTATCTCAGAAGACTACATTTTCCGTACCATTGAGCGCATCGAGATTAACCTATCTTATAATACAACCTTGATTTTTCCCTTGTTGGTTATCTATCCTTTGATGGTTTTCTATAAGAGTATTTTGTCCTTGTTGGTTTTCTGTATTTTTAATTAAATGTCTGGTTTACAATTTTAAGATATACTGCAGAGTTTACTACTGCAGTGTTCCACCAAGCAATCTACTGTTTATTATTCCATCCCTTTTCCTTTCAACGTTTAGCTCCTTTGTTCCTAATATAACCTTTCCATCTGATCTCTACGAACATAATAGTAATAATTGAATTCTGAACCTGATATAAACGTTTTGTCCATGGACACTAATTTATACATTTCCAAGTCCGACCCCTCCCTGATATACCTTTAACAACCTCAATTTAAATGGGGACAAGATCTGAAGATTACAGACGCGTCTTGTCTTATCTTCTTATCTAGCTTTAAATCTTATCCAGGTATTTTCATATAACTTTTGTCTAAAAGTACGTTGATTAAACAAGAAACAACTACTTAACTTTCTGGTTACACTCACCTCCTGCAACCTTTTAAATTTTATCTTTTATGTTTCATCAGAATTCTGCCTGGTTAGTGTCCTATGTATTCGCAATTCTAATATTTTCTTACGTTAGTTCAATATTAAGTTAATCTTTTTCTGATTTTTCTATTCTGGACTTGTTGAACTATTCTTTAATTTCTGTATCTTCTTTACTTTTCCTGTCCAGATCGCTTTCTTGATTCTTTACTATTTTTTTACAGCATTACTATCTGCGGCTCACTACTTTGCGTCCTGCATCTTTACTTTCCGGCTACTTACTACACTGATACTTTACTATCCTGCTACTTACTACCCTGATACTTTACTATCCTGCTACTTACTACCCTGATACTTTACTATCCTGCTACTTACTACCCTGATACTTTACTATCCTGCTACTTACTACCCTGATACTTCACTATTCTGCTACTTTACCATCCTGCTGCTTACTACCATGATACTTCAATATTCTGCTACTTTACTATCCTACTACTTTACTATTCTACTACTTTACTATTTTGCTAATTTACTATCCTGGCACTTTACTATCCAGGTACTTTACTATTCTACTACTTTTCTATTTTGCTAATTTACTATCCTGCTACTTTACTATCCTAAACTTTACCATTCTGCTACTTGATCATCCTAATACTTTACTATCCTGCTAACCTGATACTGCACTTTTATGCTTTTTTGCAAAAATGCTACTATCATACTATTTTGCTACTTTCTATCCTGCTACTTTACTATCCTGCTACTGTACGTATATTTGAATGGTGCAGGTGAACTAGACCAGAGGAATGTCCGTTTCTACCAATTGTAAACTATTAAATAAAACCACGCTCGAACTCTCCTTTACACACAA